ATTTCCGGCTGCAACGCCTGTGCACGCTCGACAGACGTTAATTAATTGTAATTGTTTCATTTCAAAACCTTGCGCTCAATTTCTTTCGGAAAAAGAAAAAACGTAACAGCATTGAATTTTTCTTGTTGTTCTCTTCCGCAAAGTGTTGTTGCAGCTTGTAGAACTAGTTTTATAAGATGCGACTGAAAAAATATCGATGGCCAAAGTGCAAAACAACGTACCTACAACGCGGCGTTTCAGAATCTCCGCTCTTAGTTTATTTTTTTGAAAAGAAACCAGTCAATATTAGGTTGAAATGCATTCGAATATTTTGCCAACAGAGGAAGAAAATCAAGGAAGCCTTGAAGAAAGTATGTTGACTATTTTTCCAAGGAAAAAATAAAGTCTTGCAGGAAGTCTGCACCGTCACAAACTGAGGTACGCGGTTTGCCTTTTTGGCCTTCGATACGTAACTTACACATTAGTACATATCAGAACTCAACACCTAATTCACCATTTCACAAATTTTAAGTACTTACTCATTTTTCTGGAAACCACAGCCCTGGCATGTGACATTTACATTGAATTACAGTTGCAATAACATTGCAGTTTTTCAGCATGAAACAGCAATATTTTTACTCCACTTGGTCTCAAAATGCTAATTTTAAACGATCAACAAATCTAGTTCCAAGTATCAGAAAGATGGGCAATGATTTTCATTGCGAACATGCATCGCACTAAATCACTGTGAGAGGAGCGCCTTCAATTACTAGATAGGCAACATACATAACGCTCCTATGCAGTTGCGAAATTCATCCATGTCATCGCAGCATCGATGGTAAAACTACCAAACAATGTATCTCGATTTTTGTCGGTTTTGAGTTGCATAAATTAGTTGTAAGAGATGTCCTTTATCTGCCCTCAAAATTTTCTTGTCGAACAAAATCGGGAAGTTACCCAAGAACATAGTTTTAATATCGCAAATCTCAGCGCTAATGCGTAATTCACATAATGCTACTCGGGCTATGGTAATTTTCAATACTTCCTTGATCATAAGACTTTGACCTGTGTGGAAATTGTTCCCTACGACAAATTTTGATGACAGGGTGTTTAGCATCAGGATTTTCCAGATTTTCCCGATTCTATCAGGATTTGAGGTCAATCAGGATTCAAGCCCGATTTCATCAGGTTTGAGGGAAAAAAAGGTCGTAAAATCAGGATTCGAGAAAAGTCGGCTGTCCGATCGGATTTTTTTATCGAGCTAGTTCCTCTGCTTTCGCATACGCTTATACAGAAATTTAAATTTTTCTCCGCAAAAAATCAGGATTTGATGAGGATTTGGAAAAATTATTAAATCAGGATTTAGCCGTCACAAATCAGGAAAAATCAGGATTTCCCAACATGGAAAAGAACTAGACACACTGGATGAGGACTTATCTATTTATGTATTTTTATTCAAACGTCAGAACTGACTCATTGGAAATTCGACGGAGCCCGAACTGAGGGCCGATTATTGAAACTGATAGACAAAGCTATAGACAAAGACGACAAAAGGGATTTGGAGGGATCCTATTGGTGGAAGCGAGTGGTGGCAATAGACATAGGAGGTAGGTAATGGACTGAGTAACGGCAACCCACCAAAGACCCGACAGTTAGTCCATCATTTTCTTCCTCGGTCTATAGGAACCAACCATGTCAACCAATAGGATCGCTCCATACTCCCGAAGTCTTCTTTGTCTATCGCTTTGTCTACAAGTTTCAATAATCGGCCCGCTGCTCGGTTTTTGATTATGACGAATAGTCGGCCCGAGGTGAATTCGCTCGTCGCCCCTCTCGACGAGATTCCTCGGTGACGGGATTTTTTCCCGGGAGGAACGTCAACGTCACCGATCTAAATCCGTGCCAATTGTCATCGATTAATGGGATTAGGGAGCTGTGAACTTGACTTTTCGTGACAAATCTCACGTGGGCCGAGTTGACGCACCCGAGGGCGTGCACCGTCCCCTCCGCCCTGATTTACGACACCCTCTCGACGTGTTTCACTTTTCCGACGAGGTTCTTATCCCCCGTTTATTTTTTCACCGCCCACCGCCCGTCATATTATTTATTTCATCGTGAAATATAAGTTCGAGAATTGATCTCGTCGGTGGCTGCTTCGAGCAGATATGATCCGCGAGAAACATTGAGGGATTGACGAATGACGGCGACGAGAGAAGTTGAGATATACCGGCATTAAAAGATGAATTGAAGTGGCAAGAGCCAGAGGTTCTCAGTTGCATTGCAACTCCTCAAAAGTTTATTTGGACTCATAGAGAAGAAAAAAGGAGGTGTTTGCATTTCGGGCATCTTGGAATTTTTTGATGACTTGATGACGTAGGTATGTACAGGCGACGTATTTATCCTGTCGATTTTCTTGGAAATGGTGTAATTTGAGGAAAAAAGTCATTCTATAAAAAGTGCTTGAAATTATATAATGAGTTGATTTGAGTAAAAAAATCGGACATTAAGTATGGTCCGTTTTTCATATTTAGCTAAACGTCGCTGTACCCACCTACGTCATCAAGTCATCAAAAAATTCCAAGATGCCCGAAATGCAAACACCTCCTTTTTTTTCCTCTATGATTTGGACTGCTTATTTTATCTTGTTATGAGTATGAATGTTGTGCATACATCGGTGGCGTAGCTAGGAATACTAGTGGGGAGAGGGGGGTCCATTTACATTGGACGACCCTGATAATATTTTATGTGTGCCCTCCGAAAGTAAAAAAAGGGAAAATTAACGAGGCTAAGAGGGGGAGGGGTCTAGACCCCCAGGACCGCCCCCACCCCCTTGTCTCCGCCACTGTCATACATAAATAATTCAGGAAATGTTCTTCAAATCGTAAAAAAAGTCACCAAAAATGTCAAAAGGGAATGTCAATTGTACGTATGAGCGGCAAATAGGCAAATCTCGCATTTTGCCCTGAAATGTCCGAAAAAATATTTTATGCCTTTATCCTCCCCTCCCTCCTTGATTTTACGTAAGTTTAGGTACCACCAAAAGAAAGCGCAACCATTACCCACTGCTAAAATACCCCTTCGAGTTCGCCTCCACATTCACTCGAAAAACCTACAGCTCGAATTTTCTAGACAATAGGTAATTTATCCCTAGTCTCTTTCAGTGCTCCCATTTCCCGGAACTTTTGAGGTTTTTCTGAATTTTTCCCGGAACTTTTGAAGTTTCCGAAATGTTCCGGAACTTCTGAAATTCCCGAAATGTCCTGAAACTTTGAATTTTCCGGAACTTTTGAATTTTCCAGAACTTTCTCGGGACTTTTGAATTTTCTTGAACTTTCTCGGAACCTTTGAAAAAATCTTAAAAGATTCCCGGATCTTTTGACGGTCATGGAGTGGGAGAAATTGGAACAAAAAAGTTCCGAATCCCGGAACTTTTGACGGACATGGAATGGTAGTACTGGTCTCTTGTAAGGATTTACAATGAAATTGTTTTTTGTAATCGAACACATATATTTTACTCAAACTTGTATTTAAATCAGCCTATTTTCCCTCCAATTTTCATCACATTTAGAACCTAAGTGTAATAATTGGTCTCCATAAAAGTAGGCTCGTATCTTGATGCGTGACGTCTTCCTGTGATTGCCTTGGATCTCAAGTATTTTTAATCGTGCGGTGATCTGTGTTTATACAACAAGACACTGGAGACTTTGTTCCTGTTCAGGGCTCTGAAGGCCGTGTCCGTTTTGATGTTGTGGCTAAAATTAGGTGGTGTATATTTTTTTTCTCTCTTTGAACCGATACTGGGAGGGCGTTGATTAAATTCGAGTCTTAAATTCTACTCAACTGTTTAGGTGTAAGTACTCATTTCAGGCGTAGAAAAACTTAAGGCGGTCTCTAAAATGGTTTCAGAGGAGCAATAATTCCGACTTATTTAAAGTAAATTTTTAAATAAATCTTCGCCAAAAGTTACCTTAAAAAGGCAATATTAAGTTTCATAAAGCAATTCGATAAAAAAAAAAAAACCATGCTTAATTTTATCAAATGTTGCGTCTCGATATAATTTGGCTGAATTTTACTTGAAATGTGAATCATGATAGAGAATTGTCTGCACCCGTATCTTATCGCTGTCTCTCACTTAGCTTCTCACTCTTTTTCCACTGATATTCTGTCACAATCTTGTGGAGCTAAGACCCGGGTTTGAATCCCAGAGGTGGCGAGGGCGACAGATTTTCATGCGACTGACGAGTTGGTCTGGTGAAATAGATTTTAAATAGTCCTCCTAAATAATCCTTAAAAATTTGAAAGTCCAACGCATAAGTATGTAGAATTGTAGATGTGTACAACCTCCTTTTCAACACTAACACTCCCCTCCATCTTACATTATCTCTCTGACAACAACTGAAAACTATTCTAAGGCCGCAGTATTTAACTCTGGAATAAAGGACTTCACAGTACCCTAGAAAAAAGAAATAAAAAGAAAAAAAGACACGGAGCCATGTCTCATAGTCTGATAGTAAGAGCGAATTTCTGGACCCATTATATGGATTTATATCGTTGCCTTTATTTCGTTAGTGTGTTTTAATGTTTCTTTTTTTTTTTATTATTAATATCATTATTTCCTGAGCGCATAGATACTCGAAAGAGTCTTCCACGACATCCTGTTCGTTTTTTTGTTGTTCTCCTCGATTATTAGTGCGACACAGACTGAAATACATTGAGGAGTTCTAAATCGTTCAAATACTTTTTTGTCTTATTTTTCGGCATCTTTCTTCTTAATTAAGTTCTCAGATGGTTATCCCTCCCCTCTTTTCCTTTTTGCAGGTGCTCCGTCTAGTACCTATAAGTGTGGAAAACTTTGAATTATACTCCAATGTAATCTCATTTAACTTTTGATTATTCTCATGTATTAAATATTTAGATCTAGTATAATTGTCACTATCTGTTCTCCGTTGTGTTTTGTGTTTTCGCGTGGTGTCCAAATAAATGTATGCCGCCCAGACGCCTGACGAACATTTTACTTTCAGGAAGGGAAGGAGTGTCTCACGACTTCGAGGTGTTCGACGAAAGTGATCTCGGGGAGGTAAGTGCTATGAGCGGGGTGCCGGGAAAATCTCCGAAACCGGAAGTGCCCGTAATGAAAGGTGCATTAAGCGAAATACCGCGAGAAATGGTAGGCGAAATATTTCTTCCTTTTGGTGATTATACTTTACCTTGGCGGAAGACTTCACGTCGTGGCCGGGCATACTCCGCGGGTGCGCCGTGGAGGCGCGGCAGTAGGAGTAGATCCCTCGAAATGCGTCGTAAAGGAACCTCAACTGTTCCGCGGGATAGTTCTCTCCATGATAGGCGTCAACCTATTCCTTGGACTGAAGAGAAGGTCACTTTAAGGAAGACTGAAACTCGAAAGGAGTTGAAAGGAGAGCTCCGAAGAGGATCTCTAACGGAGACGGAAGATGTCAAGGTAGTTCCATGGATTGAAGAGCCAATCTCGCTGCGGAAAATCAGCGTTGAAAAGAAAAAACCGGAAAGTCCAGAACTTGAGAAAGAGCTTAAACAGCTCGACTTAAAACGAATTAGGCGGAAATCTTTAACTTTCGAAGAAATCACAATTGAAGACACAGAATTGAAGGAAAAAGTTGAAGAAGAGGAAGAAGACGAAGACAAAAGGGTCAGAAAAATTCCGTTCTCGGACAAACCCATTGCTTTGAAGAAGGTAACCGTTGAGAAGAGAAAAAGTCACAAAGAAAAGCTAGATAAAATGGAGCTGAAGCACGTCATGAAGAAGGCTTCGACAAAAATCGCGGAAATGGAATTGAAAGGGCCGGTATCGGAAAAAGCTCATGTAGATGATACATTGAAGGATAGTTTAAAACCTGTCAGAAGGAAATCCTATGATTTCGCAACAATTGAATCAGAAATAGAAGAGGTGCGCCATAAAGCAGAAACAGACGTTCCGGCGTGGGTTCAAACTCCCGTTTCACTGAAGAAAATAATCAGCGAAAAAAAGGAGATCGAGAAAGAGAAATTGGAGGCAGTTTCCTTAAAACCAGTCAGGCGAGGCTCCCAAACAGTGCCTATGATCCCTGAAGAAGAAGGAGAGGAGTCTCAAGTCATACCATGGACTCAAGAACCCATCACACTGAAACAAACAAAGACACAGAAAAGACCAATAGTTCACGAGACTGTTGAGAAAGTTCAGTTGAGGTCAACTAGTGATGATACGGCAGTAGTGAGGCTCGAAGAGGAAACAACATCGAAATCCGACATTTCTCCGGCAAAATTGTACAAGTCTCTTAAGCAAGACTTGAAAAAAGTCATTAAAAAAGCTAAAACTGATGAAACTGAAGTAGATTTGGCGGAAGAAGTGACGGAAGAATACCGCGCGCCAAGACAGTGGAAGGAAGAAAATATCAAATTAAAAAAGACCACATTACCGAAAAAGGACTTAACGAAAGAAAAAATGGAGACTGTTACTTTAAAGAAAACTGAAAAGACAATCGAAATGAAAGAACAGATCCCCGAGGGACCTGTCAGCGAGTTACCGACCAATCAGACGCAGCCTTGGACGAAAGAGGTGGTTAATCTGAAAAAAGTTGAAACGCAGAAGCGAAAGCCCAGTAAAGAGACGATTGAAAAAGTTACCCTCAAATCGGTCAAGTCCAAAGAATCGTTTTTGAACGTGGAGGAAGTAATCAAAGACAAATACCCATGGCAGACCAAAGCAGAAGACATTTCCAAATCACAGCTTGTTGCGAAGCAGAAGACCTCGCAGACAGAAAAGCAGGACAACGTTTTTGAAGTCTCAAATCAGACAGAATTGTTGGATTGGCGTAAACAACACCGTAAAGAAAGAAGAGATTCATCTGAAAATTTGTTGGACTTGAAAAACTTACCACGGTCGGAAGATGATGTTGATGGTGAAAAATTATTGGAAGTGTCTGATCAGACGGAGATCCAAGATTGGCGGAAGAAAACCCGAACCTATAGACGCGATTCATCAGAAAATGTTATTGCTCTAAACGAAAAGCACAAACCGAAGGACACGCCATCAGAAAATATCTTAAGAAAATCATCAGATGCCAAACAGTTCGAAATATCTGAGCAAACTGAACTACTCGACTGGAGGAAAAAGAAACCATCAGAAAGAAAGGATTCCTCTGAAAATCTTCTCATAAACAAAAACGTCCCCCAACCTGTTGAGCTAACGCAAGGCAGCGCTGCAGATAACTTGAAACAACCGAAGATCGAAGGACCGGAAAAACCTGACGGACCTGGTGGACCTGGATCTTCAACGGTTGAAGAAAAAACATCCGTAGCTCCATGGAGGAGGAAGAGGCCAAGCCTTCCATCAAGCGAAACAGTTACTTCACCTCTGGAAACCAAACCAAATGAACAGACCGAAGGAGTCAAGGCCACTGCTCCTTCAGTAATCGCTGAATCAGATTTACCAGACACCACGATAGCACCGTGGAGGAGGCCCAAAAAAGTGCAGCCTCAACCCCGTATTAGTGAAATGTCAAAAACTCATGAACAGAAAATTGAGGACAGAGCTGACGAAGCTCCTGATGTAATACCAGATGTAGGAAAGCTCGAAGAACATAGCCCCGAACGAATGAAATCTTTAACCGAAAGAACACCACGACCGTGGATGGAAGAAAAAATAAAGCCTGAATCGCAGACAAAACGTAAAACTGAAAAGTCACAGGGAGAATCACGGCCCGCTATTGACGTCTCGGCCCCCCATGGAGTGTTAGACGGGAATCTTGTAATACCTTACAGCGAAGACCAACCTTTGGAACAAAAAACAGTTCCTTGGACTGAGGAAAAAGTGCAGCTCAAACCACGGAAGTTCGAAAAGAAAGAAATTCCAAGGGAGACGTTGGAAACGGTCAAATTAAAGCCGGTCATTCAGGGGCCTAAGAAGTCCGTAGTCGAGGAGACTGGAATACCTGAATTGAGTGATACAGATGACAATCTGCCAATCATCAAAATCAGACTTATAAAGAAAAAGAAACGTGGCAAGACATCCGGTGAAAAACCCGTTGATTCTGCTGAAGAAGCGTTAGAAGCTTTGAAACAGGAATCTTTTCCTTCAGATGCAGAATTTTTAAGTAAGTCCGTTGAATTAGTTGAACCCGTAAAAGTAATTGACGCTTTTCATGCCACTCCAGAAGTAAGTAAAGATCTTCCTTCTGAGCAAAATGTACCTGAAACATCATTTATTCCTTCATGGAGGAAAAAGAAGCGTCCCTCAGTCGCAGGACAAGTTGATAAAAGTCCAGCACTTGAAATTGCAGAAGAAGCACTCCCGCAGTTACTCGGAAGACCTAGACCTTCTTTGGATGACGAAGATCTGAAAATGCGACCTTTTGGGGCTCCCGAAGAAAAACCTGTTACGATGGAAAAAACCACTACGCCGTCTAGCAGCCAGTTTAGACCAGAACACATTGAAAAGGCAGAAGAGGCCATTCTTGCTCCATCCTTAACGGAAACAAAATCAAAAGATGCTCCTGAGTTGCAGACTTTGGAAGAATTGTCTTCTCCTGAACAACTTTCACCCAAAGAAGTAAGCTCTACAAAATTAAGCGAGAAAGTTGATAAAAAACCGAAAATAAAACGAGGGAAACCGAGCTTGCCTGAAGAAACACCAACAAAAGAACAGGCTGATACAAGTAAAGTCACTGAAGTGCTACCTAGCTCACTAGAATCTGAAGCTAAAGTATCAGATGTAAAACCGCCCAAACCTCAAAAGGTTATTCCATCGGAAGAGACCGGTGATTCGCCGCAAAAAGACACACCCCCTTTCGTTGGCGTCAAGTTGAAAAAAGTCGCTCCCAGATTTGCAAAAGAGAAGCAACCCGTTTCGATTGAGCCGGTCCATCTTAAAAGTAGGAAAGTAATTGTTGAGTATCCTCCGGCTCTATTATATCCGATCTCAGAACAACTAAAACCTGTTTTTATCGAATACGGGACGTTGTCGCGGAATATTGAGGAAGCCAAGAAAGTCAAGAGGAAGAAACCCTCACGTTTCTTACCGTCAGAGTCAGATTCAGTCGAATTAGAAAAATACACTCCCTTTGAAGACCACCCTCTTGATGAAGAAGAGAAAACCGTGGAAGATCGAAAGCCTCGCAAAGCTCCTGTTAAAGAAAAAGAGCAACCCTCTGACGGCCGCAAGTTGCTCATTGGGAAAGGGAAAGTTCCTGACGATGAAAAAGCTGAAGAAAAAGTGAAACTGAAGAAAATACCAGAACGAAAAATAGAAGATGTTTCACCCAAGGAGCAAAAACCTACTAAACCCAGTCCCCCATCGTTAATAAAAAATGAAATTGGCGAGGACGCAGATTCTGACTTAAAACCTTTAGACGAAACTGAAACTGTTTTCCGTCCTGACGATCTTCCAAATTTAACGGTGGAAGAAAAACAACCTTCCTCTAAAGAGAAAGGCCTTACGAGACCGAAAAAAATACGTGATAATATTCCTGAAGAGACTCCGCAACCTGAAGAAAGACCCCTAGTGTATGGGAAACCTAAGCCTAAAACGGAAGAGGACAGTCCAGATGTAAAATTTAAGTACAAACAAGGAGCTCCGAAGGATAATCTTCCCGATGAAGTAAAGCTAAAGCCATTTCCGAAGGATAAGAATGAGAGAGATAAGCCAGAAAAAGAACTATCCGTCGGAAAGCCAAAGCCAAGTGATGGAACCAGTGACGTTGAGGAACTGTCGCCGCGAGAAATACCAGTCTTTCCCGATAAAAAGAGGAAGAAACCTAAAACTTCTTCACCTAGTATATCGTCGGAAGAAATGAGCGTTGAACCGATTCCAATGTCCGAGAAATCTCCATCGGCGCCAGAGGAAACTGCTGAGACTGAAATTCAAGCCCAAGAACTCGATGACCAACCATCGGATGACAATTACGTCACTCGAATCGAAACCGTCGTCCAGATAGATGAAAGTGGCAATAAAAAAGTTTCCAAAAGAAAGAAAAAGAAAGTTTTGAAAGGTGACAAAGAGACTACACTTGTAGAGGAGGTTCAAATTCATCGACCTGACTTGACTGATATAACTGATGAGCTGATACCTTCTTTCCCTGGGTTAGTGGTTGAGGAGGCTAAACCAGCAATTGAATTAGATGACAAGAATGTACCTACTGTAGTTGAAGTTAAATCTTTCGTTGATGGACAAGGACGCAAGAAGATTATTCGTAAGAAAACGAAGAAAACTGACGAAGGTGGGAAAGAGATTTTGACTATTGTTGAAGAAGAATTGAAACAGCCATTCGCTGAACAGCTAATGGATACTTGTCAGCCTCATGGTTCTCTGCCAGAGGAAGGTACTACGCCTTATCCACTCGAGATTTCAAAACATGATTCGGTGACTATTAAGGTTGAAACGAGCATTCGATCTGAGAAAAATGGTCGGAAAAAGGTCACAAAGAAAAGAACGAAGAAGATATCCAAAGACGGTAAAGAGTCAATAGTTGTAGAAGAAGTAGAACTTGAAAACCCTGAAATTGCTGATGTCGCGGATGAGATTGTGCCCCTTGCTGCAGGTTTTAAACTTTTAAAATCGAAACCTGTTATTGAACGTGATGAAAAAGGCTTTTGTACACTTGTGGAAGTTAAACATTTTGTTGACAAAACGGGACGCAAAAGAACTGTGCGTAAAACATCAAAGAAAGTCTTAGAAGGTGAAGATGAAATTGTTACAGTGGTAGAAGAAGATTTACAGCAACCTTCATCTGAAGAAAAGCCAGAGTATGTAGATTTCGAAAGTCCAAAATCTGTGAAGAAAGTGAAGCCAGAGAAAGATGAAGGAATAGTGACCAAAGTAGAAACACTCGTTTGCACGGACAAGAAAGGTAAGCGGAAAGTATTCAAGAAAAGACTAAAGCAAGTTCGGATGGATGGTAAAGATACTGAAGTAGTGGAGCAACTTCAAATTGATAATCCTGATACGATAGACGTCAGAGATGAAATTTTGCCACTTGTTCCGGGTATCGATTATATTGAGACCGAGCCTGTGATCGAACTTGATGAAAAAGGCACTCCCACGGTAGTGGAAGTAAAATCGTTCATCGATAAATCAGGACGGAAGAAGACGGTCCGGAAAAAAACTAAGAAAACAACCGAGGACGGCAAAGAGATTTTACAAATAGTCGAAGAAGAATTGAAACAGCCTCTAATAGAAGATGTTTCAACTGATGAATCACACCCATTAATTCCGACCACAACAGAAATAATCCATTTGAAGCCAGATAAACGGGAAAAAGATAATCTTACTAAAGTCGAGACAGTCGTACGCACAGACGAACGAGGTGAAAAATCCGTCGTTAAAAAGAGAACTAGGCAGGTCAAACGAGACGGCAAGGACTCAGTCGTGGTAGAAGAAGTTCAGATACTTGAACCGAAACTTACTGACCTATGTGATGAAATTGTTCCCGGATTTCCTTCCATAGAATTTGTTGAAGTAGAGCCTACAATTGAGCGTGATGAAAAAGGCATTCCAATAGTGGTAGAAGTAAAGTCCTTCATTGATGAGAAAGGACGCAAAAAAACAATTCGGAAAAAAACGAAGAAAACTCTAACGGGTGGCAAAGAAGTTGTAACGACTATTGAGGAAGTAATTAAACAACACGCATTTGAGGAAACGCCCCAAGAAACGGTTGAACTATTTGGTGAAACTGCTGAGAAAAGAAAGAGACCTGTGATGAAGGATGTACCTGATGATGACACGATCTTAACCAAAGTAGAGACTACTGTCCGCATTGACGACAAAGGTAAAAAAACAATTCTAAAAAAGAAAACTAAACAGGTCAAAAAAAATGGCCTAGACTCAGAAGTGGTTGAAGAAGTACATATAGATGAACCCAAGTTGACGGATCTACTGGAAGAAATTATTCCCAGTCTACCTGACACTGAAATCATCAAATCGAAACCTATAATTGAACGTGACGAAAAAGGTATTCCAACTCTTGTTGAAACCAAGTCTTTTGTTGACGACTTAGGTCGTAAGAGAGTAGTTCGGAAAAAAACGAAAAGAACTTCCGATGGTGGAGAGGATATCGTCACAATTGTCGAGGAAGAGATCAAACAGCCTGTGGTGGACGATTTATCAGATTCAACAGTCAAAGAGTTAACTCCTCGAAGTCCAAAAGATGTAAAGCCCGTGGAACAAGATGCAACACTCGGAGAAACGGTTGTTACAAAGATAGAAACTGTCGTACAGATCGGACCAAAAGATCAAACCAGTGTTGTCAAACGGAAAACAAAGAAGAAAATAATAAATGGAAGTGAAATTGAAACTGTCGAAGAAAAAAATATTTTTCAGCCAGTCATCAGTGACATCTCCGATGAGTTGGGGCCAACTCCATCTTTTTTCACCCCAGATGTTGATTGCACTCGAATAGTTCCGTATATCGAATTTACTGAGTCAGGAACACCAGCAGTAGTAGAAATTAAGTCGTTTATTGACAAAACGGGCCGTAAAAAAATTGTCCGTAAAAAGACCGTTAGAGACATTGGTGATGGAGCAGGAACTGTTACCATAACGGAAGAAGATCTAACAGAATGTGCCCCTGAGGATGTAATCGCTGAATTGGCTGCCGTCGAAAATTCACCCGTCCAAGAAGCCTTAACACGAGTCGTCGAAAGTGGTAATCAAAAGACGATTCGCAAACGCACTAAGAAAATCGTCAAAGATAAAAAAGAAACTATCGTCACTGAAGAGATGTTGGCCGAAAAGCCGGAAATTGTTGAAATAGCAGACGAAACCACATTAGATATGCTTGCGTTGGAGGCTGTGCCTCATGTAGAATATGATGAGAAAGACATACCAATGATAGTAGAAATCAAGCCTGTCATTGATAGTCTTGGACGCCCCAAAAGTCTTAAGCGGAAAGTTAAGAAATCCGTCCATGGGCGTCAGGAAGTGGTGTCTATAACTGAGGAAGTTTTGACCGATAGCGTCGAGCCGCTCTCCATTCAGAACATTCCTTCTGAAGTATTGGAATATACGGTTCAACCCAGATCGAAAACTGAGGTGAAAAAAATTGAAACTCAAATCGAAATTGATACCCAAGGCGGAAAAAGAACAATAAGAAGAAAAAAGAAAAAGGTATCCGAAGACGGTAAGGTACTGGAAACCATGGAGGAAAAGATGTTTGAAGAACCTGAAAGTCTAGAAAGAGTAGACGAATTGTTACCCGAAATGCCTACCACTGATGTCGTCGAATTAACACCGACAGTTGAATTTGACGATCAAGGAACGCCATGTATCGTTAAAGTAAAATCATTTATTGACGAAACCGGACAGAAACGAATCGTGCGAAAGAAAACTAAGAAACAATTAATAGCTGGAAAGGAAATAATAACTATCGTTGAAGAGCAATTGAAGCAACCTGTAGTAGAAGGATTGGATGATGATGTGACTCACCCGCTGAAACACCTGTCTCTGAAATCGTTAGAGCCACGAGTGGAAGAAGAACCAGAAGAGCAAACTACCGTTACTAAGATTGAAACGATTGTAACACTTGACAGAAGTGGGAAGAAAAAAATCGTGAAGAAAAGAAAGAGGAATATTTTGGAAGATGGTGTAAAAAAAGTAGTTGTGGAGGAAGAATACATTCAAGAACCCGAAATCACCGAGATATCAGATGAGTTAGCCCCAGTTCTCCCTGATTTACAGCTCATCAAAGCAAAGCCTGTTATCCAGTTCGATGATGAGGGTGTGCCAACTGTTGTTGAAGTCAAGGCATTTTTAGACAAAACTGGGCGTAAGAAAGTTGTCCGCAAAAAATCTAAAAAGTGTGCGAAAAATGGTGAAGAAGTTTTACATATAGTCGAAGAGTTCCTTAAACAGCCTGAAATAGCAGAACTTCCCGACGAAATTAGAAGCGCAATAAAGCCAGAGAAATCTTTCGATAAACCTGCAATTCCACATAGCAAGCCGGAAGAAACCGATCACCCCGTGAAAAAAATATCTTTGGTCAAGGATAAAAAAGATAGACCCGTAAAATCTCCAGAGAAGAAGAAACCATTGAAAGGTTTCTCTGAGCCAGAAGAGGAAGACATCTTCCCGCAAGAGTCTGCAGCGCCTACCCAAGTTGTAACGTTTATAGATGAAAATGGACGCGCAAGAACCATCCGAAAGAAACCGAAGAAAACAATTATCGATGGGAAAGTGACGAAAACCCTTGTTGAAGAAGAAATAACACGACCAACAGTCTTAGAGTTACAAGACGAAATAAACAAGTCTCTTCCTTTCGAAGTAGCACCTTCAGATACAGCTTCGGTTCTAAGAGTTCCTAAAAAAGATGAATGTGTTACAAGTGTTGAGACCACCATAAAAATTGATGATGCAGGTCATAAAAAAGTCGTCAAAAAAAGGAAAAAAAAGGTCGTTCAAAATGGAGTTGAAATTGACGTAATCGAAGAAAAGCAGGTTAGTCTACCTCTAATTTCAGATGTTCTAGATGAACTGGTTCCGGATTGTATTCAGAATGAAGTTATTAAGGCGACACCATCCGTGGAACTTGATGAGAAAGGTGTTCCTACGCTAGTTGAGGTGAAAGCTTACGTTGATAAATCAGGAAAAAAGAAAGTTATCCGTAAGAAGACTCGAAAAATGGTAGACGGGAAGGACGAAGTAGTATCTATTATCGAAGAGGAAGTTCCGATTCCTTCTGATACTGTACCTGATGCTACAAAACCTATTGAATCCTCCGAAGTTCCCCTTACTTCAGAAGATGCTTACCCTGATGAGGTTACTGTTACAAAGGTTGAAACTCTAATAGATGTTAATGAACGGGGACCGCAGAAAGTCAAACGTAGGAAGGCTAAAAAAGTAAAGAAAGATAACGAAGAAGTAATAGTCGTTGAAGATGTCCCAGTTCATATTCCCGACACGCCTTCGCTGTTCGATGATGTACCAGAGGACGTTTCGAACCTCGTTCATGCTGTACCCAACATACAGTCAGACGAAATGGGCGCACCCATCTTAGTTGAAGAAAAGGTATTTTATGATAAACTTGGCAACAAGAAAAAGCTTCGAAGAAAAACGAAAAAATCCAAAGTAGATGGAAAAACTATAATCTCTGTCGTCGAGGAAGAAATTTCACGACCCGTTTCAGAAATTGTATCCTCACATGATTCTTCAAAGCCTGAAAAAGCGTCTGACGTCAAGTTACAACCTATTGAAAAGAAAGAGGCTGGTCCAAAAAAGCCAAAATTCGCTGATATTAGCCAAGTCCCTCTGTTTGCAGATATTCAATTGAAAAAGGCTCTAGTTAAACGTCCCACAACTCAAAAGACAGTCTCTATTGAAAAAATTTTACTCAGAAGTAGAATAACTAGGATCGAGTATCCACCGTCTATCAAACACCTCACCGTCGAAGAGTTGGAACCAGTTTTCGTGGACAATGGAGTTTTATCCCGAAACGTAGAAGAATCGTTAAAGCTCAGGAGGAAAAAGCCCAGACGCTTCAAGCCATCTGAAGTAGATACTGCAGAGCTTGAAAAATATACACCCTTTGTAGATGAGCCAGCTAAGGAGATTCCGGACATTCTTGAAGATCGAAAGTCCAAACCAGATGAAGTTGAGCCAAAAGAAGGGGCTCAACTAAGCCCAAAACTTGTACTCGGAAAAGGGAAAATCCCTGTCAAAGATTCAAATATTGAGGAAGTAACATTGAAAAAAATACCTCCAAAAGAGAAATCTGAGGTATCTTTAGGTAAAGAAAAACCCCAGAATCTCAAACCGTCACGAACAATTGAAGAAACTCCTCGTGATGATGTTAACATTACTCTTAAACCGTTCGATAAAATTGAGACCAAGCATCAGATGGATGAGAAACCGACTAGCCCAGAGGAAATGAAGCCGTCAGAAGGATATCCGCTCAAACCAGACAAAATGGGGCGAAAAAGAGCCAAAGTCCCTGAGGCTGATCAACAGCCTGAGGACAAACCGCTTGTACTGGGACAACCAAAGGCAGGACCGGACGAAGATTCTAAAGTTCTGAAACTTAAGAAGAAGCAAGGCCCACCACGAGAAGATGCACCAGATTCCATAATACTTAAACCATTTGAGAAAGAAAAAGTGGATGATACGTTGCCAGGCAGAGATATTTCAATTGGTAAACCTAGTCCCTTCGAAGTCCCATCGGATGCCGACGAAATTAAACCGAAGAAAATTACGGATACTCCTGATAAAAAGAAAAAGAAACTCAAGACTCATGAGTCTCCTAGGTCCAAAGATGTATCCCATTTGGCTCCAGAAGAAGTTGAAGAATGCCCTTCAGATGTAGTAATGAAACCCGAACAATCTGATTATGATGAAGCGGAAGTGGTGAAAGTTGAGACAACTATTCAAGTTGATGAAACTGGACGTAAAAAAATAATTAAGAAGCGAAAGAAGAAGATAGTAAAAGATGGTCGTGTAACTGAATTAGTAGAGGAAGTGCCTATCGACAATGCTGAGATTAATGATGTCTTAGATGAACTTGCACCCAGTTTACCAGGTAGTGATTTAACCGTGGCTAAGCCTGTGATCGAGAGGGATGATAGTGGTGCTCCCACCGTTGTCGAGGTCAAATCCTTCATCGATAAATTCGGTCAGAAAAAAGTGGTTCGTAAGAAAACAAAGAAGACCACCGAGAACGGGAAGGAGATCATTACTATCACCGAAGAGGAAATAAAACAGCCGTCGACATCTGAAATTTTTGATGAAGAAGTGCAACCTTTAATGCAACCGGATGAGCAACAACTGGAGTCCGCTGTAGAGGAAGCTACGATGGAAGAGGCTGTTGTAACTAAAGTTGAAACATTTATTTTTGATGACCAAAAAGGTGGACGCAGAGTTGTGAGAAAAAGAACGAAAAAAATGAAGAAGGATGGAAAAGAAACTGAAACTGTGGAAGAAACGGAAATAAAGCAACCGAATATCGCTGACATAACTGACGAAATTGTACCCACTTTGCCGTCCGTTAAGTTCATCCAAGCAATTCCTACCGTAGAATTCGATGAAAAAGGAACTCCGTCGGTAGTTGAAGTCAAATCTTTTGTTGACAATGTTGGTCGACAGAAAATCGTGCGCAAGAAGACGAAGAAAATAAAAGAGCATGGTACGGAATCTGTCTCTATCGTTGAAGAAGATATCACGAAAATAGCGCCACATGAGCTAGTCGAAGAATTGACTTCGCTGGATAACAATAAAATAGAAGAAGAATCATTATTGCGAGTTGATGAAAGACGTCGAAAAAAAGTAATTACAAAACGTACGAGGAAGATAAAAAAAGGAGGGCGAGAACCCGTAGTTACAGAAGAAATTCCATCACGCGGCCTGGAAATTACTGAGTTAACTGACGAGGCTGCGCCATATTTCACAGGTCCTCTCGATATTATTGCTACCATACCAGTAGTTGAATTTGATGAAATGAATATGCCAGTCGTTGTCGAAATCAAGCCAGTTTTTGACATTTCGGGAAATAGAAAACTAATAAAGAGGAAGATCAAGAAAAAAGTCCAAAACGATAAAGACGTCATTCTTATTACTGAGGAGGAAGTGAAGCAAGTTACGTTTGATGAACATCCCGAGGACATTACTGAGGGTCCAGTTGAAGGTCCCGAAGACGCTCAACCTGTAGTGGAGCAACCATCCGATGAGGATAATGAGAATGCTAACACAGAGACAATTACCGACACAAACGAATCTGGTAGGAAGAAATTTGTCAAGAAGAAAGTTAAAAAATCAATTCAGAACGGGAAAGAGGTCGTTGAAGTTGAGCACAAATTTGTTGACCAGCCAGAAATAACTGATGTGACCGATGAAGTATCCGAAAGGTGTTTTAGTGAAGAAAGACAGCAACCCACGGTAGAAGAAATTCCAGATGATCTAATCGAAACGCCTGCAACTCATACAGACTCATTACGTCACGCGCCAGAAGAGGAGACTCCACTGAAAACGTTGCCTAAAAAAATTTTGCGTAAAAAGGTAAAGAAAACTGTCAAAGATGGAAAAGAAACCACCACTGTCACCGAAGAGGTCATCAAACAATCAGAGGTTGGCGAATTTTCTGAAGATAAAACGAGTCCATCGAAGATAGGACCCGTAGAAGAAGTAATCGAAAAAATTGAGACCGTCTCTGAAGTTGACGAGAAGGGAATGAAACAGGTGAAGCAAAAAAGAACGAAGAAGATTCGGAAGGATGGACTTGATTATGTAGTGATTGAAGAACTACCAGTTCATGAAGCTGATACAGAAGACGCCGTTGAAATAATTCCTGAAGAGTTGCAAGAATCTGAAGTAATCGAAGCAATGCCAGTTGTCGAGTTAGACGAATTGGGTATTCCCATTTTAGTAGAAGAGAAAGTACTGACTGATAAATTAGGTAAAAAGAAGAAAATTCGCAGGAAAACGAAGAAAACGCCTCATGGAGAGGAGGTTATCACTGTTATCGAACAAGAAATTCCTGCGTCAACACCTCAGGAATCAGAATTACCAGACGTTCTTAAACCAGAAAAACCGTCGGATCTTCAATTGCTCCCTCTGAAGAAGAAAGAAATAAGTCCCGAGAAACCAAAAATCTCAGATATTAGTGCAGTGCCATCATTTGCCGAAATTAAGTTAAAAAAGGCTCCCATTCAACGACCTCGAGATCGTAAGTCAGTGTCAATGGAGAAAATTTTATTAAAAAGTAGACTTACAAGGGTTCCGTACCCTCCGTCGATTAAGCATTTGAAGGTAGAAGATTTAAAGCCCGTTTTTGTAGATAATGGTGTCTTATCTCGGAATGTCGAAGAATCCTTAAAATTGAAAAAGAAAAGGCCTCGTCGTTTTAAGCCCTCCGAATCGGACTTGGCAGACCTAGATAAATATACGCCGTATGAAGAAACTCCTGTAGAAAAATCACCCCAAGAATTAGGAGAACTCAAGCCCAAAAAAGAACCAAGTGAGAAAGAAGAAAAATTGCCCTTGGCAACAAAACTAAAAATCGGGAAAGGTAAAATTCCAAAGGAAATTGCTCAGTCTGAAGAAGTTACCCTTCGTAAAATACCTACCAAAGAAAAGCCCTCTGAGAAGCCAGATGAAACCGTACCGCAGACATTAAAATCAGTCCCATCAGTTGTTGATAAACGTCCGGAAGATTTTGAATACAAGCTGAAACCAATAGACAAAGTAGATACTTCTCACTCACCTGATGAAACTCCCATACCTGCTGAAACTGCAGCTTTTCCACAAGAAGAAACGCCTGCACCCCACAAATCCAAAGAGCAAGTAGAGAAACCGAAATTGGAAGATTCCCAACCGGAGACAAAGCCTCTTATATTCGCTAAACCGAAGAAAAAAGGCGAGGAAGAACATCCAAGTATCAATCTTCGAAAAAAGCAAGGTCCGCCCGAAAAACATGTACCAGAAACGGTTGTGCTAAAACCGATCAAGAAACCAAAATTGGAAAAATATGACGCTGAAAAAGACTTGACAGTGGAAAAATTAACACCTGTAGGTAGAAAGAGTGACGATGAAGAGATTGATCTAGACAAATTTAAAACAAGACCAACAAAAGAGAAATCAAAGAAGAAAAAACCCTCTAAAATACCTGTTGCAAGGCTTGATAGCGAAGCTCAGGAAGGAAGTCTGCAGCCAGAAAATACCGAACAATTGAAGTCTTCGAGTGAAGACGAAAGTCCCATGTCAGGAGCAAAGAAGTCAGAGGATGAAGATGTAGCCTCTCTGCCGAAGGAAGAAGTGCCTGAAGGTGCCTCATTGCAAGAATTAGACTCCGAGATTGGTCCTATTGATCAAATGTCCCCCTCAGAATCAAAAGATGAAATTATAAGTCAAATTCCGCTACTCGTGGGCTCGAAAAAGAGAGCAAAAAAACCAAAGGCGCGTAAAAGTAAACCTGATGACTCAACTCCGGAAGTAGCACCAGAAGAAAAACTCCCTGAAGAGGAAACTGCCCCTCAATTAACTCCCGAGAGAAAGAAAAAACCGAAGTACACGCTTCACCCCATGGAGATAACGGATGTCTCTCCTACCAAGCTAGAATTGACGGACGTTGATCATTTACCAAGCTTTGCCACCATCAAACTGAAAAAAGCGCCTATTAAACCGAAGAAAGAAATTGAATCCGTGAAATTAGAGAAAATCCTTCTGAAGAGCAGAATCGTGCGTTTAGAATACCCTCCGTCCGAGCAAAAGCCCAAGATATCGGAACTTGAACCAATTTACGTAGATAATGGGGTACTATCTCGAAACTACGCAGAGGCACTGAAGGTGAGGAGAACCAAACCTAGACGTTTCAAGCCCTCTGAATTGGAATTGCCAGAACTTGAAAAGTTTGAACCATTCGAAGAGACGCCACGTCCTGAAGATCAGCCAGAGCAGCCGGATGTGCCAAAGCCTGCAGAAAAACCCGCGAAGCCTGAAGATGAAACCGAAAAGAAGCCAAGTCTACGTATAGGCAAAGGCAAAATGCCTCCCGGGGAAGATCTCCCGGAAGTTGTCACGTTGAAAAAGATCCCACGTAAAGAAAAACCCGAAGCTCCACCGGAAGAAGATAAACCCCAGAAACTTAAACCGTCCCCTCATCTGGAAGACAAACCCGCGGAAGACGCTACCTTCAAGCTAAAACCTATCAAACCGATCAAAACAACGTTCCCAGAGGACGAAACGCTTTTACCTGAGGTAACTGAGAAGGAAACGCCTGATCAATCACCTGAGGTAACAAAACCCAAGAAAAAGCCTAAAAAACCTGCTCCCGAAGCGCCCGCTCCGGAAGTAAAGCCGTTGGTTTTGGGAAAACCGAAGCCTAAACCGGAAGACGAAATTCCTGACATCAATTTAAGATACAGACAGGGCCCGCCGAAGGACGAAGTACCCGAAACCATTTCCCTGAAACCCATCCGGAAGGACAAGCCTGAGGATACTGGTCCTGAGAAGGACTTGTCAGTCGGCAAACCTGCACCTATCGACAAACAGCCCGTCGAAGAAGTGGAAAGTGACAAAAAGCCGAAGAAGAAACAAAAGAAGCCAAAAGCCCGTGAAAGTAAACCTGATGACTCAACTTTAGAAGCAGCACCAGAAGAAAAACTCCCTGAAGAGGAAACTGCCCCTCAATTAACTCCCGAGAGAAAGAAAAAACCGAAGTATACGCTTCACCCCATGGAGATAACGGATGTCTCTCCTACCAAGCTAGAAATGACGGACGTTGATCATTTACCAAGCTTTGCCACCATCAAACTGAAAAAAGCGCCTATAAAACCGAAGAAAGAAATTGAATCCGTGAAATTAGAGAAAATCCTTCTGAAGAGTAGAATTGTGCGTTTAGAATATCCTCCGTCCGAGCAAAAGCCCAAGATATCGGAACTTGAACCAATTTACGTAGATAATGGGGTACTATCTCGAAACTACGCAGAGGCACTGAAGGTGAGGAGAACCAAACCTAGACGTTTCAAGCCCTCTGAATTGGAATTGCCAGAACTTGAAAAGTTTGAACCATTCGAAGAGACGCCACGTCCTGAAGATCAGCCAGAGCAGCCGGATGTGCCAAAGCCTGCAGAAAAACCCGCGAAGCCTGAAGATGAAACCGAAAAGAAGCCAGGTCTACGTATAGGCAAAGGCAAAATGCCTCCCGGGGAAGATCTCCCGGAAGTTGTCACGTTGAAAAAGATCCCACGTAAAGAAAAACCCGAAGCTCCACCGGAAGAAGATAAACCCCAGAGACTTAAACCGTCCCCTCATCTGGAAGACAAACCCGCGGAAGACGCTACCTTCAAGCTAAAACCTATCAAACCGATCAAAACAACGTTCCCAGAGGACGAAACGCTTTTACCTGAGGTAACTGAGAAGGAAACGCCTGATCAATCACCTGAGGTAACAAAACCCAAGAAAAAGCCTAAAAAACCTGCTCCCGAAGCGCCCGCTCCGGAAGTAAAGCCGTTGGTTTTGGGAAAACCGAAGCCTAAACCGGAAGACGAAATTCCTGACATCAATTTAAGATACAAACAGGGCCCGCCGAAGGACGAAGTACCCGAAACCATTTCCCTAAAACCTATCCAGAAGGACAAGCCTGAAGATACTGGTCCTGAGAAGGACTTGTCAGTCGGCAAACCTGCACCTATCGACAAACAGCCCGTCGAAGAAGTGGAAAGTGACAAGAAGCCGAAGAAGAAGAAAAAGAAGGAGAAAGACACTCTTCTCGTTGAAAAGCGTGATGGGCGAAAATCGCCTTCTCCCCCCCGGAAGGTGACCCAGGCACCCCGATTTTCAGAGCGGCTCCAGCCGGTCGTGACCGAGCATGATATGCCGTGTGCACTTACATGTGTGGTAGAGGCCGTTCCGTCCCCCGAGATCACATGGTATTTCAATGGCTTGGAAATCTTCAAGTCAGAGAAGTACTCATTCATTGTAGAGGAGAACCGCGTGACACTGAAGATACACGCCGTCCGACAGGAGGACGTCGGGGTTTACTCTTGTAAGGCGGCTAACTCGGCAGGCGTGGCCACCTCCACAGCCAACCTCATTCTGCTAGGTACCAATTTTGCGATTGAAATGAAGATTTCGTGTGGATTTGAGTTTGAATTTGGATTTACAATACGATTTGTGTTCGCTTTAACTTGTTTGCGTGTTTCCAGAACAGTGCCTAATAACCGTGGCCTCTCTCAAAAAGATGGGGGGAAAAACTAACTGCCTTAGCAATATTGGCACATTTAATCGCATTTTTTTACCACTGTGATATTTTCTTTTACACCTGATTTGTTACTTACGTACAATTTTACCAAAAATGTTTTACTTGATTAGGTGTTTCGATTTTCCTATATCCATAAATTCATTTCAAGGTAATCCTTTGACCATGAATAATCTTCAATTTTTTTTATTTTTTTTTCACGGCAATTTCAAAGTTTCACCTTTTTTATCCTTAATTTTACTCTTCACGCTTTGAGTCCGTTGTGGGAAATTGTAGTGATCGCTGGGAACTTGCAATGTGCTCGCAGATAACTCATGTAAATTGCAAGCCAGCTGCCTGCAAAACGGGCTGGAAAAGTATTTTTTGTGAGACTCATTGCAGGGGTTGCCTGTGCTGTTGTCATTAGCACTAACAACCGAAAGTATTACATCAGGATGGCATAAAACCTTGCTTTTCAAATTCGACTTTAATTTTGCTCTCTAAATGCGCTTACTCATAATAGATATTCAATTTTTGTTTTATCCTGTGTAACTTTTCATACCAAATAACATAAGATTTTAACCTTGTGCTTTTGTTTTTCTGTAACACAAACACAAAATGTGGTCTCGCCGAGGAAAATATTATTTAGGTTTGAAAGTCAAGATGGTCTAATTCTTTTGAAAGAGGAATCCCCAGTATCCTTACCTAATTGCAAATTTCTAATTCAGGGAAAGTATTTAAATCTATCAGCCCTACCAGTGTTGCAAAACAAAACAAAAAACAAAAAAATCTCCCTAGCTGGTGCCTGTCAAAGTTTCGAAGTCTATTTACCGGCATTAAGTAGTTTTTAGAAACTATTTCATGAAGAAGAGAAGTAACATCTTCGCTGGTCATTTTCTGTTCATTAGATCACTTGTTTGCATCTTTAGAATCCCTTCCCGAAATTTTGACAGCACCATTCAATATTTGACGTAGGATGGAGGGAGGGCACGATTGCCAGATTTTGCAATGCATTTTCGATATTTACGAAAATGGGTTTAAATGAGGGAAAGTTCTGATACTTTTTCAGTACTATTTGGCAACAGTGGAGGAGAGAGATCCTATTGAGCTCAGTACCAAAGGCTTAAAACTTAAAACTGTTAAACAAAGTTTTTACCCGTTGAACTCCTTAATATTTTGCTCTACTAATTTTAACTCGAATCAACAAGTTGCCTTGCCAGGTATCTAGAACGCCTCGATTTATATTCATTTTTAGGCTTATCAGTTGCTCTTTGTGAAAAGTGTGTGATTATCTTTGCAAACAATGGGTCTGAAAAAATAAAAATATTTGTTTGCCTATCCGCAAAGCATGCCTTCTTGATTATTGCCAATGCTCACTAATATACCTCCTACCACTTAGCGGTTTACCTGCTCAGTTTTGTATTCCTGATTTCGTTTTATCACCCACAGAATTTACTGTCTTCGCTCTAAAAAGTTACCTCGAGTTATTTTGATTGCCGAGCCCTTGAAACCACAACAGCTCAAATTAAATTTTTCTACTTTCACCCTAATAGTGGCACATACCTATCAATCCTCCTCCAGGACTCACTTTAATATCGCACGAAAAATTTAAGGTATATATATTGGTGCAATTTGATAAAAAAATGTTCTGTCCAGGCCAGTTTTGAATACAAATATTCCCAATGTATAGATTTCGAGGAAATACACATCGAAAGTGAAACCGCAAAACATGTATCTCTGTTAGCGATGCTGCAGACTTCCTGTCATAATGTATTTTTAAGTGGAAAAATATGCAACGTCATATCCTGAAAATTATCTTGTAATATTATGCGAAAATCAAGCAATAGCGTCGATTCGTTCTCCTTTGATCATGAGTGGCGGTAGCCACATCCGGGCATGTAATATATTAAACCGGGAGCGGAGATTGTGAAATAACGTAAACGAGGTGTATGTTTTAGCAGTTTCACCGTCGATGTGCCTTTAGCTTCTTCCGTGCAGACATAGTGTAACCAGTAACAGCTCGGCAAATTAATTTCAAAATTTCGATCTCTTTTCTCTTGCTTCTCCCTTTTATCTCCACTCGGGAAGACACCGTACAGCACTTCTAAGGGGTATCGACGTTTCGTAACACACTTCTTTTTTCCTTTTGCAGAGCCGGAGGTGACGGGCGACGCGCCCAAGTTTACGGAGCCGCTGAAGCCGGTGCTGGCCAAGCCGCGCTCGGAGACGGTCCTCACAGCGGTGGTTGTAGGCTCGCCGCTGCCCACGGTCCTTTGGTTCGCCCGCGAGAAGGAAATCGTCCCAGACGAAACCCACGTCGTAGAGTTCAACCCGGAGACGGGTCGCACTACCCTCACCATCTCCGAGGTGACCGAGCTAGACGAGACCGTATACTCCATCAAGGCTGTCAACGTCTTCGGTCGGGCCGAGTGCAAAGCCAACCTTGTCATCAGTAAGTATCTAGGTCGATAGACCTAGGTCGGTCCGTTAGCAAGACGTTCTATTGAATTTCCCGATCCGGCGACGGATTCCCCCAATTTGCTGTTTCACTCCAAACGTTTCCCCGTTTTGCGTTTGCGCGGCCCCGTTGCATAGTTCCTCCCCAATCTTCCCGATCTGCATATGACCAATCGGATCAGGATCGGATCGGACCAATCGGATCGGTAGAACAGCAGAGTGGGACAAGCAAATCGAGGGAATCTGTTGGCAACGCGGACAGCCCTCACCCCCGATTTGCAGAGATTATCACACCCAACTTTTCCAACGGACTGACCTAGGTCTATCGACCTTGAGTAAGTATGCAAATCCTGTGTGTATGACCTTGAGGGAAACCGGACTACATTTTGCAATTAGGAACTACCTACATGAAGTGGTTCCTCTGTAAAAAAAATTATGTGCTGAGGGAAAATAATGGTACATACGTCGTTCCTCAACTGAGCCAGAAATTGCAGTCCCTAATTGCAAAATGTAGTCCAACTGTAGAAGGGGTCGCTCAATTGTGCATATGTCTCAGTTATGTCATATCTGTACCTAAATAAATTGATTTAATTCTGCAGTTAAGAGCTACAATTTCTAGCTCATCCGCAAAAACATGTATATCCATAGGAAAACAATGGTACGCATGTTGTTTCCAAACCGAGCCAGAGCATGTGGAAAACAAATGGTACGCACACTGTTTCTAAACCGAGCCAGAGATTGTAGTTCCTAATTGCAAAATAACGTCCAAATAAAACGTAAAAATACGTACCAGGTATTTGCAACTTGGTTTTTCAACGGTTTAGCGCAGAAAATCGAACATTCATCATCCTTCTTCCCCCCCCCCCCCCNCTTTCTTTTGTTTTTTTGCTTGTTTTGTAGGCCTCCATTAATAGTTGAGGAGGAATGGGAGGTAATTTAGTTCGGAATGGCTTATACTTACAGTTTTTATACATTCGAGAATTTCCTAAATGCATTTTTCAATCCCTCGAAAGAAGTGGATGTTTTAAGGGAATTGAAAGGTTGAGACCATCCGAAAATCTTAAGTTTCCCAGGAACAAAATGGATAAAAGATCTTGTTATTTAAAAGAAAATAGGACTGAAATAAATGGTAATTAGCCGGAAAATCAGCCCATTTTCTCAAACTGCTTTTCAGGTCATAACTGAATTGAAATCGCAGAGACGTCCTCTGTAATGAGAGTGACTTATTTCGTTTTGTATCTTTTTTTTCGTGACTTCTGAGAGGAAATATTTGTTGACAGAAGTCTTACATCGCACGAAGTGAATCTTTATTTGCCATGTATGGTATCACCTGTTAAATAATCTTGTAAAAAGTTAGTTTAGCAATGACAATTCTTGCACGTTTGTAACACTGGTTCTTCTCAATTCATGTAAAATGATCAATTCAGGGGCTTGGAGGATGAGGCGCATAAGTGCAGTTTTTGCCATTTCAAGAAATACGTTTTTAAAGTTTCAAAATTACATTGAGCCTTATAGCTGAAAGAAAGTTTAAAATCACCTTTTGATGCTTTACTAAATCATCATTTACTAAAGCAAATACCTAATTCTATCAAACATGAATCAGGGCAAAAGAAATGAAACCCTTATCTCTATTACAGGTGAAGTTCCGGTCGTGAAAGAGGTGTCTAAATTCGAGGCCCCTGGCATCATTAAACCATTGGAAGCTCTGACTGTACCTAAAGGTTCAACGGTGACTTTAGAGGCTGAATTCACTGGTGTCCCTCAACCTGAGGTCAAAGTATTCAAAAATGGGAAAGAATTAGATTCAACATCGGACTTGGAGGTCCATCCAAACAAATGCACCTTAACTTTGAAAAATGTCAAATCAAACATCGCTGGAAAGTACGAAGTTCGAGCTATTAATATTGTTGGTGAAGCGCGCACTTCAAGCTCTGTGACTGTAATTGGTTAGTAAAATTTATTTTCTTCTTATATAGTGACACTACCATCTGATAAATAGAAAAAGCTTTTAATACTTGTTTTCTTTGGACTCATACCTTTAAATGAAGACCTTTTTAGGGTTTCTAGTCAAAAATATTGTCTAAGTTGCAGCATTTGGAAAATGACTTGCAAAAAATTTACTTAGAGGTTTTTTGGGGCTTTTTCAGACAAAATAGATGAAGAAATGGAGAATGTCAAAGGCCCGAGGTTTATTGAAGCTCTAAAGCCCCAATTTGTGTGTGAAGCTGGTGCAGTCATCATGGAAGTTCTGGTTGACTCATATCCAACATGTTCATTCCAATGGTTTCAACATTCCACACCCATCAAGGTAGGTTCCCCTTTTTGGCCACCTTTCTCTCTTTCTTGTTGAAATGCAACTTTCTTTCCTCTGAAAACTTGGTTGGCACATTTTAGTAAGTATATTTTATGTTGTAACTTACTTGTCATTTTGTGCCATCATCTCATCCCAGTTAGCGCATTACGACCAGGATGAACGACTGCTAGTTGCGGACAAATTGCATCACTTCGTAAAAATTCAATGAAATTTTCCCCTACCACAGAAATTCAAAATTTTTGCTGGACCTGGACAACTTGCTAATCACCTCTATAATTTGAAGGAGTTGGACCAAGCGCTTTGTAATTTGGATTGCAGGATCTGCCTCTCTGTACTTTGAATTTTGTCACCATATATTTTGTGATTCGAATTTCTATTCTGTTTGGGTTGATGGAAGTGGACTAAAACCTGGGGAATGTGTGATTGAATCTTCTGCTTCTCCTGTCGGACCTACGAAAATTAGCTGTGTAATCAGTGCATAGTTCCAAAATTGAATAGAGCGGTTGTGCGCTCAACATGGAAAAGTTCAAAATTACAGACTTCTTCTCCAAAAAATGTGTGTATCACTCACCATGCAGTTTTTTCTGTTTAACTACAACCAAAACGTAAAATAAATAAATAAATAAATAAATAGGTAAAGTAAATAAATTGCATGGCTTTCAAGTAAACCTCCACGCTAGCAGGTAGTGAGGGATTTTTCTGGCCTCTTATCTTCAAGTCATCAAAGTTGTTCCATTATTCGTTTCTATTCTCTATCATCCTTTCAATTTTGAATTATAGAGCATTTGGCTTCAAAACTTCAATTTATAGAACTTCTTGGAAAATTTCTTTTTTTTCAAAATTTTCCCTATTCACTCCTTAATTCAAAATATTTGAACTTGGGGTCTGAATTCTAAAAAATTCAATATTAGGCAATTTTTTTAACACTGATCCCAATAGATTTTAGCCTATTTAAGTGTAAAATTTGAGCATTCTGCTTATCAGCAGTAAAACTGGAGAAATGCATATCGTGTTTGCGGTGTTTTTGATTCATTGCTGTCACTGAATTTCTTTTAAGGGGATCAAATCTGTGTTCCTGATTTGTGAAGTTCACCAAATAGCCTTCACACATGGCAGGAGAACTAGGGAAGTTTTCAAGAAATGATGTCAATCACTTTTCCGTATAAAAAATGACAGAGGTCTGCAATGTCACAAATGGAGGTGCGCCATCCTACAGGTTCACTTTCGACGTGCATCAACTTATCATACAGATGTTTGCAAAAAATTAAGTTTTTCACTAATAGCGGCAGATGGCATTATCTTAAAATAAGTTTATCTATATAACAAATTAAAAACAGTTACACTTCTGTTATGTAATTGAGTCCAAACCTTGAACATATTTGCTTGCAGCTGACCTTTCTATCACATATAAGCAATTCTATTTCTCTTTCATTCCAGTCAAGCCCAGAATTGCGCGTCACTTCAGAAGCTAATCGCTCAACATTGATGATTGCAAAAGCAAAGTATGAAGATGCTGGTGATTTTACTTGTCGGGCTGAAAATGTTGCGGGCTCAGTAACGTGCACTGCTTCTCTTTCAGTCATTCCAGAGATGGATGTAGCACAAGACCTCACTCCCCCCAGCTTTATTGTGAAACCAAAATCAGCAAGAGTCATGGATGGTCAACCGGTTCTCTTCAAAGCTAAGGTAAAATCTCTTATGTGTTTTTAGACCCTTGTAAGTGACGTTAGTTAAATTTAGTCAAATTCATAGTTTAGCCTATTTCTCCCATTTTAGAGAGAAATAGGCCTGAGGAAGAGCTTACATCTGAATCATTGAATTCTCTTTAATAAGTTTCATCCAAGCGTAAAGTTTCTTTAATTTAAAGGTTGGTTAATGAAGATTATTTCTCATATGCATGTGAAGCTTTGCCCAATTTAGTTTCATTGGTTTAATTTTTGTTCTTGGAAATTTTTCAGGTAACAGGACATCCAATACCTTTGGTATCATGGCTTCATGATGGTAAACCGATCAAAGAGGGGAAGGTGGTCTCTGTAACACAAAATAGCGAAGGTGTGTGTGAGTTGGCCATCTCGGAAGTATTCCCCGAAGACTGCGGTCAGTATGTGTGCCAAGCCGTCAATCCTGCTGGCGAAGCAGTTTGCTCTACATTTTTGGCTGTCGAACGTAAGTTATTTTATATTAATCTCAATCTGTCATATTCCTTCTGAGGGATATCATCGATAAAGGAGTGTTTGAGTTAACCAGAGCCCACTGTGTGACAAAAAATCGCTGATTTGGCAGTACATTGATGGAGTCATTGAAAAATTTACCAATATTGTATTCTTGATATTGTGTCTTTTTTGTCATGTGAATATGTCCACAATTTTGAGCCCCAAAAATGACAGATCAAAATATCTGCTCCGTGCTGTTTTATCAAGCTTTGGTTTTTGAACTGTAAACCTCTAAGTTTCATAACTTTGGTTTTTAGAGTTTCCAAGTTATTAGAGATATTGTCAGCGCGGAAACTTTTAAAGAAGTTATTAGAGTTATTGTCAGCGCGGAAACTTTTGAAGACTATGTTATTTCTTTATTTTTTTGGTAGAAGGAGGGAGGGGTAATATTATGTACATATCATAATTTGATCATATCAACGCAAAGTATTATTTTGGTCTTGTTTTTTTGCTTCAATGAAAAAATTTAGACGCATTAAAAAATTGTATGAGTCTGCTAAGTTTTTTCTTCTTTTTTGCAGCGTATGAATATTCTCCTGATTCTGAAATAGCATCAATAACAGTAGGAGCATCGGTGGCTCCTGCTCCTGATGACTCAGACGAAGATGTTGCTGATAAGGTAACTTCATATTTATTTGTTCGAGATATTCTCTCAAAGCCTCTTAAACGATTGAAAAACTTCGCTTATATTGGCAACCAGTTACAATGTTGAAAAACAATAAGTTTTTAACAGAGACTATTCAGTCCATTTTTCATGGTCACCAACGCGTATTTGGTCAGGTTTTTTATCATGACTCGAAAGTTGGCGGCTGAGTATTGAAAATGGGGCATTGACATTAATGTGACTTCAACAAAGGAGTTAACTGAGGGCAGGAATCAGCAGAGCAAAGAATTAGAACATGGAAAGCAGATTGAAAGCTGTGAATTCTACAAGCACTTAGGAGTTTTCATAACAAAGGATGTAAGATTGGACCAAGCCATTAAAAATAGAAATACGCAAGGCCGGAAAGCTTAGGGTGCGGCTTATTTCCACCGTGTCCGAAAATCGATGAGGTCCGGGTGGCAATTGGTTCTATCTATAAAAATAATAGGCTGTATAAAATTTGAGCCAATTTGAAGCTTTTTTAGATGATGCTCAAAGGGATCAAACCTACGGGCAAAATTACATTGGTTTGAATGGGCGGAAAAACGCCTGATCTGCGAAAATGTGTTTTTTAGATCTAAATGCGCTTAAATGAAAAAACCTGACCAGCTCTTAGAGAAGCATCTAGGGGCCCATTCAAAACAAGAAAATCACACTTTTGACCCATGGGTGAGGGTAGGGGGAATCACTCAAGTGCAAGATAAAATATGTACACCAATTTTGTTCCAGGCCCGAGAAATAGTATGGGAGGCAACATTGTAAAGGGCCAAGTATAGTTCTCAAGGGCGAAAACAACTATTATACATTATTTCTCATCAAGTTGTGAGATACATTTGCCTCTTCAGTTCGATCAGAAAGTCTCAAAAGCGGTCACTTAGCTGCGGGCGCGGTGCCTCAAAACCGGCTATGCCGTGATCCTCCTGTGCCCACTCATGGGTCAAAAGTGTGATTTTCTCGTTTTGAATGGGCCCCTAGATGCCTCACTAAGAGCTGGTCAGATTTTCCTCATTTAAGCGCATATTAGATCCATAAAACGCATTTTTGCAGATCAGTCGTTTTTCCGCCCATTCAAACCAATGTAATTTTGCCCGTAGTTTTGATCCCTTTAAGCATCATCTAAAAAAGCTTCAAATTTTCTCAAATTTTATACAGTCTATTTTTCACATAGACAGAACCAATTTCCACCTAGACCTCGTCGATTTTCAGAGATGACGGAAATAAGCTGCACCTCAAGGAAAGCTCATGTTCCCATAAAGCCCATGTTCGATCGAGTACTTTGGGACCAAAAGATCTTCAGAAATATCAAATGGCGGATTTATCACGCAATTGTCATACGTATATAAACTTATTGGTGTAAAGTATGGCCCTTGAAACAGCAAACCCAGCAGGTCTTAGAGGCCACCAAGATGATCTCTGTCGTAGATCACCTCGTATTTCTGGATTAGGTATTGCCCGCAATAATAAGGTATGGATCATAGATGCAAAACAGACCATCATCTATGACATGATAACAAATTTCCAATTTTTATTGCAGTTTGATTGTAATCGTAGTTCATTTTGGGCGCTTCTGGGTACCAGATGCGCCCTTTCCAGCCGTTCGACTCCCCCGATGTAACATGTACTGTACTACATACCGTTTTGCCTTATGGGTAATGACGCCATTCTGGTACACCCGGGAAAATTTGATTTTCTTCTGCATCTGGTATTCGTAAAAGTTTTCGTGAAATGTTTTGCTTTTAAGCATAACAATCTCGCACGGACGTATTACCTGGTTAAACTATTTTGGGGCTTCGTTATGCTTAAATGCCTCATATTCGAGGTTGTAGTTTCAGATTGATTCGAAAAAATCACGAACAGTCACGTGATCTCTTCATTTTAGTGACGTATTACTGTGCTATTTTGTGATTGGTTCATTTTCTCGGCGCAGCATCGTCAAGCGTCAGCTGTTTGCGCCTCTGGGTTGAAGGTTTAAGGTTATGTCAGAGAGAATAGAAAGTTAGAGGCCCGACTCGATGCTAGGTAATTGAAACAGATGCGCTCGCAGTGCGCTCGCTGGCAACGTACGCAACTACTATTTTCTATTGTTTTCCAGAGACTAGCGGCGGGTATGTTGCTGCCGGACCACCTTCACGTAGGCAATTTGTTATACATCGTCCGTCCGCAATACTCTCGCTTGGCCGTATGAAAACGTTCCTCGCATGCGCAGTGTTAAAGAAGCGCCCTCCAACGCTTCAGCGTTGGAACTGCTTGTTTCTTATTTTAATCAAACTTAGAAATCCTCAATCAGACACCTCAAGTAGCAACTTAACCCTTTGAAAAATGCCACTCCAGAGAAACAACTTCTCTTCCAGCTGTAGTTGAAATTTGCGACATACCATTCTATCGACCTACAAACTTTAGTCCATGTGATTTAGCCGGAAAAAATGGTCTGAGCTTCCTAGAAGCTGCTTTGAGTAAAATTCCAATCTCAGAATGGTATCCAATAAGTTGGTGCAATTTATTGAAAAATAACATTCCAAACTGATTTTTTTCGTCATCCTACTTATTTTGTGCCCCTTTTGAAACCAACTTGTCTCTTGTCTCCAGGACCTCTTGACTGATGTCTCAGAGGAGCCGTCAGATGTTGAAATGGATAAAGCACCGTACTTTATTGTACCCCTGGAAGAAAAATTAGTTGTTCAAGAGAATGATATTGCAAGGTAATATAACTTCAAACGTGCTTTTTGTCCTGATTGATTCTTAAGTCCACAGACCCATGTATTTATGATTGTACACCACTTTTACTGCCAACTCTTTGACCTAACTCTGTAAATGTGTATCCTAGTTCTCTTAATCATGGCTGCTTATAAACATTTAGTGTTGATACAGAAAAGAAAAAAATCAGTGAAATACTCTTTTCAAACACGAGTACTACATTAATGAACGCTACTTTTTTAAACTCTATGTATTGAAAAGATTCAAGAAACTGCGCTTAGAATGAAAAGCAGACTTGGGCATCTAATTTTTAAGCAAAATCTTTTCTTTTATCAATTGATTAATTAATTGAACTTATTTATTATCAGTGAAAGAATGTATTAGTATGTAGTGAAAAGATAGATTAAGACTTTACAAAGCTAAGAAGTGATGTGTGGTATTTCTTTTCAAGATAAAATTATTATTAGTCGTGCGGCGAAGCCGTATAGACTCTGGGTTTCGCTAGAGGATAAAGAATGTCCACACTTTTTTATCCCAGGAATCGTACATATCAACCTTTCATCTCACAGCTTTTACTATCTCACAAAACATCACCTAGAATAATCAGATTTTTTACTCTCTTCTTGTACCAAATGATTTGCATTCAATTGGGTGGGTGAAACAGCCCCCCCCCCCTTTCTGCTTCTTCCACATTAGCTGTGACATTGACCTTTCCTACTGGAATAAATAGTAAAATCCTCTATAATGGTTTATTTTCTCTTGTGATTTGCAGATTTGAAGTCAAAGTTGAAGGATTGCCGAAACCGGAAATCCAATGGTACATTAATGGTAACCCAGTATATCCTTCTGACAATACAAAAATTGAAGATTTTGAAGACGGAACATCTGTGCTAACGATTCCTGAGGCCAAACCTGAGGAACATTTGATTGAAATCATGTGTGAAGCAGTGAATGAAGCGGGTGCTTCCTCATGTGTTTCGTACTTCGGTAAGACAGAGGATGAAGTGCACCTCATACTGATACTTTTATTATTTCCTATAAATTGTGCCAGAAGTTGCTTTAAGATGCTCAATTCTAAATTTGCTAGCAAATCATTACTGAATTTTATGATTCGTGATTTCCTCATGATTGTGGAATCGACGTAAGAAAAGCTCCTTTGCCAAGGCATAATCGCCACTGAAGGCTGTGAGTTAATTTTAGTAATAATTGAAAGTTTTCTACAGGTCTGAGGTAATCCTTGCTTTTGAATATCGCTTGCCTGATTTTTCTCTCTCTCATTTTCATTAGAATTTTGTGGTTCTTAAATAACAAAAAGACACTGTTGGTGGAGTTCATTACTTTTTAAGTCCTTCAATATATTAATTTCTAAATGGCTGGTATTTTCTTGAATTTGCTAATCAAATCACCTAAATATATCTTTGGCAACTATGCTCTTTTTTGCGTCAAAGCTGTTTTTTTATCTTCTTATTTTGTTTAGATAAGCTTTACTTTAAGCAATCCAATTTCAAATAATTATTCCTCTAATGATTTGAGATTACGCTGACTGCTGTTTTCTTTTAAGCTTTGCTGCCACTCTCATGTTTCCAAGTAGAACATGAGCAATAGTTTAAGTGCTATTGCTCTCAACAAGTTTATTTTATATTAATTTATTTCTGCTGTACCTAAAATATCTAATTTCCATTAGCTGGTGAGGTTTTTTTTTTTTTTTTTAAGCTGAAAAATTTGTTTTGGTGAACAAATTGAGTTTTCGGTGAATCAATTCCATGGTAATTCACCTAACTATTTTTTAAAGTTATCTAGTATCTATTGCTAGATTTGAGTTTTTTTTTGTGTGCAAAGTCTTGGTCAAATTTAACAAATTTCATAAACTATACATCTTTAGATCAATCAATCAACATTGCTCATTGTTAAGCAATCTATTTTAAAGTAATTTTGCCGTATTGGTCAAATTTTTTTGAACTTTATTCCCATTTCAACTCCTCCCAAAAGTTTAGTAGTCTTTTTGGTGGTGTAACCAAAGATAATTGATAAAATGTCAAAAAAATTATTCAACTTGATGCAAATACCATGAGGTTTGAATCTACTCTAATATAATATGATATTTCTTTTATTTCCAGGTCATGCTCATCTAACTCTGCTTCTATTTCTCTGCTAGAAAAGTAATGCTCTTCTCTCCTTCCCGTGGAGAAATTTGTTTCTTTTTTATTCTCCTTCCTCTGGTTTTTCCTCTTTTTTTCCTGAACTTCTCTCTCCTCTTACCTAATCTCACGCTACATACATAACCATTCACAAAACAGATGCAGCCATCTTAACATTTTGCTCAAAACAGTACAAAATTCAAATCTTATTTTCACTCACTGTTTGAATTTTCATTAATATTTTCATCACAAGACATAATTTTTCTCTTTATGTTATGTTTGTTTCTTTATACTGATGTATCAAGAAAATATGTGACGCAGCAGGGGAAAATGTGCTTTAAGGTGGGTACTCTAACAGTTCAATACATCGAAAAATCGAGGTTAGGGTAAAAAATATTGATAAACAGTTTTGGATACTAAAAACTGTTTAATACTCTCAAGAACACTGGTTGAAAGTTTCAAACCGTAATTAGCATTATGTGTTCATGATGTTAAAAGCGTTTGAAGAAATCTTCCTTAAGATTGGCAATATCGTTTACTAATTTTAATTACTTTTTTCTCAAATTCTCTGTTTTACATCCTCGAACTTTGAACTGCTGGCCATGGGTCAATTTTTGTACCTTTTGTGCTGTAATTGATACAGAATTAAAGACTGTAAGCTGTTGTCTAGTCACAGTATTTTTTCCTCCTACCTTAAAACACATTTTGCCCTATTGTGTCACATATATTGTATTTATTGCAGGAAGCGTCGTTGGTACTTTTTTTCTAGTCAAAGAGCTGAATTGAGTGCAATTGTTCGCGTGTTCAATGTATCCAAACATTGATTTGCATAAACAGAAAAAAGTACCTATTTTACTCATATAAAATCGGGCCTACATATGCATGTATATTAAATTGTTTTTTATCTTGGTAGTTTTAAGTCACATTTATTTTGATTCATTTATTATGGAAAACTTTCCAGTACTTAAAATTCAAGAAGGTTCCTCTGTGTAGCTTTTCAACTGAACTGCACATGTTTCAAGTTTCATGTGAAAAAAATGCACTGAACTTAGCGAATTATACAATTCTTCGTAATTATAGTAATCATGACAAAGCCATCGTTATTTATTTTATGAATGTGTCCTTTATATTTTGCTTCTACAAACATTTTTAGGATGCAATTGGATGAAACTAAATTTATCATTGAGAGCCAAGCAAGCCTATGTATTTATTGATGCCTTTAAAAAAAATCAAGTCCCATTCCTTAGTTGCCATAAATTGTGATGAAGAGAAAGTTTAAAATGCAGCATTTGCAGATCAAAACTTCATAAAAACAGTTTAATTTAGGCTATGTTACCATGCACTTTGAAGAAAATGTGTGTTTTAAAAGAAGTATCTGTGATTTCAAACAACTTAAGCTCTTTAGTCTAACAGAAAGAGCAACACATATATGTTTATTGCCATTCTTGCAGAAGCGTGTTTTTATGAGCAAAGTTAACGCAATCATATCCAAACACTTGTAAGATTATTTTACTCAAAGATTGTTTTGTCTCTTTTTATTAGGTGTTGTTGGAACAAAAGACTACCGCAAACCGAAATGGGTGACGGAGATGGAAGCTCTCCAAGAAAAGCTGAAAGGTAACGAGGAGTTGGCGGATCGTATGAGTGTGGACAGCTTAGAGCATGCCAGTGTGAATCCTCAAAGTAGTTGGGCCTCTTTGGGTGACATCTCTGTAACGCCCTCTTCCCCTACCTCTCCCAGATTCTCTCCACATCCTGACTATGATGATGTAGATATGGGTTCCTCCCCCAGCTTTCATCTCCTGCCCCCAATTGAAGAGAATTCTGAACCATCGACAAGCTCAAGTTCCGCCCCAGATCCTGCCCATTTCTTACTTCCTCAGGACAATAGACAATTGTCAGCTTCCTGCCATAATATTTACGCTAATCCACGGCTTGGTTATGCCCAGCTCTCTGTTTCCAACCCCCAGTTAGGCCCACTGCGCAACTGCGCAATCTATAACACGCTGTACCCATTGGAGCCACGCGAAATTGATCCCGAGGCATTTGCTCAACTCCATACGGCGGATAGTCTGGAGGAGTTGCAGGAGTTTTTGCTTCTTGAGAGTCAGTGTTCAACCAACGAGGATGGATTGGCCGCAGCTTTCCTGACCTCTGACAAGTTGTCAGGTACTAACGCTTTTGTGCTGTTTTTGAGTAACCATGGTTGGTAGCCCAGTAGAAAGGAGCAGACGTATTAGTAGGTCAATTAACGGTTCTAAATAGGTCTTTGTTTGCACCCCAGTAGCAGTGATCACTGAACCAATATTTAAGTGGCTTGCATTAAGCAAAAAGAAACCACAAGTCTAGCACTGTCTTTTTTAATGTGCATGATTTCTCTTTTGCTTAATGTAGTCCAAAAGACTTTCTTATCCTCAGAAAAAATTGAAAAAAGGGTATCCAAACCAATGTGCCTTGAGACACATTTGGCCATTTTCTTAAATGAAACTCGAATTTAATTTGAGAAATCTTCAAATGAAAAAGTACTCATCTTTTCAAAAATTGGAGAAAAGTAGAAATATAAACGTTCTTGAGAATTTATTCTCATCAAACAGAGATACATACCTGTATAGTTTAGTGGTAGGAATGTAGGGGAATAATTTTAAAAAAATTTTAAGGTGGTCATTTTTTATTTTTTTCTCTTTCAAAGATTGTATTAATGCAGTGAATCAATTAAGTAACATCATACAAAAGTAATAGTGATTTGCCAAAATTTCTGCCCTGGGCTCAGTCGAAAATTTTTCTTGTTTAAAATAAGAATATTCATATTGATGGCTCAAGTAAGAAATTGTGTGTCTAAATTTCAATGTTTCAAATTCTATAGTTATATTTTGTATTTTTAGGAGGAAATTAATCAACTCATGCTTTTTAAATTGTGAGAGAACTTATTTGGATAAGGAAAAAAATTTCACAACAAATTTCGAGAGGAACTGTTTGTTTGGTAAAAAAAGAAAAGTATGTTTATTATACATATGTATGGACATCTTTACAGTATTGCAAGCCGAGGTACACAGTTCTCAACTTGAACCATCTATATATGACGCATATATAGTCCATAATACAAATAATAATAATACTGCAATTAAGACGGAAATTATTTCAGCATTGAGCTTTATCTTATTTCGTAATGAACTCAGTCAAAACAAGATTAAGCACATTGATTAATAAAGTATATGAATCCAGTTTCACTCTTGAACTCCTGTCTTTTCATCATCAGCTATCTCTCGTATCTTAACCTCCTATTAAGTTTTTCCTTCCTTTAAGGATTACAGTCTCTTCAGAAACAGTTAAAAAACCGGATGGAGGATGGTCTATTTTTCATATTTTAAGAAAATTCAGAAAAGAATCTCATTTCTTTGGCACTGTTCGCCAACTTTCCATAATAGGATGTATTAGAATACATTGTACCTTTTTCTACTCAAGTTAGAGTAGAATTGTGCAAAGCATAATAGCCATGATTTTTTAAATCTCATCAGTCTGCTCATAACCTCATCTCAAATTTTTCCTTTTTACATCATTTACTCAAGTTTCTATTCTCTACTTGCAGGCCCGAGAAGCCATTGTGCATCAACAATTTTATAATACCTACATATCGTATCTGATTATCTTATTTCAACTCCATCTGATAATTGTTTTCTTCCAACTCCTCTGTAATCCTCTCCAACTTTTGCATTTGTCTTTCTGTTAGATTATTTAAAAAAGACTAGTTAACATACCATAACTTTCTTCCTTGGCCTTCTATTAATACTTTTTCCCCCTCGGAACTTGACCCTCATTAACCTGATTTCTCTTTTTTTCTTTTTTTCCCCAAGAACTTATCATTTTTGTTTTTTGTTTGTTTCCCTGTGTTTGATTTTTACTAACGCATTTTCTTTTTACGCTCAGAAAACTGACAGTACCACAAAATCATTCTAGTCACCTGTTAATATTTAAGGTTTGTATAAATTTTATCTCTCCATTCTCTTTTGATTTATTTTTGAATACCTGTTTACCATTTTTTCATCAACTTTAATGCTGTCCAGGAAACCGTTTAACACATTGACCGCTAAACTGGTCGGCAGGGACTGGCAGTGACATTCCCTCCTGCCATGCCGCAGTGGCTTCCAACTATTTTTGCTGGGTTTGCAAAAGCAACAATCCATTTAAATTCACTTGTCCATGTGTATCATTTTTATTCAAAAAATATGAATTTGCTTTCAAATTTTCTCATTAACCCACAATATACGGTAGAATAAAATAATCCTCAAACTAGCTTAATTGTGTAAGTGGCAATTAAGTCCAATGAAAAAAACAAAAAAGTAGGAAAGACTATCAAGAAAAAATTGCAGGTGCATTTTTATCGCTACCCTTTAACAGTCTCATAAATACACCAGGGTTGCCTAAGTGGGAGATAATTAAGAAAACCGTGAAATTTCAGGAAGTTCCAGAAATTAGTCTGTTAAAACTGCTAAGTGTTAAATCTGCTTTTTTTGCTATCTAGAATGTTTTTAATGTCACAAACCAAAAATATTGCGTGTTTAGGTTTGGAATAGGTAGGTTTTAGCCCTCTCTCATATCATTAAGTATTCGGGAATCTTACCAAAATTTCAGGAGGGTGTCACAAAATTTTATTTTCTAATACCTGTGCTAACCCAGTATACATATGCACATATGGGAGATGGCGCTGGTGGTTCTCTAAAGACGCTTGTATTTAACTTTCTTCCTGTCAGTCACCTGCCTCCACAAGCAAGACCAGGAACCAAAAAGGCATTGGCAGTTAAAGTGTTAATGTTGGTTTTCCAAAAGCATGTTGATGAATGAAATTTTCTCTCGAAAAGAATTTAATTGAATTTCATAACATTTATAGGAGATGATTCAAAGAAATTGTTTTTTAAGATGATTTTGAAAATTAGGTTGACGAATAGCTGCTAAGAAAGTAATAGCTCATCAGAATTTGTGCAAAAATGAATCATTTCAGAAAAAAATTCTGGATCCTTAAGTGCTTTATTCAAGAAAAATTATCTGTAAAGTCTATAGAGGGCTTTCTAGGAAGATCACTGGTCGTGGGGATGAACCCAGTCGAATTGAATGCCTGTTTTTTCCATTTTCTGTGAATGTTGAAATTCTGCATCATAGAGCAAGTATGGAATCAACCCCTCGAAACCCCTCTGAATAATTTCTTCCATTCGACATGAAAATTTTCCAAACCATGAAAAACTATAATTGGACCTTATTTTTGTAGAAGTCTCCTTTTGTGAAAATATTTTAAACTAAGGCAGTAATGCATCAGCATCAATCGAAACAGTTATCTGCTTTGGTTTAACCCCTCTCTGTATCTTTTAATCTTTGCATCTAGCTTTCGCATTGTTTCACCTTTTCATTTCCTAAAATTTTCAGACACTCGTTCTCCACCTGTATTTGTTCAAGAAATCACAGATGTAAGAGCACGAGAGTATGAAACTGCTTCCTTCGATTGTCAATTTTCTGGAAAACCTTTACCAGGTTTGTGTAATTGACTCTTCTCTCAATTTTTTTATTTTTCAATATACTTTTTGGTGAATACTTGTAATTTTACTGACGCACAGTAAATGCAGCAAAATACTTATAAGTATAGATCTCGTTGAGCATGCCGAAAGATTTTGTACAGAAGACAGAATTATTTCAGTGAATTAGTTAAAATTATTTGTAATACTTGTTTTGACCCACTGATATATCAGATACCTTCAGTTTCAGTCCACTCACAATCAGTGTTTTATTTCCTCTTTTGACTTCTCAGTTTTTGGTGGCCATTGTCACTACAAATTCTTCAATCCGTATAACAATGGACCACTGGACAAGGTCCGCATTTAAGCTTAATGATGTATGATTTCTAATCAAAATTTCTCGTAGGAAACGCCTTACAACGGAAATTACCGAAATTAACTCCTAACCAAGATATTAATAAATTTATTACGTATTGGTTTTTTAAAATTTGAATTTCCTGCTTAGATGTAAAACCAGAGTTTATATGAATCTTATCGCACACTACAGCGGTTTTGGTAAGCCTCTTAATCCATCAGTGCTCCTTCCCCACCTTGTGCTATTGATTGAGGTTGCCTTACTTTCATATTGCAATGACCGCCACAATAACTTTTATCGTGCAATTTAACCTAAGTTAATTATTGTTTTCTATGAACGGGAAGGCTGAATGTAAGAATTTTAATTTAATACACTGTACATTACTGTGAAAGTTTACGCAGTACAAAAATGTGATGAATTAATTTTGGCGCTTTGGCTCAGCTATTGAACGTTGTTTGCACCTACAATAATACAGAGCGGGGAAGGAAAGTAGACTCTGCTTTTTTATTTGAGCCAAAAATTCAAATCTTTTGTAAACGATGCTAAATGAAAAGACCAATATCTTGGTCAAGAGATGATTTCAGAAATTACGACGGCGCTATTCGTGTTCTGTGTGTAATTTTGAGGAGGAAACATGCATCAAAATGCCTCAATGTGTACCTTGTCTAGAGGTCCATTGAGTACGCCCATTCGAAATTTTTTACCATCTATGTAACGTAAGGGTATGAAATTCTCAATTGATCCTTTGGAGACACAAAGGGAAGACATATACTTCTTATCTCTTTTTGTCCGCCAAATTTATCTTTCTGCCTTTGTATTAATTTGGTTCTGAAACTAGTCTTACCAGAAGCAAGTCACTGATGTTTAATCAAAGCCTAATTTTTTGTCAACAGATGTTGTTTGGTACCGTAATGACAAGATGCTGTTCAATTCTGAGAATGTTAAAATCTCCATCAAGAACAACAGAAGCTCTGTCAAAATTTTAAGTGCTAAACCTGAAGATGCAGGAACATATGTTTGCAAAGCAGTTAGTGATGTCGGGGAAGTTACGACAAAGGCCAAACTTTACTGCATCCGTAAGCATTTACAATTCCTGAAAAATTTGATCATCAGTAACAAAAACTTTGTACTGCCGCAACAAAGAATAAAGCGTTAATTAGAGTGTTGTTGAAAAAATAAAACAAAATTGAGCTTTTCTGATTAGCTATGACTTAACAAACATATAGCAGTTGCAGTGGCGGGTGATAAAGTCTGTAAATAGTTCCCATGTTGGAAGGTTGTTCAGAGCACATGCTTTCAACATTCAAGAAAAGCTTTCTTTTCACATCATATGAGTGTTCGAGGAGTCACATCACATGAGGAGTGTTTATGTAGATTTAATATGTCGTAGGGCTGTGCGTATATTCAGAAATCGTGAATATTTGCCGCAATTATTCAGCGAATATTCGCCTCGGCTGACTCGTGTACTATCCGACATTTGCGAATATTCACGCCTTTGCAACTAACGAATTTCCGAATATGCACAATGTCATGAGTAACGAATTTGTCTGAAAAAATGTGTGTGGTAATCCTTAGATACCAGCTTGACTGCCCGCGCAGTTAACTTTAAATGCTGGAAATGCATATGTAACTGCAGGGACAGTCAAACCAGCATCCAGGGATCTTCAAACACACAAGTATCTGGAACGTACATTTTTTTAAATAACTAATTTCGGTTCTTAAATGCATTTGTACTATTCTATTTTCATAACTTTTTTGTACTGTTTTTCCTTCTTCGAAGATTGAAAGAATCTGCTCTTGACACTTTTGACTCCATTCGTTTTTTTCTTTTAATTCGTGTGATGGTTTGGTGTGAGGCAACATTGAGTTTTGACATTATTCTCAGCTTTATATCTTATTTATTTGTACTTTGTAATACTGTAAGGAGTAAAGTTTGTCTTTTTACTTGCAGCCAGCGACATGACACCTGAGGAAAGGGAAGCCTTTGAATCCCAAATAAGAGATGAAGCAGAAGAAGAAAAAGAAAATAAAGAAATTAAAGTCAAGAAGAAGAAGAGAGTCATCAAGAAGAAGAAGTCCAAGGATCTAGAAGAAAAGCGGTTAGTTGACAGGAAACTTACTTATTTTTGATCAGCTTCAAGAAATGTACAGATTTGTTTTCTATATTTTTCACTATGAAGCCCTGTCAACGTCAACTCTGTTCATAAAAAACTGTCTAGACATGACATTATGCATGATGTTACTTTATCAGGCGAATTCTTTTCTTTTGGACAACGTGCATCTCAAGAAACTGGCAGACCGCTGCCTAAAATTCATTTCAGTTGCCCTTAACATATTTTGCTTTTGCTTCGTCAGAGGCCACACTTCACTACCAAAGAGCAGAATTGCTTTAATCATTGCTTCGTAAATTTGGTGCTTGTTACCTTCAAAATGCCCCATCTCAGAGAATCCCCTTTAACATCGCAACATTTCATCAGTAAATTGAAGTTATGTTTTTCATGTGAATTAATGACACTGCAAACACTCATTTCAATGACAAACAAGTAGTTTCCAAGTTAGGTGATTTCACTGCCTATATGGTTTGAAAAACAAGACCAAATAATTCCACTGAGTCCTCGGGACTTTCATTTTTGCCCACTTCTCATTTTGTCTGTGTTAACTTCCCTCAATCCCACTGAAAATGTGTAATAAATTTTTACAGTACAAAATGAAATTACATTAGTGGAGCATCATGTTTGACTGTTTGTCATGCTTGTATTGCTTTACTTAACGTCTTAATTGTCTACGTACTAACGCTGTTTTATTCTTTTTTCAGGGGCTCTGTCCAAGAAACAGAGGCAGTACCGGAAACTGATGAAACGAAAGAACTAACTCCAAAACCAGTTGAAGAGGTAAATATTTCACAAATATGTGGCATTTTTTAAACTAAAAAGGTGCGAAGATAGTTAGCTCATCTCCCTACCCTGCACTCAGTAAACCTTGAATCACATCAAGGAGGAGGAAGCAGCATTCTAATGGCATCTTCATTAGTAGACTGGGTACAATAGGGTGCATCAAGGATCACAATTTTTTAATTTTGCAATCTAATAGGAAGATCGGCAAATTTCAAAATTAATTTTCTGCCATGTTTTGCAAAATACAGTTCTCAATACCTGGCAAAATGTGCACCATACCACCAATTTCAATCTTTTGAAAGCACTTTTTAGTCAAATATCACTTCAGATCCTGCTTCTTACATTCAGGGGTGAAAAGTGGTGAAGTTTCATCTTTTCAAAGTTTTTTACCTTGCATTAAATTTATTTTTTCAAAGGCCCAAATACTTTTCCCTACCATTGTATTGCAAAATTTGAAAATCATGTCTTTTTTTCCTTCTCATGTGAGGGACACACCATCTTGAATCCAAAGTTTTTCCCTTTGCCCCGTTAATGTCTAAAGACGAAAATTTCAACTTAGAAAGAGAATGAAGGGGTGTACCAATTATCAAATATTTTCCAGTTTGTATGAGCATTGATTTCTGTGTTTGTTACCTTCAGGTCTAACCTATTTGATTGTATGTATGAAAATTTTCATGGGTCTTATGTTCACTCCTCAGGGTGTTGCAGACACAAAATTAGAAGTTGCCGAACCAGTTGAGGTAACAGCTGTCGCCACTCAAAAGAAAATTGAGGAGAAAGTAGAAGAACTTAAGTCGGAAGTTGAAATAGCAAAGATCATTGAAGAGTATAAAGAGCCGATAGAAGTAACTGAAGCTCGGGCAGAAGAGGTAGCACGTGAACTTGAGCCGCTTAAAGAACGGCTGCGGCGCATGGCCAAGATTCTGCGTCCAGTCCAAGAACCAGTCACCGTCACAGAGACTCGATCTGAAGTAGATGTAACAACATTAAAGCAGCAACAAACGGTTACAAGAACGGCCAAGGCATCCAGGACAACACAAGAAGCTATCTCTGTGTCACAAGTCACAACAGAGGGGTCCACTGAAGAGCTTGTTGTTCCAAAGAAAACTCTTCGTCGAGCACAACCAGTGATAGACAAACGATTTGCTGTGGAAGTGGAAGAATTAATGAAACTTGTGAATGCAGAAGAGTTTGGGCCAGGGAAGCAACCATTGAAAGAAATTGCCAAAGTTGGTATCATGCTGAGCAGCGGTGTTTCGACTGAAGAGGTATTATTTGTTCATTCTCAATTGAAATTTTTACTTTATCGTTTTTACATGCTATCCCAAGGATCTTTATCTTGTGCAAACGATTTGCAATTAAAATAGACCATTCAAAGAACCAGCATTTTAAGACTGTTGGATAATGTTTCAGGCCATGAGCGAAGTTCCTCCAATTAGGCTAAAAATAGGAATGAATTTCACCCGTTTGTTGGGGACCAGTGGGTTAGTAGATCAATATTAATACAACCTTGAACCACTGAAATCAACCTAAGTGCCAGACAACTAATTAGAGCTTGGTTTCACACACATTTTCTTTATCCAATGACAGGCAGGTATCTTTAAAATTCTTCCATTGTAAAACATACTGAAATTACTTGAGTGCTAGGTTTGACTTGAGTAGACTTTGGTTTTTCTGTGAGCAAGAAGCGTCAATTAACTTAGGCAAAAACCACTTTTTTCCAACCTGTGAGTTCAATTCGGAAAGTTTAAGTGGGTCCATTGTGTTCTAAATAAAATTTTGATGGAGGATACACATAATGTGGTTCTTAATTTCTGACCCTGTCAAGTAGTCCATTCGTCACCCACGATATTTTTTAAATTTATTGATTTATTTTTCCCAAGGTTGTTACACAATTCACGACTGCATCATTCCCTGCTTTGCGAACACCCATTGCACAGGCAGCAATGGTGTCCCTGGTGGAGAGGGAAGGACACAGCTCCCTGATATCACAAGTGTTCGAGCAAGAAACAACAACAGAGCAAATCATGACTGGTGTTTTCCGTGCATTCCTCTCTTTTATCGAGCTTAAACATACAACAGTGGAGGAAATTTTGACACTTTTCTCTCCATCTGATTTCCAGTCGGAGCCCTGGCAACAAGAGCAAATTGCTATGGTAAGATTCTACTGTAGAGCCCTTTTGCCCTGGTTAATGTATTGTATGGATTCTTCTTCAAATACTTAAGTATTTTGTTCCTCATTTCATCCCTCTGTCTTCTATTTCGATGGCATAAGTCCACCATCCGGAAATGTTCCAAAATGTTCCGGAATGGGTGTCCCTCTGAATGATGAAGAAACTCTTTACACGTTATGCTTTGCTGATGACCAAGTACTTATCGCCCAAGATCAGGATGATGCTGAGTACATGACTCGAAAGTTGGTGGCTGAGTATCGGAAATGGGGCCTCGAGGTGAATGTCAGCAAAACCGAGAAGTTGACCGTTGGCGGGAATCAGCAAAGTATAGAATTAGAGGATGGGCGGCAAATTGGAAGCTGCGATATTTACAAATATCTAGGAGTGTTTCTAACCCAGGATGGAAGATTGGACCAGGCCATCAAGAAGAGGAATATGCAGGGTAGGAGGGCAATCGCTATGTTAAATGGAGTCCTTTGGGATCAAAGGATCTCCAAAGAGAACAAAAGAAGGATCTACAACGCGATTGTCAAGAGCATAGTAACCTACGGGTGTGAAGTATGGCCGATGAAACAGCGGACCTGGGAGGTTTTAGAGGCAACAGAGATGGACTTCTGGCGTAGATCCGCTGGTATTTCCAGAAAGGATCGCGTCAGGAATGAGACGGTACGGGAAATCATGGATGCCAAGCAGACCATCGTGCATGACATTATGACGAAACAACTCATCTGGTATGGTCATGTCCAGAGAATGGCAGGAGACAGGTTGCCGAAGAAGGTCCTTGACTGGGTTCCTCCTGGGAGAAGACGCAGAGGGCGCCCAATGAAAGGTTGGAGGGAAGGGATTGAAGCGGAAATGTTAAGGTGCTCAATCCCCCAAGATTTGTGGTTTGAAAGAGAGCAGTGGAGGTTAGGAGTCGTAGAGCGCGAGGGAGTGCTGTAAAGCGACTTATATGTATGTATAAGTCCACCATCACATACTTTGTTTGCTGTGTCTGAAAATCTCCGCCTCTAAGTTATTTCTTTAAAGGAGAACAAATTGACATCATTCATTTAAGTTTGTGCCGAATTCTTTTTGTACAGAGAAGAACAATCATCGCAGTTCTGAAGAATTGCTGTCGAGTAGTTTTCTGTTTAAAAAACAAAGTATGACAGGAAGTCTGCAACATTGCAAACTGAGTTATGTGATTGCCGACTTACACTGTCGATTTCCAACATCTGGTTTGTTACGTTGTGATGCAATGCCATATCACGATTTTATTCATATTGTGAATACATTCAATCTGCTCATCCCTTTTTTAGCATTTTCTCCCAGCCACTTGCACCTTTGTCAGTCAGGCTTTGAACTCTTTTTCCTGTCTCAGCTCAGGCATTTTTTTCCCCAAGGCAGGTCTTTCCTTATAGGTACCCCTTGGGCTCTCATGGCTAGTTCATATGGTTGGCAGAGAGAAGCATTAGAAAATATTAAAAGAGAAGATATATTTTAATTAATTTTAATACATCCAAGGATCTTTATTTTGACAAAAAAAGTGCAGCGATTCATATTCTGTTTGCGGTTTTTCAAAATCTTTGCGTTCATTTTATTCAATGAAAAGAAAACAAACTAACGGTATTGCATGAAATTTTCACAGAATATCCCTCACCTAGAGAAAAAAAATTGGAGAAAGCTCTCAACAAATTGTTGAGTTTTTTTCCATCTAGAAAAACAGCTTATGACAGGAAGTCTGTAACGTCACAAACTGAAATACATGCTCCTGCAGTTTCACTGTCGATCTGTTTTTCCTGTACAATCATATTCTAAAATGTCTCTACCTGTTAGTCAACTTGACAAATATTTGCTTTTTCTCTAGGCATCAACGGAGGACAGAAAATTAGAGACTGTCAAAGTTACCACTCAAGGTGAGCCAAAACTTCTCTTATCATCCATGTACGTGTAAGTGTGTTTTTTGTTTGTTTTTTCTTTATTTTATTTTATTTGTTCTGTAGTTGATTGCATCTATTATTTGTACCATGCATACGATAGGTGAAACAAATTCTGCTTACAAATAGATCATTGTTTTTTGACCTTGTTGTAATGAATGACTCCTTCTTTGGGTAATATTTTAATACCATTCCAGCAGTTTGCAATAGGCTGGCACATCTAAATTGAAGTATATTTTACCTGAATATATAATGTCAAAAATTATTACTAAGCTCAGGTAGAGCCTTCTAACTCATTGCAAAGATACTATTTTTCTTTTCCCGAAAATTGTTGGTCTTCTAAAACTCTTATGATCATTTTGAGAAAACTAAAACAAGGTCAATACTCTATAACCCTGTAGGATTTTGAGAGTACTATGTGCCTAATCTTCGTCCAAGTGTCATTAAATTGAAATTACTTCTTAACTCATGTTGTAGTTCGCTTAAATTGCTACTGCTATTTGTGATTTCTTTAAGACCGTAGAATTTGTTATTTTATTTATATATTTCTTCATTTACAATTTGAAATTGCACGATGTTTGTGTTTGTTTTTAAGAAGTTTTCAACTTGTCATGTTTTTGCATTTATTTAATGATGTTTTATAATTTTATTTATACCTATCTTATCCTTGTCTGTGATGCCAAAGTTTATTTCATTATTTCAAGTGTAGACATGCTAGAGGACTAGCAAACATTTATATGTATGATTTATATCTGAAGTATTACAAAATGCATCAGGTGTGAGCATGTTTCCTGGACATTTCAACGTCTCAAATTTGACAGTCTACCGTAAATGGACAAAGCAAATTAAAGCCATTAAAATGCTTACTTAAAAAAATTGAGTTCCTAGTAACTCTCTGCATCTTCTGCTTTGATGTTATTTCCAACTGATTAAAAGTAGTCTAGTAGGACAATTCTTATCAAGCCATCCAATATTCCATATCAAAGCATCGAAAATTTTTTGGTTTGCAGAACTGATCTTGAACCAATTTTTCGACTTCCTAAGTGGTGGTCTCGCTAAAAAGCCATGTGCATTAAATTGGTTTAATGAACTACTAGGTAAGGTGTGAATTTAAGCATTATGATTTATGTTCTTTTATCAAAATTTTACGTAGAACCTGATTAGTCCAACAGAAACTACTGTAAGTAACTCCTAACAAAAATATTATAATCTTTTCTTGCATTAATTTGAACTTAGCGCTCATAGAAAAACCATAATTTATTAGAGTTACGAAACTTTACCATAATGGTCTCTGCGGAATAAAATTATGGTAACTTCAATCTTGAGGCTTCGGCTCAGCTGTTGCATGTTGTTTACACTTCAAACAACACAGGGCAAGGAAAGAATACAGCTTATTGAAAAGGTTGCCAAAACTTTTATTGTATGCAATTTGATTCAAGTAGACCGAAGTTACTCTTGTAAGGGAAAAGTTCAAATTTTTTGTAACCAACTGCTAAATAAAAACGCTTTATCTTAGTTGGCAGTTACTCTCAGTAATTTGCGTTGCACCTATCGCCTCCTTTGGAAATTTTGAAGAGAAAACATAAATCAGAATGCTTGAATTGTACATTGTCTACTGATCCATTGAAAATTGGTCTTGCTCTATTTCCCTTTTTGATACCAACAGACAGAACATCTTCTCTGTTAAGTGTTCTGTTTCAATCTAAATCAGATCCCTGAAATTGAGTAAATCCTTTTTAAGTACTCATTTTAGATTTACTCTCAATGATTTATGGGCCACACCACACAATTTACAAATTTTTGATTTATTTGTAAGTATTTTTATTTTTGAGTCCCTTGCCTGATTCTCTACTGCTGTAAGTTTATGTTTTTTTCTAGCATGTTATATGCCTCATGTTAGTACATTTATTTATGGTTTTTCGTATTTTTCATATTCTTTTTGTGACTGCATGTAGTTTGCTTTTCATACTTAAAATGTTAATTAATGTTGAGTGACAAAATTGTAATTTTTGTCTGTCTTTTTGAATGCTCACTTATTTTTTGCTTGTTTTATTTTGTTCTGTTTTTGTTTGATTTTCTGATTAAACGTTTTACCAAACAATTTACTTATTTTAATTGTATTATTTTGGTCAATTCGCTTTACACCCTGATAGAGGTTTATCTTAAATAAATTCAGCTTTTTCTAATTTCGGACTGTTCATTACATGAAAGAAAACTAATTCTGGCAAGGAGTAAATTGAAGAATTTTATGGTTTTCTGGCAGTGTCAGTGTTGATATTTAAAAAAAATCATTTTACAATGTTTTAACCAAGAAAATTTTGACAGAAACTACCCTGACTTTGTAGTTTACTGGATAAAAATTAGAGAATTTTTTCCCTTTCAATGTTTAATTTATTTTGACTTTTTCTTATTTTCAGAGAGTAAAAAAGTTTCTAGGAAAGGAACAAAAATTGTTCGCCATGATGAAACTGAAGGTTAGTTTCTTTTTAGTCAGAAGTTTAAAAACTTAATTTATATTACTTTCACTTTTTTTCTTGTTTAGCATTGAGTTTGTTTTGAAACGGAATTTTTTCGGTCAGTTTACTTTAAAAGTGTACCAGAAAGATGTAAAAATTTAGGGAATAATGTATGCCATATTTTATAATTATTGACGGGTTTCAAGTGTCCATTTTGTTCAAATTTTGTATGTTAAATTGAGGGAGTTAATGACCGTTTAAAAAAAAAAAAAAAAGAAACAAGGACTCAAAATTGCATAATTGCATTCAATCATATATTTTATGCTTTTAAATGGGTTGTTTATTGTAAGAAATTTTAGTGTTGCCAAAAGTTCATTAATTTTTTTCTTTTCCAAAACAGTTTTATTTATTGAATGACTTGAGTTGCTAAGCTAATAGATTAGTCAAAAATGTTAAAGTAAGTCATAAGCTAAAAGATTCAGATCTTCTCTCAAGTCTTGACGAAATTTTTTTTAAAGTGTTTTACGTATCTACCAAGAACTGGTTAAAATACGTTCAGCTCTATAAATTTGATTGCATATCAGTCAGGACTGAATGCATCAACAATTCTGCTCTATTTACCATGTATGTAACCAAGCTGTTTCCAGCATATTTTTATTAAAACGGAAACTCTTGAAAAAATAAGATTAATCACTGAAATTTGATGACGATTGTGTACTCCAAAATTTGTTTTGTTGCACTTTTTATGTGTGTGCACTTATGGAAGTGTAGAAATGAATGCAGGAGTTCTCTGGTTTTTTTGCGTGAGGCATAACCAGATAAAAAATGTACTCACCTATCTGACAGTACCTATTAATGGGGATCTACTGTCAGAGTAGAATTGACATTTTCCTGAACATTCGTTTCAAAGTTCATCATGATTATATAGGAAGATACACAACGCCTATTAGTAGCAACCATGCTCAATTCATATTGCCTCTAAAATGGAAGTAATTTTATCTCCTGCTCGTAATCAGGAAGAATTCCAAGTCTGAATTGAAGCGTATGTTTTTCTACGTATTATTAATGAATTACTTTTTTGCCAAAACTACATAAAAAGGAGCATTTAAAATTTCACGTACATTTTAAGTTCCGACAAGAAAAAAATACTTAAAATTTGGCCTGAATGCTGTAAGTAACAGAGTGGTAGAATTATGCTGAGCCCATACCATTCTGCAGGGAAATGAAGGCCATAAATTAGTGTCACAGTTCATTTTTTAACTCTAATGCTAATTTTTAGAATTTTTTGCCTCAATTTGTCCCGCAGAATAGTGTGGACTGAACACTACTTTACCACCTTATTACTTCAAGCCTAGTTATCACTAAATGCAATCACTGTTGAGTTCTGATCTGAGATAGTACTCGTTCATTTTCCCATTTAGTCCTGAAAGTACACAACAGATTTGAAGCTTCTGAACCTGTACAAGCAATTTTTAAGCAGCACGAATTTTGAAAAAATTCCTATTAAATTTTAGACCCGAATTTTGTTAGATGTTGTAAGACGTAAATAAATTAAACATACCCTTCAAACCCAGTGGGGTCAGATAATAAGGGAGCTTATGCTAGCCTTGTGGGTGGGTCGATCTAGTTGTAACCCATGCTGGTCAATGGAATTTGGTTCCTGATTCTTTTTGACTATTTATTTTGATTGATTTCTCTTTCCCTTTTTTATTTTTGTCTTATTTTATTGTACGGACTGTTCATTATACCCATCAAGTCTCCCAAAATAGTTTTCATGCTTTTATTTACTGCTTATTGCTGCTTATTTATGTGTGGTGCAAAAAAGGACCTCTTTTTTATATTAAAATTAAACTTCTGCTTTCTAACAAATTACTCATGGTTATAGTGAGTTTAAAATGCTCCAAAAGTCAATTTGAAGAAAACCATTGTGGTTAAGATTTCAATGTAATTTTACTTTGGAACCTTCTCATCTCTACTTGATCAGTTGCAGCTCAAAAAGGTCAGCTTCATGTTAGAATTCGTTCACCAGATAATATTTTTAAAGACACTCTTCTGCTTTGACTTGTAAAGTTTATTCAATCAGTTACTGAAATTCTCAAAATGTATTCTCCGTCTTCTTATTCCATCAACTACATTTTGCAGAAGAGTCAATTGACCATAAAGAAACTCAAAAATCTTCCTCTTTTAGATACTTATTAATCGATTTATCCAACTGCTCATAGTATTTTTGACCATTCGTCATTACTTAAACACACTGATTTTGGGGAAGGATCAATGGTTTTTGACAAAATATCACAGTAGGATTATTTTTTACACAAATGTAGACTGCTTTTAAGTTTTAAATGTTGCTAAAATTCCGTTGCCTTCTCTTAACAGTTATTGTTAAATTCTTATACAACTAATTATTTTTTAGTGTCGCAATCTCAAGTTTTTGAAGCATTAGACAGTTTGATGCTTAGGAGAAAGTTCCTTTGCTCTCTTGTTCTCGTTCCCCAGACTAGATAGTTCCAGAGACAAATCTCCACCCCACTTAATCCATTGTTTTAGACCATGATTACCCTGACCAGAAATTAAATCCAGGATCTCTTAGTTGTAGAACAAGCTTAACAACTACCACAACAAAAGAGGCCTGTGTCCTTGTCTAACTTTTTTTGCCCACTACTTTCGGTTTTTCAACTCTTTGGTCGTAAATACAATAAGCATCTGTGTATTTTATCAAAAAGTTGCTTTAAAATATGCTGCATTGCTGCCTTTCCAAGGAAGTTAAATTTTGATAGTTTTTCAGGTGCTTTCAAATTATCTGCTGAAACTTGAAAATACAAAAGACTGTTCTTTTCTACGTTTTAAAGTCTCCTCCTTTCAAAAGATGATATAGTAACTTCGAATTTATTCGTTTAAATATTTTAAAAATTCATCCCTTGAAGTGCCTTTATTAATTTTTGTAAAATTTCAAATCCATATTGATTAAATCCTGCTTTTTTAGGATACTGTGAATTGACTAATGCTTTTAATTTTCTTTAAATGTGTGGCTTTAATTATGCTTTTTATCAAGAATTTAGTGCCGTGATTTGTTAGTGTGAGCTTATTTGTTCTCATTAACTGCAGTTTGTTTGGCGAATCTCACATCTGAGAAGCTTTAAAAGTAAGTATAGTTTCGATTTTTTTCCTTTTGCACCTGGAAACAGAAAGAAGAAGTTTACTAAAGCCAATTTAATCAGAGTCATTGCTTACATTTTCCCATCCAAAAGACATGCCCTTACACGCAGCAATTGCGCTGCTATTTTCCTCTAAACATAGGAATGGTCCAATCTCCTGAAAAAATTCCCATGAATACTGCTTGGTTCTTGTAGGGAACAGCCTGAAAATAGGAAGGCATACTTTTTCAATTATTAATTTTACTTGTTGGAATGATGGTGCCTAAATCTCGAGTGATTTCTGCGTATCAAACCATGCGGGATATCCCTCAAAGGGAGCCCTAAGTATAGTATTTGAATTGTTGCTTCCTTTGAACGCTCAGTAAGCTGCCTTTCTGTAAATTTGCTCGAAGCTCTATTCATATGCTGAATGAAGAGGTCTACTTCATAAGAGTTACATTCTGAATTTTAAAAATTACCTAGATTTTTCCTCTCTACAGATTTTCTAGAAAATTGAATTACCCAAAATAAAGCTCTATTTTTAGGGAAAATTCCGATCCTTCCTGCCATAACCGAAGTAATCAAGAAAAACGGAGATCATTTTTGGAATCAGCGTTCAGTTGTCAACATTTTTACAGTTCAAGTCATTTTTTTTTTTTTTGATGTTGAACAGAATACTTTTGAGGGCTCAAGAAGGGGAAGAATTTTTTTTTTTTAAAAAAAGAAAAAAAAACAATTCTGCCAAAGCCCCCATTCCTACTTAATTTTCGAAGTGGATAAATCTCTAAGTAACAGCTTAGCTTCCTAAGTTATTGCTTTTAATGTATCAGCAGTTTGCTAATAATTTAATCCTTTAGTTCAGATTCATTAACATTTCTCACTAGTATTGCAGTTGACTCATCAGCCAAAAGCTATGCAAAAACTCTCAACTTTAGCCATCGATATTAGATGTGTTGTGAAAGTTCAAGTTTTATCACTTGCAGAACCCCTTGATGCCTCATAAGGATATCACATTTTTCCTGATATCAAGAGGAGGTTAAAACACAGAAGTGTATTTTCTCATGATGTCGGCACTTTAAGGCAACTAGACAACCCTTTACCTAAAGTTGAAGCTGAGACCTAATAAATTAGTCTCGATCATTACAAAATTTTACATTGATGGTTGAAATTCACATACTAACAAACAATATTACAGTGGAATGTAACTTGTTTGTCCATACGGAAAATATCATGCCGAGGTGTTAAATATTTAATATTAACAGAATTATTGCTGACAAATGATGGGAAAAAAGGGATGATTGACATCATCTTCTACAGTAGTGCACTTGTCTGTGTAATTTTCATAGACATAGAAATCACAGAAAACAGATAATCTAACATAGTAATATTCTTTCATTCAAGCCTTTGACAACACATGTAATAATCTAAAAAATATAACCTTGCAAAGAATCCTCATCCCTGTAACACACGTTCCCATCTTTTTCATTACAATACTTTCCAATTTAAGACTTAGTCTTGTACTCTTGCACAAAAATTTTTCACTGTATTTTAAACATTCCTTCATCTTCATACTTACGTACCCTCTTATCTGTTGAACACATTTCTAATAGAAATGAGTCCGTCCAGAACCTTAGCAGAGCAGTCACAGATTTTTTTCTTTTTCTATCATTCTGTATTTTCCAAGGATTTCATCTACAACTTCAGTGTTTTAGACAACTCTCACTACCTTATACCTACAATGAAAGAAAAATTATTTTAAATATAGGTATCACTTTCTTCTATTTGGTTGTACATATATCACAACCTTGTCCAACCCTAGCATCATCAGAAAATTGCCATTTCAAATCCCATTTTCTTAACCTGATAAGTTTACTTTACTTTGTTCGGACTAAAACTCTCAAATTGATAGGGCATCACTCATAAAAGATGCAAAATGTTTGTCGAACAATTAGAAGCAAAACTCTTCTTTTGTGTCCGCAATTCTAGGAAGGTCAAATTAGACAGGTACTTACACTACGTGCCTATTTATGATGTTTATTCGTACATTTTCAAGTTTTTCCCAGGTATTAATTTAATGACATTTATAATGTAAAAGAAAGACACGATGTCGTAGATGAAATTCTGTAATCACCTCAAGCACTTTTAGATCACTGTCCTCTCTCTAACACATCTTTTTACATATTTCACAGAATCAGTTGAAGAAACAAAAACACAAGTAACCACTGAGAGTAAACGGAGGGAATCAGAAGACAGGCTGACAATAACGGACATAACAGAGGACACAACAATCAAAAATGCTACCGATGATGAAAAAACTATCGTCTCTCTCACAGAAACAGTTGATGAAGTTGTTAATGAGAAAGGTAAAACAATAATCAAGAAAAAACGAGGAGAAAAGAAGAAAAAAGTGGTGTTTAAAGATGAAATTGAAGAAGAATTGATAGAAGAGGTCATTGAGAAACAAAAGAAAACAGTAATCAAAGGTGTGAAGCCGAAAGAAGCTAAGTTTGATGAAGAAGTAACTGAGCCTATCGAGCCTTTGAGTGTACCGTCCTTGAAAACCTTACCTATAACAAGCTCCCAACAAGTGACTGAATCAGTTCCTGGCCAGTCTGTTTCTCTAATTGATGATGGACGAATTTCTGCAGAAACAGCAAGTATCGGGGTATCTGTACAGAAAGTGGCAACCCAGCAAATTGTCGAACAACAAGAAAAAGAATCCAAAACAAAAACTTCCACTGCCCCCGAGAAGAAAGTAGCCAAGCGGAAAATGAGTCCAACGGAGCCGTATTCAATCTCGCAGCCCAACGTATTGGATACGATTGAGCCTCTTCAAAAAGTTGAACAAATAGGGAAGAAAGCATCACCAGCAATCACACCGAAGGAAGGTTTAATAGTGGATGAAGTACATCCTGACTCGAGTTTCAGCAGTACGCCTGAGTTTGTAAAACCTGAAACTCTAGCATCCCGTACCGTAACTGAGCTTCACGCGGCTAAAGTCGTGTCAGAGACCGAAGTGTCCATTAAAGAAGGGACGGTCACGTGCACGAAATCTCAAACTGCGCATGCAAAAAAATCAGTCATCACACAAGAAGGTGTTGAGGTGACTGAAATCCTTGAGGGAGAGTCGGAAATAGTTCTTCCATGTGAAGCCAAGTCGAATGAGCTGAAGCCTAATGTTGAGATCCCAGCAGTTGAGTCTGTTGTCATTAGTGAAGTCTTCCCAGAAATGAAGCCCGATAATTACCAACCAGATCTTAAAGTGGCCACGGAAGTTGCATCAAAGTCAGTTGTTCCAGAGAAACAGCTAATTGTTACAGATACAATTCAGTTACCAGAAAAAGAGTCCTCCTACACTCCAGCGAGATTGCCCATCTCCCAACAAGCAGCTGTGGAGGTAATGCCCGAAGACTCCATGATAATTTCTGAGGTCCGAGTGAATGAAAGCGAAGAAAATTTGACACACAGCAAAGGACCTGACTTGACTCATGCAGTAGAAAAATTAGTGCAACAAGAAAGCATCCAAGTAAAGTCTGTTCAAGCTCAAGATAAAGAAGAATTGTTTGAGACTTTTGCTCCTGAAAATCGACAAGCAGATGTACAACTTTCGGCTGTAGACTCACTGGTAATGACAGAAACTCAGCCTGAAGAGCGTGAAACTACCTTGTCAGAGGAGGAAAAACCAACAATGAAAAAGGTTGAAACGAATGTCTGTTGTTTGGAAACTTCTTTAACATCACAAGTGATATTCCATGAAGCAGAAAGCGAGTTCAGCCCTAAGCAAAAGCCAACTGAAGTTTTACCTAATACAGTCTATCAACCACAGGAATCTTTGTCTGTGACTGAAGCTATTCCAGGCGATGCTTTCTCTGAATTTGTCAAGCCACTGAAATTTGTCCCAGAAGAGGCTTCCGTTGGTCATGAAATGGTCGAAGCTACCCGAGTTACTCAAGTTATAGCGCAAGAATGTGAAAATACATTCACTGAGAAGACTCCAACATTCTCTCACGGATTACAAGGGGTTGTCCCTCAAACCAGTATCACAGTTACAGAATTGGAAACGGCAGAAAAAGAGAGTGGTTTACCCCAGCTTGAATTGCCAGAAAGCCATCGGAGCAAACCAGTTCCCACTCACCATTTGCCAGTGGCAAATGTTGATGAAGTTTTGCCCAATACTGCTGCAGGGGATTTGGAGAAACAAAAACCTACTGCAGTTATAGCCAAAATTGATCACAGTCCATTTCAAGAAACTGTTGTGGAGGAAGCTGTCATCGGGGAAGCTTACAGCAAATTCAAAGAAGGAGTCAAGCGAATTGGACACCAGGCATCCATCTCATTTTCTGAGCAAGATAGTGTGCATATAACAGAAACAATTGCAGAAGACCAAGAAGTTCGTATGTCCTCTCCAGAAAGGCTCTCATCGCAAGTTGCAGAATGCTCCATTTTACCGCAGAATACAGCAATTAAGACTGAAATACTACCAGAGTTAAGTGTCTCTCCCCTCAAAGATGTCAAAAGTAGAACTGATGTAGCTAAGGTTACATCTGAAACTGCTTTTGAAAGTATACAAGTCGTTGCAATTGATTATGCAGAAAAAGAAAGTGAACTTAAGAATGATGTCAAACCTGATGAGAAACACGCTGTACTTGAGTTAACTGATGCAGTTTCTGGTATCCTGGTCACAGAAATTACTAGTGCTGAGTCAGAAACTGATTTTAAACGTGATTCTCCAGACAAACGCAAGGCAGTGCCTGGCTACTCTCCACAGTTAGTTGCTGAAAAAACTGAAATTGTATCCCAAAGTAGCGTTAAAGAAATAATCCGTATTTCCCCGGAGAAAGCTCATGGAGTTCCTGAGCAGGAACAATATCAAGGTTTAGAGCAGTCAGAAATTGCACCTATCGAGCAGGAAGGAGAGTTTAAAACCAAGGTAAAGCCAGAAAAGAAGAAAGGTAAACCATCTATAACAGAGAGTAGACTTAGTGCTGTTGTTGCTGAAGTAAATCCCGACGAGAAGGAGTCAATTTTGATGCCTTTAGAAAAGCCAAAAAGTGAACTGGCACACACAGCTTTTACTGGAAAAATTGTCGCTGAAGTGCTTGAAAATATGGATCTCAGAACAGCAAAAATCCTTGACACTAAGGAGTCTCCTAAAAAGTTTGCCCATCGTGAGCAATCTCCTCAAGAAGGTTTACTCGTCTCAGAAACAACAATCTCTGAAAAAGAACTTTCCTTTGAAAAGACGCAGGCAGATATGAAAAAAGCTCGAAAAAGAATTGATGAGGTCGAAAGCTTGATGGTCAGTGTTACAACTCCTGGTGACAAAGAGAATCCTCTGGAAGAAAATACAAAACCAAGTATTGCAAAGGCGCAACCAGCTTTTACTGGTCATCCTGTAGCTGAAAATATTGAAATTATGACTGAATTAACAGCCACTGATTATGAGTCTAAGGATGTCAAATCTCACATAGTTTCAGCTGTTCCTATCCAGCCGGCTTCCGAGAGCATCATGCTTAGTGAAACTGTGGTACATGAATCGGAGAAAGTATTGCCAAAGGAAGAGAGACCTACCAAATCAAAAGCAGATATCTGTGTAACTGAGTCTGAAAGTTTGATGGTCACGCTAAGCTCATCAGAAATCAAAGAAGAATCTCTTCTACCTTCAAAAATGCCCGATTCGTCTGCAGCTGAGATCAATGTTGTCCCTCAGCATCTCCCATCTGCTGCAGAAGTAGTTCCTAATGAATGTTTAGGTAATTTAGCTGTTTCAGCCCCAGAAACAAAAGATGTTTCACAAAAGCTTATCCCCTTATGTAGTGTGGAAACAACTGTCACTGTACCCACAGACACCGAAATTCAGTTACCTCAATTTGTCAGTCCAGCCTCAAAAAGTGCCTCTTATTCATTGGAAAGTGGGGCTGAGAGTTTAAATGTCACTGAAATTCGTGTTCAAGATAAAGAAGGAATTTTGGAACAACCCCAAAAGCCCAACGTCAGTGCTACAATGTCTCAACAGCCATTTGAATCTATTCAGCAAGAAGAAACAATTACTATTGAGACAGAATCTACTTTGGTTTCCAAACCAAAACCAGCCAAATCATCAGCTATACCAACTTTGGAAACGGTAGAAAGTATAACTGTAACAGAAGTTGCATTTAAAGATAGAGAAGATGCTCTCAAGCTCAAAGCTAAACCGCAGGAATTATTGGCCAAGCGCATTGTCCCAGAACAAGAGGGGATGGAGGTCTCTGAGGTAATTGTTAACACTGACGTTAAAGATCTCAAACATGATCTTCAAAAACCGCTGAAAGCTGGTATTAAAACTGTTCCTCATGAGAGTTTGATTCAACAAGAAAACATCCTTCCGGAAAGTGAAGGAAACTTTATAGGTGACAAGAAGCCAGCAACAACTGCTGCTCTAATCTCTCTTGAGACTGGTGATTCCGTCTCAGTTACGGAGACCTTTGTCCATGAAAAAGAAACCACTTATACAGAATCCAAAAAAATTCAACCCAAAACTGCAGGGACAGATATTACAAAAACTAGAAAAGTAGCTCAAAAATCTGAAACAACAGTCAATTTATCGGTTGAAGACTTTGATAAATTTTCAGCACCTACTCTTGAAGTTGCAAAACCTGATCAAGAAAATTTGCACAGTGTAATGGTCTCGGAGCAATATTTAACTGAAAAAGAAGAGGAATTCATCGGTAAATTCAAACCATTCTCAACATCAGCGAAGCCAGCAATTGAAAAAAGCAAAGATGCTCATTCTGTAATGCAAGTCTTCCCTCAAGAGAGAGAAGGCACTTTTGAAGGCAAACCTCTTCCTTCAGAAATTCCTAATATCGCTATTGTAAGTTCAAATCAAACTGTGGCTGAAACATCTGAGGTAGGAGTTGAATCAGCAATTGAACCTTTAAGGGTCCAGCCAACAAAACCAAGTAAAGCCGAAAGAAGTCAAGACTATCTACCAACAGCAGAACTTTCAGAAACAATGGTTAATGAGGTAGAAAGCTCATTCTCGTCAATCAAAACTCAAACAAAAAAAGTGTCAGTCAGCCTGAGTAAGCATAAGGGTGTCCATGTATCTGAAATTGTCATTCAGGAAAGTGAAACGGAATTCGGACCATCATCTAAACCATTCTCATCCACAGCAGAGCAAGACATTCAGGCGCATGAAGGAGTGGAAATAAGCGAGATTGTAACCCACTCTGATGCGTCCACTCTTCTATTACAAAAACCACTTTTAGCGGAGGCTACTCCAGATCAATCGTATCTGCAAGGTTTAGTTCAAAATGAGCCCATCATTCAAGAATTCGGTGAAGAGTTTGAAGAAAAATTCAAACCAGTTGGAAAGAAAGCCCAAATAAGTCTCAAAGAAGACGAAGGCTTAACCATCACAGAGATTATCTCTGAAGACAAAGAGCAACAGATGAAAGAGCACTCAAAACCTTCTATTCAAACAGCTGAATCCATCCTCTCAGAACAGGAAGCTCCGCAGGTTTTAGAAGTCGTTCCTGCTATCAGTGAAAAGGGACTAATACCAGAAAAGCCAACCATGAGTGAAGCAAGTGTACAACATGTTACTTTCACAAGTCTTACAAAAACCGAAATGCTTACACATGAGCACGAAACGGAATTCTCAGATACACCCAAGTTTGACAAGAAAATTGCTGGAATATCTCTTGAAGAAGCCAAAGTCAGTCCAAGTGTAATGAAAGTAACAGTCCAGGAAAAGGAAACAGAGTTAGTAGTTCCAGAAAAACCATCCAAGAAAACTGCTAAACCAATTCTTACCAGTAAAGAGCCTTTACAGGCACTAGAAGTTCTGCCAGTTTCTTCAACTAGTCTCTTAACATCAGGAGACACCCCTAAAGCTAAAGCTGTGAAGACCCAAGAGCCGTTTGAAAGTGTAATTGTTTCTCAGAGGACAGTGGAAGAAAAAGAGGACTCGTTCACTGGTAAGTTTGTACGACCAAGTGTACAACCCAATGTTTTAATGGAAGAGACATCAAGTGTACAAGTCACGCAAGTAGTTCCAAATTATAAAGAAAAAGACTTACCAAGTGCACCTGAAACCGATTCTTTTAAAGCCTCTTTCAACATTGAAGGACAGCGAGTTGCGCAAAAGTCAGAGGTTGTTGTTAGTCACAAGACTGGATCTTTTGAGCAGAAAACGGAAACATTTATTGCAGAAGCAGATTATATTCCTCTTCAAAGTGTCATAAAAACAGAAGTTGACACCAATGAAGTTGAGCAGAAACTTGAAACAGTCCAGCCCGCAGCAGAAAAAGCAACACCAACACTAAATGAAACCAAAGTCAGTCCTTTAATTGAACATGTCACTCCAGAAGACAAAGAACAACCCTACGATGCTAAAAAGTCACCCGCAACTATCACAGCTTCATCCGAGGTACAGAGTTTAGAGGCATTCGAGCAGACAGAAGTAATTGTATCATCATCAATCAGAAAACTGAAAGATGAAAAGCCAGACTCAAAGAAAGTGGATGCTACTCATTTACCCCTTGAAAGCTATGAAACGTCTACCGTAACCATTCAGGATTCTGAAACCGTTTTAAAGAATAAGTCGCCAAAAGCAACTGCAGTTGGTGATGCAAAATTTGAGGAAGCTAGAAGCCTCATCATGACTGATGTGGTAGTACAAGAACATAGTGACGCCATGACAGAACAGACCACCAAGAAAAAATCTGTCAAACCTAAAAGAATCAACACTTCTAAAGATGTTGCCATCACAACAGAGGTTCTTCCCATTACCTCTACAGAACCATTTGAAACTTCTTCACCCGCTACACTTTCTGCAAGTGAAATATTAACCAAACCACACGATCACATCACAACTTACGCACAAACTGCCGAAGAATCACTCACTCCCATATCAGTTGAGACACTACCCCACCCAAGGATTCCTGACACTAAAATCGAAGAAAGTATGGCTCAGGTTGCTGTAACAGAGGTCCAGGCTGAAGAAAAAGAGGGTAAGTCTCTATTTCTTTTGTTTTATCTGTTAGCAAATGTATGTGATTAGATGGATGTGATTAGATGTGAATGCATTTTTGAGCCGTAAGAAATTTACGTACTTCTTGACACTTGTTTGCAATATCATGAAAATGATCGCTATTTTAAGGAACTCTTTATCAACAACTGTGAAGTTCAATAGCAGTTGCAATTCTCACCCTTTTTCTAGAAACGAAACTTGAAATGTTCATAGAGTTTTACAAATAGATGCATTTTCTCATTTTGCTTTTATAAGGGACTCATATGTATTTGTACACTATGCTCTGCTATACTTACGGCGAAGCACACTGTGATGGAGAAAACAACTTTTTTCATGTACGAACATATATAATTGAGAGGCATTAAAAAGTGTTTTTAGCACAAAGAGCTCATTGCATATCCATCTCTGAGCTCTATGATTGCCCTTTAACTCTTTGCAAAACAGCAAAAAAAAAAATAAATAAATAAATAAAAAAATAAATAAAATTAAAAATTTAAAATTTAAAAAAAATTGCTTAATAAAGTTGCAAGTCCATCTTTATACATAAACCATTAAAACTTAATTACACATATTTACATTTTTCAGAAGGCCAATACTTTCTCCACTTTATATTACATGAATTGCAGACTTGTGTTTTCCTTTCTTTGTGTGTAGAAAATACTGATAAATATTTCAATGTAGACAAAGTATATTTATCGGTGTTGATTTCTGTGAAAATTTTTCCTTCAGTATTTTAGTTAGATCCTGTTTTAACCCATATGAATATTTTCCCCTTATTTGTGTATATTTGTACTTTGAGTGTTACATAATCAAAAATGAACTCGTTCAAAGGTGAACCAAACGGGAAGAATTACTACAGGTCCTGAATCATTATGCTTTCATCAAGGAGATGAACCTTCTAAACAAACAGATAATACCTGGAAAAATGCAAAAGAGAACTATCCCCCACTTCATCGAATTCCTGTAAAAAAGTCGGAATTCTTCATGCTCACTATACTCACACACGAAAAAAAAAAAATGAAAACCGATTCGTTTCTCCTGCCCCTTTCTTAATTAGGAAAAAAAGCATGACCCTAGCATGAGAATACGCACAAGAGAATCAGAGCTCATCCCCCCACCCCTCAACTACCTTCCCCTGAAAAGCGCTAGTGATTGAAAAATGAAAAAAATTGGGGGAAAAAAAATTGGTTCAAGACCTCCGTTCAAATGTTTTAGGATTTTTTCCATTCTACCTCATTAAATTTTCAGGAACACTGGAAACACATGAACACAAACACCACATCAACGCGACATCAAGCATTGCTCTTGCGATACCAAAAATTACAAACCTAGAAACAACAACAGAGATGACTGAGAATGAGTATCTTATAGAACGCCCTTCCTACCCTGGTATAATCGAGCGAAAAGAGGAATATTCCATTGGCCCTTACCTTCCTGAGCATTCTGGTTCAGAAAGAAAAATTTTAACTACTGTCCTTAAAACAGGTAAAAGAAAAGATTCTGATGAAGAAAACACCATAACAATTCAAGAGGTAATTGAATTCGGAAAGCCACAACTGAAAACTCTGAAAACGTCAACAAAAGAAGACGAGGAAACCACCATCAAATCCGATCAGACTACCGAGGTAAGCTTGGTGACCAAAGTTGAAACGCTGACCCAAGTCGACGACAAAGGCCGCAAGAAGGTGGTCAAGCGCAAGACCAAGAAAACTGTCCGCGACGGCAAGGAAACCGTCGAAGTGGCGGAAGAAGAGATCAAACGTCCGCAAATTGAAGAGCTGACGGACGAGAAACCGGAAGAGCTCCAACCGTTGGCGCCGAGCCCGGTGAGTGCCCTAGAATCCGAACAGCCGACCGAGGAAAGCGTGGTGACCAAAGATGAAACGCTGACCCAAGTCGACGACAAAGGCCGCAAGAAGGTGGTCAAGCGCAAGACCAAGAAAACTGTCCGCGACGGCAAGGAAACCGTCGAAGTGGCGGAAGAAGAGATCAAATGTCCGGAAATTGAAGAGCTGACGGACGAGAAACCGGAAGAGCTCCAACCGTTGGCACCGAGCCCGGTGAGTGCCCTAGAATCCGAACAGCCGACCGAGGAAAGCGTGGTGACCAAAGTTGAAACGCTGACCCAAGTCGACGACAAAGGCCGCAAGAAGGTGGTCAAGCGCAAGACCAAGAAAACTGTCCGCGACGGCAAGGAAACCGTCGAAGTGGCGGAAGAAGAGATCAAACGTCCGCAAATTGAAGAGCTGACGGACGAGAAACCGGAAGAGCTCCAACCGTTGGCGCCGAGCCCGGTGAGTGCCCTAGAATCCGAACAGCCGACCGAGGAAAGCGTGGTGACCAAAGTTGAAACGCTGACCCAAGTCGACGACAAAGGCCGCAAGAAGGTGGTCAAGCGCAAGACCAAGAAAACTGTCCGCGACGGCAAGGAAACCGTCGAAGTGGCGGAAGAAGAGATCAAACGTCCGGAAATTGAAGAGCTGACGGACGAGAAACCGGAAGAGCTCCAACCGTTGGCGCCGAGCCCGGTGAGTGCCCTAGAATCCGAACAGCCGACCGAGGAAAGCGTGGTGACCAAAGTTGAAACGCTGACTCAAGTCGACGACAAAGGCCGCAAGAAGGTGGTCAAGCGCAAGACCAAGAAAACTGTCCGCGACGGCAAGGAAACCGTCGAAGTGGCGGAAGAAGAGATCAAACGTCCGCAAATTGAAGAGCTGTCGGATTTGGAAGCGGGAACTTTGAGGGACGATGTTGTTTTCCCGAAAGATATATCGGAGGATCAAGGTCTTGATTATGTTTTAGGAAAAACGAATGCTCGTATATCCTTCTCAGACACAATGGATGAAATCTCTGAAGAAGTGGAGCCGTTTGACGTACTTCCGGTGGAAGAGGAAACTGCTCCATCGATTTGTGATTTACAATTTGCGGATGTTAACGAGAGGAAGATCATAACGGCCAATAACGAGCTGCAAGTAATTGTTAGACGAAAAATTTCAAAACCGGAAGAAGATGGTGTTGAACTTATGTTCGTTGAAGAAGTCGAGGATGGTTTGAATTTGAAGGATAACCTTGAAGAAATTCGCGGAACATACGCTCGTCGTCGGAGTTCATTAATATCTGAAGTAACTGACTTAGATTTTCCTGTGAAAGAAAAGGTAACTAGTGTGCACAATGAAATCGTGACAACGTTCGGGAAAGATGGTGTTCAGAAAAAAGTTATTCGTTTAGTTACCAAAACGGTTGATGATTTAGGTGAGCATGTTTCAATTGTGGAGGAAGATGTTGACGATGTAGCCAAAAAACCTGAGGATTTCCGAAAAATGTCTTTGACAATAACAGAGTTACCATCAGAAAATGATCAGGATGACACTCCGAAATCTTCCCTTCAGCGCAATGTATGTCCTGACACTGAAAATCTTTCTGAACCAATTCTTAATGAAGGAAAGGGTTCTCCGAATAGTGGACCAATTAAGAAAAAGGATGCTCGCAAAGTTCCACCGAGGAAAAGAGATGTTAAGATTTTACCGGAGGAAGAAGAGCGTTCTTTCATATTAGATACTCATGATGCACCAGGCCCACATGATACTATCCCTCTCGAAGGTAACACCTCGTTTCATATTTATTTGAGATGAATAAGCCGTGGATTCCACTTACTCACTTAACATTACTAATTTCATGATATAAAGAACAATGTCTTGGTATTGCTATGATCTAAGCAGGTATTGAAAATGGGGCTGTATGAAATTTTGTCTTACTTTAATCCGGGGAGAAAATTTCGGCCTTTGGATTTCGAAGAGGATCAACTTTATCTATTTTGAAGTTATTCCTGCAGGCATCGTCACACACACCCGTTTGCGTAACGAGTTCTTGCTATGTTTGATTATGGATTGTGAAACTATACTGAATTGTGCATCTTGGTTTGTGATGTTCCAAATCTCGTGTCATATTTAACATTTTTTAGAGGAGTCTTGATTATTGTTCATGGCCTTACGTTTCCTTTGTATACTTTTTAGACTTTAGAAAATACCACTCACAAATTTACAAATAAAAAAGGGAAGTAGTATATTTTATTGAAGAAAATAAAATATTATAAGAAATTGTCAAGTTTGTAATCAAGACTATGGTTGGATAGAACATTGGATGAAGAAGAAAATTTTTTCTGAAAGATTATAAAGTACCATCCCTCTTCATTAGGAACAAAAATGACGTAACATCCAAATTGAGTATTTTCTTGGTTTCTTTACCAGCGTTAAATCAAGCATTTAGACCCTCTTATGTTTCTTCATGACATTGTTCTTACATGGATTAATAAAATGATTAATAAAATAATTCCTCATTTTTACCACACATTGCCCATCTATTCATATAATGCTCATCACTCATCTTACTTTTACTGCACTTAATAGTTGCTCATAAACATTGTCGCTTCTCATACTCGTTCTATTTTTAGCATAAATTCAGTCACATTCAAATGATTTTACTGTATTAGCCTCAGTAACCTCTTCTCTGAAACTGAGTTTTAGAGTTCTATCCTCATCTGCCTCCTTATTTGCATTAAAACTAAATGCTGGAAACATCTTGGCAGATTCCCTGTCGCTCTCTAAAATTTGGCGAGCTAATTTGGCATTAGCACCTATAGGCCCTGGGGCACATCTTTCCCTGAAAATTTAACGTCTGTAAGGTTACCCTTGTGATACAAGTTATTTTACGGCACTTAGGTAAGTTAAATGGGAATCTTCTCACAGACGAGATAGCTTCCATGCATGGTGTATTAATTTATTTCAAAATATTATTTTTTAACTTTTAAGAGGCCAGTTTTTATTTTTATTTTTGCCTTATCAAATATCTGATTATGCTTTTGCTGTTTGTGGAACCTCTAATCCTGTGTTTAAACAAAAGTTTTCACCAAACGAAGAAAACTTAATTCCATACAATTTATTTATATACTTCCACTGTTGGAACTCTCCAATATTCTCATTGTTCTTTTGATTGAGTGCATGCAATTACGCCTCTTATCTTTTTGCACTTCACATTGCGCTCCGTAACAATTTGCCTTTTGCTAATCATTTTAGGTAGGTGTGTGGATATGCTTTTTTTTTTTTTTTTTTTTTTTTTTTTTTTTTTGAAAAAGAAAAAAAATTCATTGTTTGTACTTCCGATAATTGCTTACACTTCTAGGATCCGTTTTTTTTCTCTTTTTATAAGAAATGGTGGTTCCTCAATGATTTTCTATTTTTTTACTTCCTCCATAGCTATTTCAGACATTGGAAACTTCAAAGAAAGTATCATGGCAGATTCACAAGAGAACATGTATTAAATCTTTTAATACATCAGGGCAGGTCGTTCGCGAATTCACTCTTGAAGATAACAGGATTTATTGGAACAGCTAACTTCTAGTGGTCAAGTTTTTAGATTTTTTCTCTTTTTTTTCAAGAATTTGAAAAATGTTTTGCACACCCCAGGCCAATTATAATTTAGACATTCAAATGAGGAATACTAACGCTTTCAACCTAAATCTTCAACTTCCTGTTTGGTTAGGATGTGTCTTGTTAGGATCTTTGATTGTTTTATCAAAAACTTAATTTTTCACTTTGATGAAAGGCTATGAAAGTACCCCCTGTACAAGTCAGTCAGTGATTTCTATACATTGTAATGAACAATGTTATTTTTATTTTCGATGTAACGCTCAGCCCTTAATTACAACATCTACCCATGACTCCGCATGATTTTTGCTGTAATATGAAGAAGCTCATTTTGTGAACTGAAATAATGACATTTTTCTTCTAAATAATTTTTTTCAAAGTGTATATACTCCAATTTTTTTTAAAACCAGATACTTTTACTTTTAGATAGATTACTTTTAGACCAGATAATTTTTACTTCATCTCTTACTCCGCCAAAAAGTTTGCAAAAGTGCAGGAAAGGGAGGGAGTATGTTAATGGGCTTTTCATCAATTTTTGTCCCCTCTTTGGAGGGTTTTTCATTTATCAGTCATGATTGACTCTATTACATCAGAAAGTTTAGTATATCATTCAAAATATTAATGAATAAACCTCTCATGTCGAATTATTTTTTTTTTCTTGCAAAAAGCTAGCGTCGATATAGACATTATTACTAATCAGCAGTATTCTTTCGTCAACTATTTTTCTCAACTTTAAAGTCAATTATCTTAGGTGTCACTATCTCGTCGTCCGCCCTCGTATGATTGAACAAATAGAGCAAGAAAAATGCAGATTTTGTAAGATTCTAGGTAGATAACTTCATGTGCTGCTTAAGGTATAACGTCGTTGAGGTCATTTCAAGTTCTGTTTTTCATCATTCACATTGCATAACATTTACAGATTTTCGAATCTACTGCTTTCATATACGGTGCAGATTTTAGATCCCCCCCCCCAAATTTAGGTGCACAGTCTAAAATATTTTTCTGTCCTTTTCAGAAGTTCCAGAAGTACCTGAGGCAAAGGTCTCCAAAATTCCAAAAATGAAACCCAAGAAGAAATTAAAAGAGCCAAAAGAATCCGAAGAATTTCCTGAAACCGACTCCTTGCAACCACCCAAGACTGTTGAGAAACCGGAACTTAAGGAGGAAGCATTGACGCCGATGAAGCCAAAGCCCGGGAAAGAAAAACCTACACTCCAAAAACTGGAACGAAAAGAGGAAAAACCGAAAATGCTGGAGACAAAAGAAGTGGAACAGCCAATTTCTCTTACATCCATCAAGTTGAAGAAACGTCCCGTGCCTCAAAAGAAAGATAAAGAAGAGCCGAAAGTTCCAAAACCATTGTTGAAAAGTCGATTAGTTCGAGTGGAATACCCGCCTTGTGAAAAAACGCTTGTTATCACTAAAATGCAGCCTGCCATGCTTGATCATGGAATCTTGTCTCGGAACTATCAAGAAGCCTTGAAAATTAAGAAACCCAAACTTAAAACCAAGATCCTACCAGACTTAGAGCCTGTTAAACTTGAAGAGTATGTTCCAGAGGTTTTTGAGCACCATCCTGAGAATGTTGTAGTAGAGGAGACAAAATTCCAGCATCCGTTGAAACTTGCGCCAAGAGGAGAAGAAATTGAAGAAAAGCACTTAGTATTAGGCAAAGGCAAAGTTCCCGTACAAATTGATCATGAAGAAACAGTCACCCTCAAGAAGGTGCCATTTGAGAAACAGAAGGAGGAGCCTTTGGTTGAAAAGACCATCTCAGAGAAACCGACTCTATCAAGAACAGATCGTAAACCCTCAGAAAAAGAAATTTCACCCCCCAAATTCAAGCCTAGTTCTTTTGAGGATCATGATGTTGAACGAGAGGATCTCGAGTCACCTTTGCAGCAACCTGAAACTAGTGAAGTAGCTGAAAAGAAACCAAAAAGAAAACAGCCCAAGAAGATTGACACGCAGGAAATTCCTGAAGAAAAATCTATTCCATTAGGGAAGCCGAAAGAAAAATTGCCAAAACCTGAAGAGGATATTCAGCTGAAATACAAACAGAAACCAAAAGAGCCTGAGCCTACTGAACAATTAAATTTGAGACCTATTCCAAGAAAAGAAGATGTTGCCCCTCCTGAAGAGAAAGTAATTGATTTTAAACCTCCAGAAGAAAAAGATAAGCCCAAGAAGCCTGACGTTGATCAAGATGAAATCAAGATCGCCAAAAAGAAGAAGAAATTGAAAAAACCTGAAAAATCGCAGGAAGAAGAGCAGCCAGAAGTTGAAGACGAAAAGCTACCAGGAGTTGAAAAAGCAGAAGATGCACCCAAGGAGGTAGAAAAGTTACCAGAAAAGAAGCCAGAAAAATTGCCTCAAAAGTTGGAACCAACGAAACCTAAAACAGAAGAGCTTGAAAAACCCAAGTCAAAAGAAGAAAAAACTGATCAGCCTGTCCTTCCCTTGAAAAAAGTCTCTAAAATTCCCAAAAAAATAGAGCCAAAAACAACAGAAATCCCAAAAATCCATTTGAAAAGTAAGTTAAAAACTGTGCCATTTCCAACAGAAGAGAAACATCCTGTCATCACTAAATTAGAACCAGTTCAAGTAGACCACGGTGTACTATCCAGGAACTATGAGGAAGCTAAGAAACTTAAGAAAAAGAAGGTAAAGCCTCTTAAATTGTCTGATCTGGAGCAGACCGAGCTTGAAGAATTCAGTCCAACAGAGTTCACGAAACCAGAAAAAGAAGTTTTTGAACCTGAACTTCACAAGTTCAAACGTGAAAAACCAGTTCGCAAGGGAGAAAAACCAGATGTTCCAGATTTGAAGCTTGGAAAAGGACAAGTACCAGATGTAAAAGACGAAAAAGAGGCAGTTACTTTGAAACCTATTCCCGAAAAAGTACCTGAAGTAATTGAGGAAAAACCTGCCCCCAAGAAAAAGTTGGTGGTGAAACCAATCGATGATCAAGAAGAAATTGAGACAACTGTTTCATTGAAACCAATTAAAGCGCCCAAAAAAAGTGTCGAAGAACCTGAGATTGTAGATACGGTTACATTTGTACCTGCACGGAAGAAAACTGTGGAAGACATTGTCCAAGATTTCAAAATTGAATTGAATACCTATGATGAGGAAGACGTCTCAGTCTCAGAAAAAGTTGCTTTACCAACTTCAATAAAAAAACCGACTGATGAAGCGCCAGCTTCTTTAACAGTTCAGCTCAAGCCTTCAGAAGAGGATGAGCAACCTGCTGATGTGGTTGACGAGGTCAAAGTCAAGAAGAAAAAACCCAAGAAAGAAAAAGGTAAATCCGTAGCTGAGGATACACCCACAGTGCCATTAGAGGAATCGAAACTAGTAGAAGAGAAGAAACCGGAAGAACTAGCGACTGAAGCAACTCCCTCACCTATTATTCCAGAGGAGTTGACACATAGAGAAGAGAAACCAGAGGTTTTATCAGTGGAACCTCAACCAGAGGCTCCTGTTGAAGGGGTGATAAAGAAAAAGAAAACGAAGAAATCGATCACTGAGGAGTTAGTAGAAGTTCAAGTTCCTAAACCACTGCCTGATAAAAAACTTGGTGAAGTCGTGGTAGAAGAAGTGAAATTAAAAACAAAGAAACCCAAGAAGTCTCTTGTGGAAGACCTTACCGAAGAAATCACAATTGTAAAAACGCAGTTGGAAGAAGCAAAGCCTGAAGATGTTCAGGTTCAAGAAGTAAAAATTTCACCAAAGAAACCAAGGAAGTCCATCGTAGAAGAGGTCTCTGAAGAGGTAACGATCGTGAAACCAAAATCAGATAAAGAAAAGCCTGAAGAAACTGCTGTGGAAACATTGAAAATTAAACCAAAGAAACCGAAGAAATCAGTTGTTGAGGAAGTTGCAGCAGAAGTCACGATTGTTAAACCTCAGCCAGATGCAGAAAAGCCTGAGGAGGAGGTCATAGAGGAGGTGAAAATAAAGAAGAAGCCCAGGGTTTCAGTCACAGAGGAAATCATTGAAGAAAACATAACTCTGAAACCTGGACCTAAGAAAGAAGTATTGGAAGAAGTGACCTCAGAAGATGTTAAAGTTACACCGAAGAAACCTAAAAAATCACGCACTGAAGAGGTTGCTGAGGAAATAACAATAAAGAAACCTGCTAAAGAATCAGATGAAGATGTAGTCATGCAAGAAATCAAATTAAAACCAAAAAAGAAACTTGTGACAGAAGAGGTTTCAGAGGAGGTTACCATTACAAAATCACAAGTTAAAGAAGAAATCCCTGAAGAATTTGTAATAAGACCGAAGAAACCTCAAAAGACGCTTCCAGAAGATGTTTCAGAGGAAATCACTATTTCCAAACCGGTAAAGAAAAAAGTTGGCCCCGAAGAAACGATGAGTGGAGAAATTAAATTAAAGAAAAAGAAACCTAAGAAAACAGTCGTGGAAGAAGCAGCCGATGAGATTTTAATTCAGAAAGAGGCAGAGATAGAGGAGGAGGAGGAGCCTCAGAGCGTCACCATCGAAGAGCTTGTCGATCAACCAGATGAAAAAGATTTGACTGAAGAAAAAACACTCAAGAAGAGGAGACCCTCAAAACCAAAGGTAGAAGAAACAGAAACAGTCACAACAGTCAAACAGAAACGCAAAAAATCCAGTGTCGATGAAAGCATTTCTGAAGAGGTTACCTTGGTGCAAAAGAAACCAAAGAAACCTGTGGAAAAAGTCTCAGATGAGACTACCATCATTAAAGAAACTGGAGTGGATGATTCAGAGGATATAAGTATGATTGAAGAGCTGCCTGAAGAGGTGACTTCTCAGTCATTTAAGCTGAAGAAGAGGGTCGAGAAGCGGAAGCCATCGGTCACTGAAGAGGGTGAAGTTGAGTTCTCAATAAAAAAATCCAAGCCCAAACCCAAACCACAAGAGGAAGTATCAATGGAGAGCGAGTTTACACTTGTACCTCGAAAGACGAAGACTGTTGAGGATATTGATCAGGAATTCAAGATCTCCCTCAACACCTATGAGGAGGAAGATGTATCAATGACTGGCAAAGTGAAGTTGGCACGGAAGCCGTCTCTGCAACCGAAGCTTGAGGAAGAGTCTGCAGAACTAACAGTTCAGAAGGAGGTGACTATTAAGGAAGAAGAAGCTGATATCAGTGTTCCACTTAAAAGGAGGAAAAGTTCCGTAGTGAAGTACAGTGTGGAAGAGGTTGACGAGGAGGAAGTCCAGGTCAAGCGAAATTTGAAGCAGCGAAAGAGCATTATCAGTGAAGAGGAGTCATTAAATATCAAAGTCAAACGAAAACCATCAGCTCCATCCTTCCATCAAGGTACTGTTCCATTTGTAGCTCTGATTGCACTGTCAGGCTGATTTTTTTCTTATTCTTCAGCTTCTGGTTTTGTCCGTTTAGACCTTTGTTTAAAGCTTACGCCTTTTACTTCTTAGAATTGAAAAATTAGAGCAAACACCACACGAGAGGCTTATTTTTGTTGAATTTGAAGCAAGTTAAATACTATCTTATTCTGTATATCATTGTTACCGCTTTTTTGTGGAGAGCTCCGAAATTTTATCTGCTATATTTAAGATATTTGTCTCTGAGTAAGAAGAAAAATCAGATCACTCTCTGCTTGATTGCGAAGAAACAAGAAAAATTAAAAGCATGAAATGAGAGCGACAATAATGGGAAGGATCTTACTTCCAAGCTGACTGGAAAGAAGCCATAATTTTTATTCACGTTGGATTTCTCTGTGGTAAAAAAAAATTTTGTCCAAGAAGGACTGCATCCTTAAAGGGATTTTTATCCTAGAAATTCTTGCTGTCTCCGTATCTCTCTGAATGTGCTTTTGTCTTTGAATATTTTTCATTTTCATCAACTTTACTGTGCATCGTTCTTTATGCAGCGTATTGCCTTCAAGATAAATTTTCCAGCAGCTTAATGCTTTTTTATTTTTATCTTTCTTCTAATACCTACTTCTCTATCATAATAATTATAACTATCATAGGAAAGCTTTCACAATTTTTGTCATTTATTTTCTCAAGGATGTATGTTTTTATCCTTGCATCATTAATTTGTTCTCTTCCGTTTTTTGCTTCTCTCTCCTCCCTCCATCGCTTTGTACTATTTTTCAATAAATTTCTTTTATTTTTTACTCTGTTTTGACTTTTTTCCTAACTCTTTAAATGTTTTAAATTTATAGAAGTGCTGCAGGAGCCAATATTTACTCCAACATCGATACACCATCCAGGTTGCCTGAGAGTCCAGCAGTTTTTATTTTATCAGCTCTTGTTAAATATCTTATCCAAAATTTTTACATTAACTCTCTATGGAAGCACTATGAACAGAGGTGGATAAATGCACCACTCAGAATACTAACTCAGAATACATCTGTCATAAAGTCTAGGTAGTGCAGACAAAAAGATGTGCAAACGAAGCTTTTTCCATCTGCAGCAAGGAATTTTTGTTCTAAACAGGATACTTTCCACCTTGGTTGCTTTATTTTCTTTGCGCAAATGACACTTAATAATGTTTTGGATTACCTAGGTGTTCTTCTTCTCGTGCAATTTTGTAGGTATGAATATGTTTTAAAAATTTGCTAAGGAAAGGTCAAAGGTTAAAAAAAATATTGCAAAAAAAAAGTGTATTCCCTTTTAACTGTATAAAATGAAAATTGAATTCATTTTAATAAGTCAAAACAGAAATTTTAAAAACCATTTCCTCACTTTGATTTATCCTTTCCCTCGTATAGCAGAATAAATCCTCCATTTTGTAGGTACTTTTTCAAGTACACACCTCAGCTTTTTTATTATTAACTTCTGCCCTCCTCATTTCTTCATGAATCTTTCTCATTAATTTTTTTGTCTTCCTTTTTCCTCCCTTTTTCAGAAACAGTCACCACCACCATCACTCGAGAACAAGAATTTGAAGGTAAGAGTTCTCAGGCGCAAGCTTTTCAGATATTTTAATGGATCCCATAGTTTCAGCTTCCCTGTCTAATTCATCACTTCAAAGTTCAACACCATTCTTTAACTTAATTTTTTTCTAGTTAAATTCATACTTGCAAAACGGAGCAACTGCTTCTCTGCGCTTGTATGAACAAATCCTGTGTATCAAACTGAAATTGAATTGAAAATCTGGCTTGTGATTTTAAAAATTTTTTAGGTTTACCTTTTTTCTTCTAACCAGATATCAACTAATTTATTTATTTTTTTAAACATTTTTATTACACCAATTAACCAAAAAGTACTGTATTTATTCATTTGGATTTTTTTTTTACATTTTCAGAAACAACAGATATTGATCATGAAGGAGAAATTCTGTTTTCAATTTGTTCGTATGTCGCTGAGAATGAAGATGCCCTCAGCCTTGTTGAAGGTGAAAGAGTCTATGTTCTAGGTAAATGTCTTTTTAATATCTAAACCGTTAATACTTCGAAAGTCGGCCTCCTATGGTGTAGTGGTTTTTGCGCTAGCTCTATGATCGGGAGGTCCCGGGTTCGATTCCCGGCCAGGCGACCCGAGTTTGATGGTCTCAAACAATGGTTGCCTGGAACTGGTTGTAGGGACAGAGGGGGGACAGGACTAAAGCGCAAGGATTAGCCCTCGTGGGCTATTTGAAGTGGAAAAAAAAGAGAAAGTTAAAAAAAAGATACTTTATTTTGATGTCAGGAAAGGTCTTATTTATTTATTTATTTATTTGTAAAGATTAGTACATTAGCCTGAACAGAAAGGCTCTATAAAAGTCACATTAGGAAAAGTTACAAAAAAGAGTAGTCTTACAAATTTAAAAACTCTTGCAAGGCGTAGAAAGGGTTTTTTAAAAGTGTTCTTTTAAAACCTTAATGAACCAATTCGGCGACTCAGCTTTGACAAAGATTTCTTTCAACTCTTTGGGTAACTTGTTAAAAAATCTGACAGCCCTAAACTCAAAGCCATCCCAGTCCCAGCCCGTGTCATCATTTCTAGTAGTTCTCTCCAGAATGTTTCTTGTTTCCATTTGATGGTCATTTTTGCTTCTCTCCTATAAAATAAGCCATTTTTATCGCTTCCTTGATTGAGATAAGAATGTGACTAGCAGAGACCGTCATAACTCGGAGTTCAGGGAACAGCCTTCTACAAGACTGAAGTCTACCTTTTTTGCTATTTTTCGCAAAACTTTCTTTTGGGCCAATAGGATATCACTCACATCCGAGGCATATCCCCACAGGTGAATGCCATAGTTAATAATGGAGTCAATGTTGGCGTAGTAATAGTTCATTAAGGAGTCTCTGTCAACTCTAATGGCTAGTTTCCTAATGGCAGGTCAGGAAAGGAACTGTGAATTAATTTAAGAAGTCAATGTTAAAATTACTGTTAAAGCTTTTCTCCAATATAATTAAAGCTTCAGCTTTGTATCTAGTTGTAAATTGTGTCCAAAAAGTACCTACTGATTTCATTATTTTTTAAATCATTGTAGCAAAAGACATGGGATTTTGCAAAAAATAATTTTATCATCTTTGTCCATTTATCTCTAACAGATTTCACCCCCCCCCCATCCCCCATAACTGTTTGATGATTGCCCTATTTTTCCTCTTTTTATGAGCAGAGAGCACAAATCAGGAGTGGTGGTTTGTGAAGAAACACCTGACAGAAGAGAAAGGATGGGTTCCAGCTGTTTACTTGCGTGATGAAGCCAGCTATGCCTTATATGTGCAGAAGAAATTGCACGAGAAAATTGACAAACTCCCTGTCTTTAAAAGTAAGTTCATCGCACTGAATCATTGTAGGTTTTATGAAGTCATGAAACAGTCTCAATAAATGATTTATACATGTATAAAGTTACAATAACAAAGTTGGGAAACAAGGAAAAAAACACTGGAAATCCGAGACGTTTCAGGGAGACATTTGGGTCTATTTGCTCTATTTGAAATGTAGCAGATTTTTAGCTTTTGTTTCTTATTTTTTGTATTCGCCGATTGATAAAGGGACTGTTCAGACCTGAAACGTCTCAGATTTCCTACGTTTTTAGCCTTGTCTCCCCATTTTGTTATTGTAACTATGTATGTTCGGGCTACCAAAAGTCTATCTACTTGTAAATATAATGTTTAAAAAGAAAATAATTAGAAGAATAATTATCTGTGATTAATTTAAAAGAAAACATCCCTTCTCCAGGTATATAAAAGAATGAGTGTTTGGTCTTCAAGGTGTTTAATAGTGTTTGGTGTAATAGAAATTAATGAGGAGCTTTAGGTAGAATGGTCCATTTGAAAAAATCGTTAAAAAAATGCCTCTAAAGTTGTCATCATTGTTATCAGACAGCCAAAGATGACTCATTAGATTTGGTCTTTTGAATCAAAGCTTATACATCTTAAAATTGAATTTTGCCATTGGTGGAACTCAAAATCATCAGGCATTATGAGAGGAACTCACAAAAAGTTTCTGTAAAAAAAATTTCTGTAAATGACTGATGGCCACGCGCTTTGGAAAGTTTTCACAGTATCATGGTCACTACCTATAGAGAAAATTATTAGGCATAGAAACCAAATCTACCATTCATACGTTCTAATCACTAAGTGGCATCCCAGTTTTAAGAGGGTAACTTTGGCTAACTTTGATTTATTCCTGATTTCAGAACCAGAACCAGGAGACGCCACGTCTGCACCAAAATTCATTGAGAAACTTCAGCCCAAGCATGTGCCTGATGGAGCCACTGTGCAGTTTGAATGTCAAGTTGAAGGCAATCCGCGACCACAAATTACTTGGTTCAGACAAACAGCTATCATCAAGCCATCTCAAGATTTTCAGGTGAAAAATGTTGCCTCCTATAGAAACTCTAAACATATCTCCAATTCAGTGTTGAAAATTAGACTTTATTTTTTTCATACCGAACCCATAAATTCAAGTCAGATTTCCCTCTGAAATCTGAGATTCAAGGTTACAAGGGTGAATCTGTTTCTTCGTGACCTCCCTTTTGCAGATGTGAAATAAATGTTGATGTCTGCTTTCTTTTTTCAGATATTCTATGATGAGGACAATGTTGCAACCCTGATCATTAGAGAAGTATTCCCCGAGGATGCAGGAACTTTTACCTGTGTGGCGAAAAACGCTGCAGGATTTGCGTCTAGTACGACTGAATTAGTTGTTGATGCTCCATTATCCGAGCATGGATCCGATATAACTGGGCATTCTAGAAGAAGTTTATCCAGGTATTTTATCTATGACCTATATCAGAGGCCATTGGGGTCCATGTGAATAGGAAATGATTTAATTTTGATTCGAAATTAGCCAAGCTGAAGAATTTGTTGAGCCTTTTATTTCAATTGTGGTTTTTCAAAATTTCCACTCTTCCTTTATTTTTTTTTAAAAAAACCGATTTATTTAATTTTATTAAATATACAGGGGTACACTGAGAGAAATCATACAAAGTATTAAATACAAATAAAAAATTATTTTATCTCCTGAGTTGAATAGAAATTAGACAAAAGTTCTTTTTGTAAAGAACCAAGATTCCGAATTTTCAAGTAACTCCAATATGCTAACCAAATCAGTCTCTTAATCAAAGTTTTTGACGCTGCCTGAAGTGCCTAAAGGGCAGCTAGAATTAATATGAAAATCTTATAAGACGAGGAAATAGTCTTTCATTTGTTATCCGATTCTTTCTTTCGAACTAAACTTTGTTTTCTAAAAGGTTCTTCTCTTCTTCCTCCTTTATCAAAATTAACCAAAGTTTATTTGGCACCATTTTTCCTTACAGAGAATCATCTTTAGCAGACATTATCGAAGGCATCCCCCCGACTTTCTCAAGAAAACCAAAAGCTATTTGTGCAGATGAAAACACTAATGTCGAATTGGAGTGCCGCTTTGTGGCTGTGCCTGAGCCGGAGGTCTCATGGTACTTCAATGGCAAGGAAGTTAAATCATCGGAAACAGTGACTGTCATCACACAATCAGACATGCATAGCTACAGTAGTAGAGTAGAACTTAAGAAAGTCACCAAGAAGCAGGATGGGAAGTATACTGTCGTAGTGAAAAACCGAGAAGGAGAGGCAAAAATAGATATTGTCTTGAAGGTAAGAATATCCTCAACTTCATTGTTAAATAAGCTGATATTTAATTGTGTATTTTCTTACCTTTGTTGATCTCTCCCGTTGTATTTTAGCAAAATATCTCCACAAAAACCCTGAATTTTTCTCAAGCTGGTTTCTCAGCGTTGTCTTGATTTTCTGAAAATGGGGGAGGGGGGGGGGCAGACCAGCATTACGTAATTAAAAAAGAGGGCATAGAGCTGCGGTACGGGTTTGTTACAAGAAGGGGAGGGGAGTCAAAAAAATTGGAGAAAATGCGTTACTTAATACTTGAACGGCCCCTAGGCTGCATATAGGAAAAAAGAACGAAGCCACAAATTTAAAAAAAAATTCCACGCATATATATTTCTAAGCTGTCGGTTTAATATTGTATTTTCTCCGTCTGAAAATTTGAACCCTCTGTAAAATTTGAGTATCTCCGGCATGTAAGTTAAGTTTCTCTCTTACATTGAGTCTTATGGGAGAAGAAAAATTTAAAACTCTTTCCCTCAGTTATGACTGATGTGACTTTGTTACTTGCACACAAGATGCTATCTTATGGGTTTTGCACAATTCCATGGGGTTTGTAAAAAATTTAAAATTTAAAATTTATTTTTTTGTTTTTTTTTTAAAAAAAAATATGTTATTTTCTTCCTTGTTAACTTAATATAACCTGGGGTTTGTCACTTGTATACTCTTTTTGATCTCTCTTAAGAATATGTCATTGACGCAGGATCCTTTGATAAATAAATGGTAAGTTGATTATCATCCAAGAAATTAACAAAACATCATTTCACCAATTTAAACTCAAATTTCAGGTGAAAACAGGTGAAGAAGAGCCACCTCAAATTTTGGAACCACTACAAGATGTGACCATAAGTGAAGGAGACAGCGTCGTTCTAAGTACGCAGATTACTGGGAACCCAGCTCCAACTGTGAAATGGTTTAAAGATGGCAAACCTGTTTCAAAGAACCTGACTAAGTCTCAGCATGGTATTCACTCTTTGACGCTCATCAAACCTCTGCCCTCGGACTCTGCGCGGTACTCAGTCACAGCAACAAACAATTTGGGAACTGTCCAGACTGGAGCCACTTTAATTGTTGAAGGTAAACAATGTTTTTACTCTCAATAAAATATTGTTTGATTTATCAAGTCTGGACTAACATCAGACTACCTGAAAAAACCATTATAATTTTTGCTTCTCAAACTCTTACTATTAAATTACATTTTCTTCAGCTTTTTTTAATTCGAAAGTCACTAATAATGTTTTATGTAAGTTTTAAATTTTGCTTGTCCCGCACCATTACATTTGAACATGAAGAATCAAAAGTTTTTAGCTTAAAGATTAGGATGGTCCTTTTTTAACCATTTCAATCATTTTACAGTTGACCTCCCAAAAAGTATCAAATTGGTGAGTTTTGAATTTTGTTCAGAACTCACCAGTTTGGGACTTGTTAGGGTATCAGTCTTTAAAATATCAAACAAATTAAAGTTAAAGACTACTCTAATGTAGATGCTTACAGCTTATTTTTTAAGTGTGCTCTTTTTAGTTTTTGCTTTTATTTGCTCCTGCTTTTGTATGATGTAAAAGAGGACACGGTGCTCAAAAAAATCTTCCTCTCTAATCGCTAGCTCCTCTAGAGCTTCTCTAAGAAAATTTAAAGTTGTTGGATGATCCAAGATCAGTACTCAGGTGCCAGATCTGCTTAAAATTTTTTTGCAAGTTTTTTTCCCCCTCATTTTTGTTTATCCTTTCTAATGCTTTTAAATCTCTTTTGTTGCTTCTTTTTTTCCATCCTTGCTGTAATTCCATTCCAGCCCTGAGCGACCTTCAGTTTGAGGACTCAGTCACTTTGATTATACCAGGGCTAAATGTCCCTCCACCTACTAAAGTTGAAACTGGTACGACATTTTTTTTCATCGTAATTTTTACTCAATCCAGCCATATGCATTTTGACTTTTATCTTAACCCTCTATGGCATGAATTAATTTTGAATCTCTGATTCTAGGGGACACTAATCTATTTTGTAGCTTGCATAAAGGAAATGGAGCACCAAAATTTTTTTTTCAAAAATTTGGAAGAAAAAACTAATGCAATTTTGCAAATTTATGACACAGGGGAAAGATTCAATTTTTATTTAAAACCTTAAAAATACATTGTTACAAATTTGTAACACTATGCCATAGAGGGTTAAATCTGTGAAAAAGTTTATTTAGATGAAACTTTTACTCACCTTTTGAATTTAGTCATAGACCTGTATGTACATATTGCAAAGTTATCAAAAGGAATAATTACACACAAGCCGGACTTTGCTCCTCCTCTCAAGTGGCTTTGCAGCCAATGGGTCCCTAAACCTTGTGTTTAATATTTAATAATAATATAATATTAAATATATATATAATTAAATATATAATATAAAATAATAATATTCAATAATAATAATTGAATGAACCAGGTGAGTAGATTACGGGGTGATTATTGAGTACTTTTGGAGCCAAAATCCTGGACAAGCCTGCTTTTATAAAGTCCAAAGACTCAACGGAATTTCAAACGCACCGGAATGGTGGGAAAATGATGGAAAAAACATACTACCGCAGTCCTGTCATTTTCCACTGATGTTTGTTAAAATAAAACATATTTTAATGTAGCATTTCCGCTTGTTTACCGCAGATAACATGAATGATATTCGATTCTTTGATTCTGGAGGTATAGTTTTTACTTTCTTATTATTTTGTATTTGAGGAGTAAAAAGATATTTAACGGAAACCGTAGAAACCCGTGCTCCCTTGATTGGTGCCGGAAGACATCATTCAGTTGGGGGCGAAACTGGGGCGGTTTTAATTTGCGGAAGAGTTTCACTTTCTGAACTGCTTATTTTCTGGTTTTTTAATTACTTTTTGAGGGTTTAATGTGCGCATCATATTCTATGCATCATTTACCCTCAGAAAAATGTATTCGCAAGTCAAAATTCGTTCATGGTTTAGTGACCCATCATTCACTGCCGATTGGTCATTACATTTTTATCATTCAATTTAAATCATCTTCATCAACTTTTTAAATTTTGTAAACCTTTTATTTACTCAATTTTCTTCAAAAAGCTGTAGGTACCTCTTAAATGAAACATGATCTATAATCTCCCTTTTTTATTTAATCATGGCTAATGTTTTTTTCTTTGACAGAATTGCCAGGCCCGCAAGCACCATTATTCGTTGAAAGATTCCAAGAATTAACAGTCAAAGAGAAAGGCACCATTAAACTTTATGCAAAAGTCACTGGAAATCCTGTTCCCATCATTACATGGTTTAGGTAAGTTGTACGATTCACCTTCGCAAGTAACTATCGCCAATTCTTAGTTTGGTTCATAAATTATTCAGTTGATTTTATTGATATCTTACCATATGAAAATTCAGTGCATCAGGTCCTTTGTATTTAACTACCTAGCGTCTAAGTATTCCTATTTTATTATTATAAAAATCCCATATTTTAAAATTAGGGCGTTCTGCTTTCTCTTTTAAGATTAAGCCTGCACACCAGTGCAGGCTTACTGGCTCTCGGAACATTTTGATGGAACTTCAAGAGGTCATCATCAAGATCCTTGTCAAGCGTAAGCGAAGCCAAATAATTAAGTGGTTTGGTCAGGTACGAGCTGAGATACTAGCAATGGAATTGGTGTGAAGAGAAATCGGAGAGGCTAAATTAGGGAAGATAGTAGAGTCGAGGAGGATCAAAAGTAATTTGTGTGATTCATTTTATTTCCCTACAGAATAATATGGACCCAGCACTATCCTAACACCTTTTTACTTGGTTACATTTTAATTGTTTTTTTTTTTTTTTTCTTGTTGGTCCAGAAATAACAAACCATTGCTGGACTCACCCAATATCAAAGAAACCTTTGATGGAGAGAACATTGAACTTGTAATCAAGAATGCAGATTCAGAAAAAGATGCGGGTGATTACAAGTGTGTAGCTTCAAATAACCTGGGTACAGCTACACATGGTGCAAGGATCACAGTTGACGTGGAAAAAGTGTAAGTCATCGAGAAAGTGTTAGAATTAGTTTTTAATCATACACTAGAGTCAAAATGAAGTAATTTTCAGGGGTCTCTTTCGTGACTGATACGAGCTTTCGGTAATCTTCTCCAGGCTGCAGGCGATTTAATGCAGGAAAAGGAGCCATATGAGTTTTACCAATTTGACTGTTAGCTCTAAAATTATTTTTTGGGTCACCCTACCTGTCTATATTTGCATTTAAAGGATCTGTTACGTCAGAAACGAAATTTTCTTAATTTCTAGCCCACTGCGCGTCCAAATGCAATGTTTATTGGCTTTTTGAAAAACCAATAACCTGCTTAACAAAGTAGTCTGTACATATTGTGTTTTAAACGCTGTGTCCAGCAAAGTGAACGATCGCATTTTGACACTTCATCATCACACTCAAAATCGGTATTCCAAAGTTGAAGTAGCGAATATATCTCACAATTTGTAGAAATTCCTAGATCTTTGATAGCTTAGGAACATATTCACTGAAAATAGCACATCATCTCACTACTTTACATATTGACACCCAAGTGAGAGTGGTAAAGCAGTTCTGTTGATGAGGGTCGTTGCTAAAATACAAGGGGTTAATTTTGTCAACTTTAATTTGATTGTTTTTTTTGTCAGAACATTTACGAAGAAGCTCAAGTCTAAATTTGAGGTAGATGAAACAGAAACAGTCACTCTCGAGTGTGAAACATCTCATACTGTTTCAACAAAATGGCTACATAATGGCAAAGAGTTGAGCGGAATGGACCATCGAGACATTGTTCAAGATGGACGTACGCATAAATTGATCATTAAACGTGCCACACCCCTAGATTCAGGCACCTACACCTGCTCAGTCAAGAACCAAGAAACCAGCACAACGGTTACGGTTCACAGTAAGTTTATTCTTTAGTTATGCTATCATTACCATCATGATGGAGTGTCATCTACATTAAATTAATTATTAATGAGTTTTTTTCAAGGTAGTCTCTTGTAATTGAGCTAAATCTTTAGGAATGTGAAAGAGGACTGTGGAATCGAAAAAGGTGTTTAGATACAGTTAACCGCCGCTGTGTTAAATTGCGGTGGGTTCCATTTAAATGGAACTCATTCAGTGGAAATTTGAAGTAAGGCAAGGAAACTCTGGATGTTCGCTGTTCTGCCGATTCCCTCTCCTCTAAATCTATTCTTTCTGAAGTCTTCTAAGTCTCCCTAAAAAACTAGAAATACCTTTTCGGGTTTTTGTAGCTTCTTACCAGTCCAACCTGGACCTGATTTTGCCCCTTAACTGGGCGAAAACAGATTCGAATGTTCCTGGAATAAATTTTGAGACTGGATTAAATCAAAATTGGGAATCTGAACCTCTCAAAAAATTACCTACTCAATCTTATCATCATCTTTTCCTTGATCACAAATTTGAAGTCAAGATCAATTATTCACTGTTTGAAAATGAAAATATTTTATAAATCTCATCTTTACTTTGAATCACATTGAGAAATTCTACTTCCAACTTTTTCTCAGTTTTGACATCACATGGATTGATTTTTTTTTCTGCTAAAATTGGCTCAATTTACTCAAAGGCCATGAAGATTTCTGGAGATATCACTCATTTTTTTTTCATATTCTAGGCATCAAACATGATTTCTTGCGGAAGCTGGAAGATCTAGAAGTGACAGAGCAAGAAACAGCTGTTCTGGAAGTAGAAATTTCATCTGAAACAAAGGATGTAAAGTGGCTTAAAGATGGAAAGGTAATTAAACCCAGTGAGAAGTATGTGACAGAGCAGCAAGGCCCTGTTCGGAAGCTACTCATCCGCTCAACATCGGTGCATGATGAGGGTGAATACACATGCTCGGTTGATGACAATGTTTGCTCCGCTGAAGTAACCGTAGTAGAGCTTCCTCCAGAGATTATTACCAAGATGCAAGATCAGACAATTTCCAAAGGCGACAAAGCAGTGTTTGATGTGGAGCTGAGCAAAGGCGATGCTTTGGTCAGGTATGTTTTATTGTATGTTTCTTGGACAATGCTATCCAAATATTATGGTTAAGTACTGATATACATATTTAATGGAATATTCCAGCTTGCATAGCACTGAAAGTAATGCGTGACTCGAAGGTATGTTGTCTGAATCTTATTTCTGTATATATTAAAGTCTGTAATGGACGAGTTTATTTCTTTACAGAGAGTGACCTCCAATGAAATCAGCTTAGATTCTATGTATATGCTGTTCAGCATGTCATGTTGTACTGAACTTCTTACAGTTGAAAGAGGTACTGTGTACAATTTTTGAGATGTTTGTCTTTTAGCAAGCATAAACTGGAGTGAGTCGCGATGTCTCCCTTCCCTCCTCCACCATCAATTCTTGTACCACTCTGCTGTTGAGTCAAGGAAAAACGCCACATAAATGTTTGGACAGTACCTTTCCTGTGATAAAATATTTATTCCTCACAAAGGCCATGAAGTTTTCTTTAAAATTTTCAGATGCTTTCTGCGAATTGTTACATTGTGAATAAAATTCCTAGAAAAATTGGACAGCAAATACTTTTTAGTCACTGAAAATTTGCATTGATTTGCTTGTAACAATAGTTTGATTTCCTCCTCATCAATTATGCGGAAGTTATTTTTTTTCAACGAGAATGAGTATCTTCGCATTTTGTAAAACTATTTAAATTTTCTGCTGAGCATTGCAAATATTATTTTGAGAGATATTCATGTGAACCCTAGTACCTAATTGTTAAAGAATCCTTCAAGAGTTTTGTCTTTTGTTTTTTAAGGTGGTTTAAGGATGACAAAGAACTACAGTTCTCGGAGCATGTTCAGCTTTCGATCGATGGAAAGAAGCAAAAACTGAAGATTTATCAGACGCAGTTGGAGGATAGTGGCGTCTATGCCTGTCGTGTTGGTGACCAAGTATCTAAGGCTAAACTTACTGTCGAGGGTAAGTACTGTGTGCTTCAAAAGTTACATGACCTTATTTAAGTAAGATGTTGGGTGTGAAAAAGTGTAAAAAGGAGAGGAACTAACAGGGCAAGCTTTGCTTATGGCGCAGTTGAAAGTTTTTTTTTCCTTTACATCTCGCCATTTAATTTATTGGTAAACATGGTGATCAAAGGATTTCAAAATCTTATCAGAAGAGAAAGAACCAAAAATGCTCTCATATGTCAGGACTGAAAACCACAGAAGCGGTTTCAAAAGTAGTTAAAACTTATGATGTAAGAAATTAAATTCAAGTTAAATTTCGGTATTCTTTGATATTTGAACTAATTGAGTACCCTTTTGTATTTTACATGGACCCCTAAAGAGGGATCAAATCACAAAAGAATGCTTTTACAGCTTCCCTATTATAAAAACTAAGCTTGAGATTTGAAAAATCAGGTGTTAAACAAAGTTTTTAAATAGTACCTACGGTTTTGGGTTTTTGACTATGAGTAGAATTGTTACATGTTTAAAATGCTGTGTCATGAGAACTCCCCCAATATTTCATCCTATGAAGGATTGAGAGTTCTCTTTACGCTGTATCTTGTGAAGGTTATCCATCAAATATTTTTATTTTGAGTCATCCTAAGTCAAGTATTTATTTTTCACAGAACCTGCTGTAGAATTCGTCACAAGACTACCGGAGGTTACTCTTGTGCCAATCAAAACGGATGCTATATTTGTTGTTGAGCTCTCAAAACCTGATGTAGAAGTTAAGTGGCTGAAGTAAGTTGTGCTTTTTTTTTCTTATAAGTGCCAGTATTAATTTACAATGTGCTGTTCATGTATAACCTTCAGCTAATCTGTTAGGCCATTAATTAGTCTCAATAATTATAATCAGAGGCTAAGAGTAAAAAAGCAAGAGAGAATAAGAGGCAGCAATCTTGTATCAATAATGAACGATAATAAACTTGGAGAAGCTCAAGAATTTGAAGAAACCTGGAAAGTTACGGATTTTCGCTGGTGATCAAGGATTCTTTTCATTCCGATAGGAAACCACACCGAGTGCAAGTTTTTTTTCTTCTTTTTTTCAAGTCTGAGAATTTTTCAGTAAATACTCATGGGATTTCCATCAAGAAAGTTAGGGAATAGCAAGGGCATTCTAATTTCTAAGAGCAGTTGAAAACCTAAATAGAAACTTGGGAATTTGCCTAGTGGTTTCAAAATTAATTTTGAAAAGTTCCGTGTGGTACAAACCTTTTTGAATGAAACTAGTTTGATATCTTACATTTTTCACCATCAAATGCATGTTTTCACCTGTTTATAATTTACAACTTAACGAAGTCAAAATTATTTGCCTGATATTTTTAGGAAAGGTAAAGAAATCACAGAGTCTGATAAGTACATAATCACTTCAAGTGATACAACCAGGAAACTTATCATCAAGAAGACGACTGTAGAGGATCAAACGGATTACACTTGTGTTGCAGCCAATGTTAAGACGACAACAAAACTTAAGTGTGAAAGTATGTTTGAAACCTCCTTATTTTAAACGTTGGATTATTTTCTCAAGTAAAATTGAGTAGCATTTTTCAACAGGGAATCAAATTTCATATTCTCTAAAGTTGAGTCGAAGGATAGTTTCGAACTTATTCAGAAACTTGTACTCTCCTTCTAAATATCTAAAGTGCACAGAGAATATTTAGTGTGCCAAATTTTAACTTGTTTTCTACACTTAGCTTCATAGAAGAACTACATACTTCAAACATAGAATGCTTCAAAAAAATTTTCTCTTCATAGCAAGTCAATTGCTTTTGTATTTGCTTTTCCTTGGTAAAATGCTGCTGAATTTGATACCACGCTCACCTTAGCTGAGTATCTTTTCAAGGACAAATTTTACCAATAATTTATGCAGACATAACATAAATAATAGTCATAAATAAACTTTTTTTATAAATTTGGATGATTTTATTGGCATAAAAGCAGGTTCTCAAATAAAAAGGCATTTTACATAACATCATTTAATTTATTTTCAAAGATTTTAAGGAGGTATTTTGTGCTGCTAACCTGTAATTTTTATTTCAGTTACAAAAACTCCTCCAAAGATAGAGGCTCATGACACAGAGTTTAAAGTTAAGACAGGCCAGGATGTCACTTTCACAATAAAATTCTCATCAAATCAACCTGTGAAAGAAGAATGGACTGTTAATGGAAAAGTTATTCAAAAGTCCAAGCGGGTAAGTCAGGCATTAAAAACTTTTATTACAGTATACTTTTGGTAGATGTGTGTAAAACAGTTGATGGCTCAAAACATATGACCTAGAGAACAAAAGAAATATTGGCAGTGAAACCTTCGAATCACGTACCTCGGTTGCAGACTTTCTGTCCCACCTAACATTTTAAGTTAAAAACAACTTAACGTTAATTCTTTAAAACTTCGATGATACTTCTTCTCTGTGCAAAGGAAATTCTGTGGAAACTGCGTGGAATGATGTTAATTTGTTTTCTTGCAAAGAAATAAAATGGGAGTGGAGGTTTTAAAACACCACAAATGAGTTATGCAGTTTGGGAGTTTTACTGTTGACGTGTGATTCCTCTAAAAATGTAACATTGATACTTATCTTATTTGTGAGTATTTTGATAATACTCAAAGCGATACATCAGAAAATGAAATTGGCATGGTAGAATGAAACGGGTAATTTTATACCCGTGTATATTTTAAAAGTTGTTTCAGTTCCCTTTAATTTAAATTCCAGTTTAAAGAGGCACTACTCACTATTTATGATCTCTTAAAAGTATATTCAACTGCTTATACAGAGAGTTTAGCTTAATTTTCTCGAAAAAAGCTGGGATTTCTCAGTAAATTTTGTAATATCATGTTTCCATCATTACTTCTCATTTTAATGTTCCTCTCTGTTTAATCCTCAATTTTTAATATTCAGTGGTAAAGATCAGGAATACATACTTCAGTATTTAATCCAATTTAACCATATGTTTTCAGGTGAGTTTTAGCTCTGATGAGGAGTCAGCAAGCCTAACAATAAAGCAAGTAGAAAAGAGTGATGTTGGAAATTACACACTTAGATTGGTCAACAATAGTGGAGAAGCATCTGCAGAACTGACACTCATTATGCTAGGTAAGCCACTCAGTATTTGTAGGTCAGACCACTCTTATTTTTCCACAATTTGGTGAAGTTTTTTCTTTTAGAATTCTAGGTGAAAATCTATTCTCGAGACATTTTTGATAGGTGACGTATGAAGTAACATTGCCTGATTTTGAATAGAAGTATTTAGACACATTATCAACTTGCTTGCAGTATAATCAGGAGGTGCTGTAGAATAGTTTCCAGGGAAAATAGTCCAAGAGCCAGACAATATTTAGTGACCAACACATGACACAAGTTTTGACCACGTAAATCGATGGACCTTACATGTACTGACACTGAAAATTGTCGTCTGCCACGTTGTAGCAAGTATGTACCATCACGTAGCAAACAACCATTTTCTGTGTCAGTGCAGATTTAATTGGTAAAATTTTGTGTCACGATTTTGTCACTAAACATCATCTGGCTCTCGGACTAGAACCATATGTCCCTATTTTTTTTTTTTTTTTTGCTCCATGATGGGGGATGGGTTTGATCCCCAAAGTTTGCAAAGTGTATGGAAAACGACTTGAACGAAAAAGATAACATTTCTAAGGCTTTTAAAAATTGTTGTAATTGTTCTGCTGCAACATTAGTATGTTTTATAATTTCTCCATTCAAAAAAAACAATGTTTTCATTCTACTATACATAAATTCAAGTTTTAACCCATAAAATTAATTTTCTTTTGAGTACAGAAGTTCCTGGTGCGCCGGACATTCCTGAAGTTGTTATGGTTACTGACAACTCTGCAACCTTGCACTGGAAACCTCCGCAATTTGATGGAAATACACCCATAACTGGTTATGTATTTGAACATCATGACAAAGATGAATTCATGGTGTAAGTATTTTTGTATAATAATAATTTTCAGGGCTTGAAATCCACGTCTCAAAATTTTCAGAATTTTTCTAATCCTCTTAATTGCAAGTATTTGCTGAACATATTGCTTGTTACAGTGTTTTAGATACATATTTCCTCTGGCACCACAAAGTCGCTTTGTCCTGCTGGGACCATGCCAGTACGCCTTAAAAATATACACGGCTGCAACAACCACTAGTCTCATGGTAGCCTAGCAATGCAAACTATCACTGGTGTGGCGAAACTCCTCTATGCTGGTTGACACAACCAGCATGGCAGGCAACGTGTTAATAAGTTACATCAGAAAACTCTAGTAATTAATTTCTTAAATAAATACATTTAGTTATCTGTCACATGAAAGTTAGACAATACAAAGCTTTATTATTCCCTCAGTACTAGAGGTTGTCTTCTTTCAAGGAAAAAAGAAAGGTAGATGCATTTTTTGGAGTTTTAGCCACAAAGATTTGATGATCAATGACAATAAATGAATTTCTATAATGCGTTCCTTTAGATAAACTGCATTCTCCTCTTTTGCTTTCTATAGATGGAAGAAAATTGAAACCACTGAAACAACGGTAAAAGTAACAGGGCTTGAGAAGAACCATGAAGTGATGTTCCGCGTTGCGGCAGTCAATGAAGTAGGAGTTGGACCAGTTTCGCAAAACACTCGTTACGTAAAGATTGCTGCTCCTCTCTCAACTGAAGCTCCGCTGATTCAAGATTCTCTGAAAGATGTTACTGTCGGTCTGAAAAAACCATTGACATTAGAATGTGTGGTCAGCGGAACCCCAGCACCAGAAATCAAATGGTATAAACATCACTAGTGACTTTTAAATTAGCCATAGAATTTGTTATGTAATACAAATTACACATCATCAATCAAAATCTATAATCTCTACTGTTCCACAGTATGTATTAAGACATACCTTGTAAGTATTTCGAAGAATTGTGATACTTAATAGTAACATTTCTAAGGATTGAAGCTAATCTGCATCAAAAGCCAAACCTCTGAGCTTGAATCATTAAGAAAAAAAACATAAAAAAAGGAGCACAGTAGCCAATGTACCTACCTATGATTCATTTCTCTGCATCAGTATTTGAAGTTTTTAACAGTTCAAAAAAAATTTAACTCAATTTTTACATAGACCACAAAAAATCAAATCCAGCCAATTGGTTAGCACCTTGAATAGTGGTGGTTTTAAATTAGACTTGGAATTTTAATTAACTTTTTTCTTTTGCAAGCTTAGTGCGTGAATAATGCTTCTCTTATTTATGCCATTAGGTTCAAAAATGGAACAATCATCAAGTCCAAGTCAATAACTTATGAAAACAATGTTGCAAAGTACAAAATTTCAGAGGCATTGGAAACAACGCAAGGGACTTACACTTGCCAAGCCAAGAATGAAGCTGGATCAGCTGAAACTAAATGCGTCGTTAAAGTTCAAGGTACTCCTTTTCTTTACCTCAGTAACTATACGGAGGAAAGATAAATAGGGGAAGATACGTAACACTGAATGGCCCAAGTATTAGGGCGGTTAAGCTTAGGTACAAATTGTGCTTTTCTGGAAGAAAGCATGAAACTTTGAGGATATCATCTTTGCCTATGGTAAAAAGGTTTCAACTTCTGTCTAGTACTCCAAATAAGGAAACTAAGTAATTTTAAGAATACCTTTGTGAAATACTAACTTGGAAAAAAATATATGTGTTCGGGGGTTTCAGTAATCTCACCCCTGGCATTTTTGTGAGAACTGATTTAGGAAAAAAAAAAAAAAATGCATGGTAATCTGGACTCATCTTTTCTACTTTTTAAAATTTCATTCTCCAATGACTAACTACTATTTTATTTTTTTAAAATGAGACGAACCAAATCTACAGTTTGTAATCTCTTTAGAATGCTTTTCACAGGAAGAACAAAAGTTGTGGATTTTTTTAAAAAAAAAATTACCTTTTTAAACATAAATCACAATGAAAAATTCACAATATCACAATTAAAATGCATGCTCCCAGGGTTCAGCCACAGATTAGCTTTTTATTCTGAGCGGCCAATCCTCCCACCTGAATTTATGTAACACCCAAGAGCGTCAATAATTTTTTCATCTTTTACAATAATTTCCATTTTTTTTAGATACTCCCAAATTAGAGTGTGATGAAGCTCTGACTAACCAAACAATGCGGGTCAAAGGTCAATGGAAGGTTGAGGTAAGGTTTTCTGGATTCCCTCGGCCAGAAATCAAATGGCAGAAGAACAACGACACTATCACAGGTGACAACCGGTGCAAGATCTACATTGATGAAGAAAGTACAACAATTGCCATTTACTCAGTGGAAAGGACGGATAGTGCAACGTATACTGTGTCTGCAACAAACAGCGCAGGCACTGCTACAACAAAATTGGTGCTCCGAGTTATAGGTATGTGTCTTTATTATGATTTTCGTTGAAAAATATTTTTTTTTATTTCAGCCAGCAATTGGAAATTATACATGTTTACAATTAAGTTATGGGGCCCTAGGATTTCTAAACAAGAGTACCTTACTTTTTTATCTGTACCTAAGCCTTATTTGAGCAGCTAAGGGACTCAAACCGTTGCAATTGATTTCAGGGGTAAAAATTCTCTTAGGAAGGTAATAAAATATGATTTTTTTATCAGGTAATTTCATAGGACATGTAGTCGTCCCTTGTCCCTAATGAGGCTGGTACAGAGTTTTAGGTGCGTTGTTGAGGTAAACTTATCCGATTCTGTTCAGTTCTTCTGTGTACTTAATGCAGCTCATGTGGTCCAGTCGACCACTCAAGACTGTTGATCGTTGACTAGAAAAGTTGGTCGTTCATATGTAAACTTAGAAGTAATAGGGTAATTCAACAGCTTACGCTGACTCTTTGGCATAGAGTAATTTCGTTTCTAAACGGTCCCTAACAGTTTGCTTCAGCAATGCACCTCTTGCCAACGACATGAAAATACAACATTAATTTAATAATTACAATGGAAGCTCTTATTTTAGGAGTACCAATTGGGAATACTGTGTTATGATGTTTCCAGTTTTATACCACTGGAGTTTAAATAGATTATTTCAAAAGTATTAGGTATTAGAGTTTCAAAGCAAGATTCTGGTGCATTTCAGTAAAAAAAATTGTATTTATTGGAGAGGGAAGGAGGATAGGGCATTTAGCTCAGGTAGGTGCTCAGAAAACGCTTTGCTAGTATCACATCAACAGCACCATTACTTTTGCTTTCATTAAAGAACACCAGGCAGGCATGGCCACGCACAAAATCATCAACTAACTTTCTAATTCTTTGCTTCTGCTTCTTGTTATCTTTTTCAATTATGTAAGTAAAAAATAATAACAGTTTCATAACCCTAGGATTGGTGTTGGTACTAAAATATCACCGGTATTCAAGTCTTAATTCAATTTTGCAGCAGGATTTCTTAAACTTAAATCTGAGAACTTTCCTTCCCCCACAAAATCACACTTAAATCAACTCAGTGGATCAGTTGTACATATCTCAAATCTTGTTCTGATGTTTGAGGTAGTGATATCCATGATAAATAATAATAAGCGGCAGTACTGACCTGTAAAAATTTAACGCATTGCTGCAGTATCTTTCTCCACCATGGATTCATTACTTATTGTATACTCATTTGCACTGGTTTTGCAGTGGATAACTCTGATTGAATCAAGATAAAACAAACCATGGTATGCTGTACTGTTATAGATAATGTCATTTACTTTTCAAATGGTGATACATATGTCAGTATTGACACCAGAAACTTGGCGTCTGGACTGATTTTTTGCCATCCTATGAGTTTTTACCATAAAAGCAAAATTTCTCGACAGACGCAACTGATCCATTGCTCATGGTTTTATCATTTTTAGCACAATCTTACAGCTGAGCTTTCTGAGCTTTTTTCCTTTTGCTGCTTTGTTACTCATTAATTGTTTTTGCAAAATTCAACAGATGAAGAGAATACTGGAGACGATGAAGATTCAGGCGGTAAATTTCTTCAAAAATTTGCACGGACTCTGTGATAGAATGCTTTTGCAAGCATCTTTGGGAATGTTTATATGTTGGTTGAGTCCATCTGTAAAAAAAAATCTTGCATCCATTATTTCGAACCCTTTCTGAAAAATGAAAGAGAAAAAAATTCCTCTAATTCCCATAAACCCATCTTTCGCCTGTTAAATGAATCCAAATCATCAAAAAATTTAAAAGTCTGCAAATTAGAACATTTTCTTAAATTTTTGTCTCTATTTTGAAAAATAAGTATGTTCCGACTAAACAACAGCAGTTTACCGGTCAATGTTAATGAGATCCAAGACGGAAAGTAACGTAAAAACCAGATGTTGCAGTGCCTCCTTCTCTGTATATAACTGGAAAGTAGTACCTTTTTGTTACTTAAAGTAACCAGACAATCAGAAATGGAAAATAAATTACATCTTGACTGGAATAATATCCCTGCCAGGTTTTGCTATTTCAAGACTTGATTTCATCTAAGCCCCTTAATAAGTTCTATCAGGTGGGAGGGACTCAATAAAAAAGGGCACTTTTCTCTTTTAAGATAAACACTTTATATAATGAGACAGTTGAATGATTTTTGAGGTTTTGTAGAGTGATACCTAAGTGTCTTGCATCTCTTGTACCATTTTCCTTTTACCATGTTCCCAAAAATGTTGAAAACCTCACAAACATTAAGGATACATAATAATTAAAAATTACCTTTTTATCGCCGAATTGAAATGGATAATTCATTTTATAACCAATATACTCTTGTTTTCCTTTTCTTCTCCTCTTGCATTTTTTTAGACCAAGTAACGACTCCTAATATTTCTGGACCGTTTCCTAATATTTTCTGTTCCCTCCAATTAAAAAAATATGATGCCTGTCCTGCGTAAGAAACCGTTTGACATTTGTTTTCATTCACATTATCATTTCGATTTAAGTGTATATGATTACATGTCTGCATCATTGAATGTGAATGTATAACTTCATATTATTTTTGTCACCTATGCTCCAAATGTTCTTAAATTTTTCATCCTACATGAATTTTTAATTTTAATTCTATAATGTTTTTTCAAAGATATTTTCTCTCCACAGTGCTGCAAAATTATAAAGCAAAAAGAACTAAATTCCCAATTTTGACAGCATGTTATCCCAGTTCATGTAATGCGAGGGGGAAAAATTTTCTTCGCAGTGTTAGTCACAAAAATTTTGTAATTGAGGATTCCTAATTTTTATTCAAAGATGAAAAGTTTTCTGGAATCAATAGTTACTTATTACCTTCTGGTCTAAATTTTTCCAATTCAAACTTGCGGTAAATCCCAACAGGATGCTTGTTTCAAAAAATTTTTATAATTTAAATTTATTGATAGAGATAAAAAGACTTGCGGAAGTAAAATACACGAAAACATTAGGCTCCCTAAATATTCCTTTTTTTCTTTGATTTTAATTAGAACTGTATTTTGCATTAAGGAACTTTTATTCGGTCTACTTTATACTTTTATTCTCTTATTTTTTATTTTTTCAGAAACAAATTATGTGCAATTAGTTTCCACATGGAGATAGGTGCTTTGTAGTTGAGCCTAAAGCATTAGTTCCTAATTGCAAAATTTTGTCCAATTGCATGCTCTGTGGCAGCACTATCCACATCTCCATGTCCGAAATGTTTCAAAATGTTGTCAAGAATTTGAAAAAATTGGTATCTTATTTCATGATGTTTTTGCAGATAAACCTGGGAAACCTCAAGGACCTATCATCGTAGAAGAAATGGATCAAACCGCAGCCACTATCCAATGGAAGCCGCCAACAGATGATGGCGGTCTTGAGATCTCTAAATATTCGATTGAAAAATGTGATACAAACAAAATGATCTGGAAGAAGGTACTCGTACTCTGAGTCCAACTTTATCTTAGTTTTATCCCTTTTTCTTTCTAAGAAGATGCATTCCTGGTTTTAGACATGGTTGAACTAGAGTGGCATGTATCGCATCGATTAAGTGAAAAATCTCGCCAGATTTTGACCTCATAGCTAAAAAGAGGACAATATTCCCTGTGCATAGGCCTATCCAATCATTTTCCACCAAAAAATTGAGAAAATTCTGAAAAATAAAAGCAGAGTTCTTCTTGGGGAAAAAAACGTTGCATTTGGTCTCAGTAATCAACCTCTGTATCTAATGAGACTTTTTTTCTTAGAAAAATCCTGCCTCCATTTCTCTGGATGTTGCAATTTTCGATTGCAAACGATTCACCTGGCTTACGCTGAGGGGCTATTGTCCCCTTCTTAACTTTAAAGTCAAAATCTGCCAAGATTTCTGACTTTGAGGATGACGACACATTATACGATGACATATGACGACACATTATACTTACGCCAGTTTGATCTTGCCAAGAGTCCGGAACGAATCACCGTAATAACTTATGATAAAAAGTAGTCAGAGGTAAAGCTACACCGATTGAATTGCTAACATTTTCTATCGGAGGAAGTGAGTCTTCATTGATTCAAACAATGTCAAATAAAATTATTCTCATCATATTATCAAAGTAAACAGAAGGCAAGAGATCAATCAATGGGGCTTCTGCCTGCCAAAAATTCTTGGCACCATTGATTACTAATTGTATTTTTCATTGATGTATTTTCAACAGGTAATAGATACCTTTACATCTGTTTCTTGGTGCAAGACACAAGTCTTCTATAATCAAGTAATCTTTTTGATTGTTGTAAATGATTGTTAAGTAATCTTCCTGATTGTTAAATGATTGTTGTTTCTGATTGTTGTCGTGATTGTCAAAAAGTTTCGTGAAGAGAAGTTTCTAGAAAAGTGCTCATGCCTTTAACTTGTTATTTGCTTATCCTCTGCAAAGTGCGTTGAGTGCAATTATTTAATCCAGTATTTTTCAAATCAAGTTGAGTTTAAAATTCTCTGTTTTCTATAACTTTTACAAAATTATCATTTATAGGTTGGAGACGTAAATAAAGACATATCGGCCTACTCTGTTCAAAAGCTGGAGGAAGACAGCGAGTACATGTTCCGCGTCACGGCGCACAATCCAATCGGAGTTTCAGAACCACTAGAAAGTGAACCAATTACAATAAAATGTAAATTCGGTAAGTCATTAACATTTTTCTACCAAGATGTTTATTGAAGCAACTTAAAAATTTAAAGATGAAGTGACCAATGAAATTGAAAATTTTTTCAGACTTGCTTTTAATCATTTTTTGTGAAATAATAAGGATGGAGCAAGTATTGTTTGCATTTAAAATCCTTTGAACTCTTTAATTCAACCTTTACTTAGTGGCAATTTAAGGTATGCCTACATCAAGTCTTTCAAATCTCATAGATAGGTCTTTCAGTCTCTCTGCATCAAGGCTCTTGTCTGTGAAAATTTTAGCAGCAGCTTAGAAAGTATTTGGTTGTTAACTTTTATCATAAAGTGTTTTTAAAAAAACATGGATTTTTCGTTTTTACAGATAAACCATCACCTCCACAAGGTCCGCTGGATGTCACTGATATTTCAGATACCGCAATGACAATTTCTTGGCAGCCCCCGAAAAAGAGTGGTGGCACTGTCATAATAGACTATACTGTAGAAATGAAAGAATCAAATAGTAACAGTTGGCGGAAGGTGATACTTCAGTTCATTTTTATTTTAAGTTATACCCTGTCCAAGGCAAAGTTGAATTTGTGGAATAAGAAAGCTTGAAACTGTAATACTTATGTTGATTCTTTTAGTTTTAGCGTTTAATGAGGAAATTTAACACATTTTAAGTCTATCAGTGTATCAACAGCTTTCAGAGATATATTACAGGCTAAAATAATTTATTATTTCCATCATAGTAAGACACTCCTGTAACTTTAGTTCCTGATAGAATACTTTTGTTTGATCTTTCACTTGTTACATTGGCAAGGAATTTTGCAAAGCCTAATTTTTCTTGGGAAATTTTAAAAAGTTAGAATTTTAGAATTCCATCCAGTCTTATACAAAGTTTAAAAATTTTCCAGAGTGCTTCTCGTGGTTTAACATTCTGTTAAAGTATTCATATGTCAGCAGAAATTATTATCATAATACTTACACTGTTGCCTTCAAAGTGTATAGCATAGGGGACCATTTTTAAGGTTTTAGAGGGTCTGAAAAAGAAATAGAAACTTCCGTATAAAAACCGAACAAAAAAAGGGAGGGGCAAAAAGAACGAGAAATTACAAAGTAACCTAGCTACAAGCGGAAGACCTGTAATCAATTTTAATCGTTCATTACTCCAAAATCATTTCTAGAATTTAAGCCAAATTATTTTTTCATCCTAAAACTGATTTGTTTTCTAATTTTATCTGAAAGGTTGGAGTCACCAGTGAAAGACATCTACACATTGAAGATTTGAAGAAAGATGAATCCTACGATTTCAGGATAACTGCAAGAAATCGTATCGGCGAGAGTGTGCCATATGTCGCAGAAGAATCTATTATTGCTGGTAGAGAAATAAGTGAGTATTTCTGGTTTTACTTTCCTCCCTCCCCTTTGCTTTATTGCAACTTTTGTGTGTAGAGTGGCTCTATCGTTTTCAATTCTTAGACTTCATTTACTTTAAATGCCACTTCTTTGCATTTAATCATATTTTACTTATGAGATATTGAAATTATGGAGTGAAATCAAATTACATCGACTGCTCCAAAATGTCTTCCAAATAAGTCTTGTCCCTCTCTACTTTCTGTTTCAATGAAATCGTGTGGATCTTTCAGTTTGAATTCATTGGAAAATTTGCAAGTGTTCAAAAGTATATTAATGTGATTATTAAGTATTGTTAATGAATAAAAACGTGAATATCTTTGATTTTTTAAATTCAATGACTATTAAAATTTTTTTGACAGGATGGTCAAATATGCATTCTGTGTTTTCCTTGAAAACATACTACATATGCCCTTTTACAACTTATCTCTTCAAAAGAAAATCAGTTGATCACTCCTACTTTTAGTGCTACTCAGTACTACCGAATTATCTAAATCAGAAAAAAAAACTTGTAAAAAATAACAACTCGTTGGCACATATTTTGCACTTTTCTGAGATGAAATACAATTTTATCTTGCAAATTCTCCATCGTGTGAAAAGAAAATTAGCTTTTCAATCTGCTACTTCATTTTCCACCAAAAATGCTTGCAAAACTTTTCTCCAGCTTTGTATTATTTTGATGCCCTACTTCATTCTTGCTTTACGCAGTTTTTTGCTTATTGCTTTGCTTTTCACTGCTAACTAGACTTCAGAGCGGAAGCCCAGTTAACGATCAGAATCCCAGCCAAGCGGCAGATCAGCCAACCTGCAGAAGAATCATCCACTCCAGTTGCTTCAGCTCCTACTTCAGTTGCTTCAGCTCCTACTTCTGCTTTAGCCTCTGCCCCAGCTGTAGCCCCCGTAGCTCCAGCATCGACCCCCAGACCATCTAGACCTAGAATGACTGATTCACCCCCAAAGACAATCCTCAGCTTCAAAAATGCCCGAGGCCCAGCGCCAGAGGCAGGAGCAGAGTTTGAAGAGGAAGTCTCAGGTCTTGGTTTCACCAAGCATCCTATCCCACCCTTACCAAAAATTCTCCCAACCGGTCCAGGTATGAATCAATGAGGCTTATCCTTCCTCACTTTGGTCTTATTCTAATTATCATAATTTTTGTCAAAAATGATCAAAATACCGATCAATGACCAAAGTGCAAAACCACGTATCTCTCTTTGCAACATCGCGAACCTCCTGGCATCCATTTTTTCTTTGTAAAATTAGTCAACGCAAAATTAATGAACGCGAAAATTTCTTTAATTTTTGTTTCTGTGAGCACAATATTCTGTATAAAATTCAAGCCATCAAGTTTGCTTGTTTCTCTTCGAAAAAATAAAACAAAAGCGGAAATTTTGAACATCGCAATTGAAATACGTGGTTTCGCACTTTGTTCATAGCAATGTGTCTTTCAGCGTAACTCTTGTTGTGTATTGCCGGGTATACACTGGCTCAACTTCAAACACCTGCAGGTGTGCACAAAGCCTTATTAGGCCCCAAATCAGTGCATGTATATAAAGGCCACAGTTTGCATGTCACAGGAAAGAATTAATTTTTTTCCTAGTTTTTTCCTATTTTTTCTTCTTTCTTTTTTTTCTTCTTCTTTTTTTTAACAAATGTTAAGAATTATCTCTGGGACTGCCTGAAAATTAGTCTCATAGAATTTGTGTTGCAGTTAAAAGTTGAAATCAAATTATGTGTCAATAGAGTAAATGCCGACTTTGATGGAGGCCTTTGGATTTGTGAAAGTAGTTTATATTTATGCCTCTATTAATTACAGACTGTCTGTGAGCTATTCAATGTGTATAATATTGCTATTTGCATCAAATAGAATTTTTTAGAAATTTTCCCAAGAAACCACAATTTTTTGTCTTCTAAAGTGTGAAAATGTAGAGTTTTGGGCAACAGCAGAGACTTTTGCTTTTGTTTCTCCTCACTCAAGTGGTGCGGCAATAGGTTTCAAGTTACAAACTTTCAAAGTAGTGTTTACATGTCTTCAACTTTAGCATGAAAATTATGGTATTTAAGTTTTTATTAATTTGCCAATGAATTATTAGCAGCCTTGATACATGTACGTAAATTTGTTTAAATGTTTATACTATTCTCTCTTGCTAGGATTTCTTGATATTGAAACCTGCAGTATTTTCTTACATTGGTTTCAAATTTTTGATTTTTATTCTTTTTAATGCATGTGAACATTCAATTTTTTTCCTTTAACATTTCAGCTGTTCCCTCTGCTCCCACTGCATTGGAAGTCACCAACATCTCTAGTAAGAGTGTCTCGTTGAGATGGAAACAACCAGAATTCTTAGGAAATACCGAATTAACAGGTAGGGCAGACGTTTAATTTGCCTTTTTCTACACAAACTGCACTGAGATCAAAAAAACGAAAAAAGAGAAGAAAAAAAATTCCTTCTGAAAGATGAAGTACTTATTCAAATGAATAAGTTTTACAAGATACATTACAACAAGTCAAGATCAATTTTAGGCGAGTGATACTTATTACTCCTGATCCAAAACACCAGAAAAACAATGCAACATTGCAATTGGCCCTGTCTTTGTAAAATATCATGCGTTGAATTGCTGAAAAATGCTTTTTTTAGTAAAAGGTTCGATTTCTAATGCTCATCTTCTGCAAGAGAATTGAGATTGTTAAAAACATCATATAAAAAAATCTGGAAATTTAGCTGGAGCCGAATTTCTCAGTATTCTGGGCGTAGTTCTATGTGCAAAACCTTCATTCAGTTATTCGATTAATGAATTTATTTATTAATGATCCTCAACAATAAATACTTCCTGTCTTTCAGACTTGATTTACCACTTGCTCTCCTATACTAAGGAATTAGCATCAGAATGGAATCTTTGTGTTCACATTTTAAAGAGATTCATTGCTTCACAAATGATCATTTTTTTACTCTGCCTTAAACAGAGAAGATAGTTCTCGTCAAAAATAAGTGAAAATATTCTATTCAGTAGCTAAATTATTTTTTAAACATATATTTCAATTTGATTCAAGGCTAAAAATTACCCCATTCGTCCACCTATATTTGCCCTAAAAGTTTCCATGTTCGTTTGCTAATTAAAATCATATTGTTTTTCCTATCAAGGTTACGTTATAGAGATGCAAGATTCAGCCCAACTGAGGATCAAAATCCGATGGGAGAAAGTTGTCACATTAGAACCATACATCATGGAATATACCATTGAGAATCTCAAAGAGAAATCCTCCTTCTTCTTCCGCGTTCTAGCAGAGAACAAAGTCGGACTAAGTCCTCCAGCGTCAACTGATGTGATTGCCTTGAAAACCTCAGCAAGTGAGTTCACAAAGTTTGAAACCACTTTTATTTTTTGCTAAAAGTTTTTTGTTGAAGCTAAATTACAGTGTGGAGCTCACATGAATGAGTTTTGTTTGTGACAAAGAAGTTAAAACTTTATAATGAAGCTGGGATTTTAGACTTATTTTGTTTGTTGCCATAAGCAACATTAGTGCCATTAGAGTGTGAAGTCTCACACTTTCCAAGACTGTTGTCACCAGAAAGAGTCTCTTCGAAAGTGTCCTCCGCATGGAACTGTACAGTTGCCATTTCTGTTATTGGGTAATACCTGTCAGTTTTCTAGGTCATTATCCTTCTTCCAGGTTTAATGTGGGGTGATGTCAGATCAATGCTAACTATCAACAATTAATTATGTATCTGATCACTGGTCCTCTTACTTTGTCGTTGTTGTTTTTTTTTTTTCAAGTTTAAGCTTGCCTTTGTTGATAAATTTCTGTTTGGAATCTATTTATTTGCACTCAACTACAGGAAAGTAGGTTCCTGTTTTTTGTATTATGTTCTCATCGGTATGTAGGCTTCAGAGAAGGAACATAAGTGTTGTGTTGTTTGTTACAGCTATTCCGTCCCCTCCAACTGCACCCCTGGAGACAAGAGTCATCACTGCAAACTCAGTGGTCCTTGCTTGGGGCATTCCGGAAACAGATGGTGGCTCTCCAGTCAAAGGTTACGTCATTGCCATCAAAGACAAATCTAAGAAAATGTGGATGGAAGTTGGAAAGGTCAAGGCTGATGTCCAGAAACTGACGGTTAAGGACTTACAAGTGAGTTTAGTCACTATTTTTTTCCTTATAAATGAAATCATTGACACAATCTGCATCAGACCCTTTACTGTAAATACGGACCACTTCATCAATCAAGATTATTGTCAAGGGGCTAGTCTGATCTGAAGAGAGTAGGTACAATGAAACCTTGATATAACATTTCTCAGCAGACTGGCAAAGTTCATTTTTAAATCGAGATCATTTTTATACCAAAACTTTGTAAAAGTGAAAGCCTAACGTTATTGGAAGCTAACGCCTAAGGTTTTTGCGGGGTTCTGGCCGAAAGCACCAGTGGCCATCTCTTGCTGTATTGTTGCTCAACCTAGTATCATGAAAGAAAAAATGGTCAGTCTGTTGACCAAAAAATTTGACTTACAAGATTTTAAAACTTCATGAAATGTTATGAATATTGCTTGAGCGCATGTGAAACTATGGCATGTAACTGCCTTGGGTTAGCAAGATATATCGTCCAGGCAGCCTTTTAAGTAAAATGGTGGTGTACAATTTTAAAATTTTAAATCCGAAAATAAAAATTTATTTGAAGGCTTGATGATGTCATAGCTCTTCCCTTTTCTTGAACCAAATAATTTGGAACATTCTTGATGTAATATTTATAATTGTGAACTTGAGTTCAATGCAAATAGTACAAACCAAAACATTTTTTTAATTCATTTATAGTAAGTATATACCTCTAAAATACTTAATGATAAATTTTTCTGTTGCTTCAGGAGAATCACGAATACATGATCCGAATTTTCGCTCGAAATGAAGTGGGTCTAAGTGAACCTCTCGAATCCGAAGAACCGCTAAAAATGCAACGACCATCAGGTAGGCTAAATTTAAATTTACAATGTAAAAAGTCTTCCATTATGTTATTTTTTTCCATCGTTAATGGATCAGCTCTTCCGTCTCATGGTTTTACTCTAAAATAATGAGAGGAAGATACTGTACCTTGTATGAGAAGTAAAGTACTGTAATGAGTACTTTAAATGTATAATGTTCAGAAAAGTTCTCTCAAACTTTTTTGAGAAGTTTTTTGAGTGATAAACTTTTCTCTTTTTTTTCTCCACTCGAAATTTAATATTCAATTTGACAGTTGGTCTTGACGATTTGATTTTTTATTTCAGTTGACACAGGGGCAAAGTGAAGAAGTTGAATAGTCTAGTTGGTCAATTATATTTTACCTAGTCATAATTTAGTAAGCTCAATCTTTTTAAGCATCGGTGATAGCCAGTGCACATATTCATGTCTCCCTTGTTGATCGATCTGTTGTTTTGAATCACTGAGCACAGTGTCGGCAGAAGAATGTATGATTTTCCAACGTAGGAAGTAGTTTTTTTTTTTAGCACGATCTAGAGAGGGAGGAATAAGAGGATGTGTGAATGGTGCAAGATCAATTTTTTACGTGAGATGTCAGAAGCATTTTCTCGAAAGGGATAACTGAGCACCAAATCTATGTTCCGTTTGGAATGAGAAAATTGTTTTTTCCTTTGGATGTATCATGTTTTCATATTAGCAACATTTATAACAAGAATAATACTAACTTAAGTGACATTTTAGTCCTGAGGCCGGCACTGTTCGCTCATTGTCTTCTGTACAGGTCTTGATATAAATTCATCCCCTAAATCGACGAGAAAAGAGTATTCACTCTGAAATTTTCCACTCCCGGATGTATCTGTTTCTTAACACTTACCGCACCGTTCATTTATAGAGTTGACTCACTGAAAGTGTAAATTTTCCTGTACGAAACCTCTAAAGTGTATATCTATAATTTATAACCAAAATTCTTTTTTTTATGGAACTTTGGAAAATTAAATCAACTAATCATTTTTTACAAAGTGAGGAATGGATCAAATCTTCTCTTCCATAAAATAGCGGAAATAACCAATTTTTGCCATGTAATTCACTAATAAGCACATTTTTTGGGATTAAAACTTTTGAGGCATGAAAAATTAATATGTACTTACCTTCCTCCTAAACTAAAAGTTAGTAGATACCAACCATTTCAGAGCACATGTAAATTAACGTTGGGTGCCTCTCCCTCTGTAAATAGATTCTGTGTCTAGGTTCAGAAACACACTTTAAGTTACTTAACCTGTGATTTTTATTTACATCGTAGATTCATATCTTTTTTCCATAATTGTTCAAGCTTTATTGTAGCTTTAATATTCCTCCGTTAACACAATTTTTTCATTTGGTGATGATATTAGAATGACGATTGGGGGAAGGGGCATTTTACCATCACATATGAATTTTCCTCTCAGAAATACTGCGTTGAAATCTCCAAAACAGGGTGGTAGAAAGTAATTTCCCCATTTCTACTCATTATTTAAGAATTTATTCTTTTGTTTCTTTGGTGGGCCTTGATCTTGTCGTTAACTTTTACATTGATATTTTGAAGTAGGACAAAACGATAAATGGTATATAAAGATTTTTGAAAAATACTCATATTTAACCATTCAGTCAACTTTAATAGTCATATCACTCTATTTTATTCAAAAAATGTTGGGTAAAAGGGAGCATAATTGGCATGTGAATGCACGTAGGATGAATGGTCTGTATCAAGTGGTCTTGGTCATATACGTAGATGACAATAAAACCGCTGTCCCTATCCAATCAGCACTACTTAAGTGTGTGTCATATGTCTGCAGCCATGAAATTTTAGTATCCTCTTTAAATTTACATAAGTTTATCTGAGATTTTAAATTAACTTCAAAGTACTCACATTTTCTAAGAAGGTTATGCTAGCTGCTCGCTGTGGTGAGCAATAATATTAAAGAAGTTGCTCATGAAATAAAAATGTCTTTTTTGCTTTGTCCTTTAACAGGAGCTGAAGACGCAGATGTGGAAGAGATCTCGGGCATTGAAAAGGATACGCCATCGCTCAGTTTTAGCACAGAGACAACTACATCATGGCTTCGGGAAGCAAATATGGACGCAGACATCAGGACTTATGCTCGGGGCTCACTCCTGCGTAGGAGTGAATATTTCTTCCGCATTTGGTATTATGCTCGACAGCTGTTTAAATAAGAGTAATTCTAAGGTCCTCACTCCCTTTTCCCAAAACTCCTTCATTTTTTCTGAAGAATATATTCCTGCCCCTATTCCACTATATTCGTAATTAGATTACTATCCATTGCCTCTCCGTAAGAGTATATTATTAAAAAATATTTTTTTGCTCAAAAAATGTTTTTGGTTGCAACTCTAAGGCCAGCTTGAACAGTAAGATTCCCTTACTGGTTTAAGAGTTCTTGAATAGAACGATATTATTTTTGAAGTAGATGAGAACATAAAGAGAATTACAGAGGATAGAAAAATGGGGAACCTCGTCACAAAATTTTGTAAGAGAAAACTTCTGTACAGCTTCCAATTTAGGGTGCTAGTACAAAGTAAGCATTAAAAATAAAACTATTGCAACATGTTCTTCTTTCTTTGTATTTCCCTGCTCCAAGTTCAAACTAGAGACTTTAAAGTTGCTCATCGATCATCCTACTTGGATTTTGCACTGGCTAATGAGAGCGTCAAAAAAGGCATTAATGAGCCCCTTTAAAGCTTCAAGGTTGAATTTGAAGAAGAGCTTGAAGATTTAACTTGAAGTAAAACGAAGTGAATTTTGACCATCTATTTTGAATCACAAGTAAGAATCTAAGGAATACCATTACATTTTCCTCTGGTTATTTTTCAAAAATTGTACGAGGAAAATCATTTTCTTCTAATTTTTTTATCCTCTGGCCTATCCTCTGGATCATCTTAATTTTATAAACTAAAATGTTCAATTCTTATGAATTTTAATAAAGAGTTACCAATTATAGATACATATTATTTTTAGATATTCCTTTAAAATTTTAAGCAACTTCCTGATTCATTTATTTATCATCTTCAATGCATGAAATGGCCAAAATTGTTTCATCATTTGTCCATTATGACTGTTCAAAAAGTGTGCACAGAGATTCTGGTTTTTTTTCCTGTATTAATTTTCCCTGGATTAATACATAAAAAAAAACTTTTGCTCTCTGGAAATTCACTTTTTATTGGAATGCTTTGAATCTTAGAGGATTTATATATTTTACTTGATGGTATGAATTTTCACTTAAAAAATTTTCCTCCTGAGATCATTGTAGTTAAAATTGCTGCTGCTGCCAAGTCGGAATAAAAATGAAGATCAGAAATCGGGTACATAAAAAGAGAACTTTTTCATTTATTTCAGGTGTGAATTTTTTTTGTCTTGAATTCATTGACTCATCCAAAAAAATAACTGGCCCTAACAATGTTACTTTTTTGTCTAGTATTTCCAATATCTCCTTGAACGGTCGGTCTTAAGTCTTTAAAATGTAGTCCTAGAATTTTTCAAACATAGCTGTATTTTATGCGTACATGAATTGAACATTTTGAGTTTCATCTACTTCCTTGTTGATTGACGCATTCAAGTTAATTTCTCAGAACAGTTATTTGTAAAACTTGATGCTTTTGGGCATTCAATGATGAGTGCCTTAAAAATTTGTTAATACTTAATTTATTCCTGTAAATTATTTTTATTTGTTAAGTTTAAAAAATACATGTGATTTTGAATGTTGAATTCAAGTTTTGGTTACTTTTACCTTTTGTCCATTCACCCTTTAAAAACTGTCACTTAACTCACTAACAGAACCTGCCCCTATCTGCTCTCCTGAAACTAGCATTTTACTGGCCTTAGTTTCCTTTAGGAGTATCAGATTTTAAAAGAAGCAATAAATCTTTTAAAAAAAAAAAAAATGTATTGAGGCGCCAAGAGCTAGTGAAATGTAATTGTCTCAATTGCTCAATAACAATGAGTAATGATATTCTACTAAGAAAATTTGTTTGTCTGATATTGACTAAGCCCAGTCTTCACAATATAAAAAAAGCAATCCAGCATCTTGCAATGAGGGCATTAAGAAAAAGCTAATTTCTGTCTATCTAAGGATCCTAATCAAATATTTTTTCAGAAGAAGCAAATCTAAGGAAAATTTCCTCAAAGAATGATCGCATTGCCTCATCAATAACTTTCAAATACCACAGCCATTCAACAAAATAAGGCTGTAAATCAAAATTTTGACTGAAATGTATTATCATATACATATATTCTCAATTTGTTATCACATTTGAATTGTCCAATTGCTTCTTGCATTATTTATGAGGTCAGTGAGCAACCGCCAGAATTGGAAGCTTTCATAACTGAAATCAAGCTCGTTCCATGTATAATGACCCAATAAGTCCAATTTTTGGGTCTGAAAAGACCTCCTTTTTCTCCTCTTAGGTACAGCAAGAAAATTGACAGGTGTCAAAGGGACTAACTTTTTAAGGGCGAAATCGAAAGTTCTTCGATGGGGCTGGAATGAAGCTAGTCCCCCCTGGAAATGATGCACTGAGTCCGATTTTCTGGTCAGAAATGCTCAACGAGCTCATTGGATCTCACCATCAGCGCACATCAGGATGCGACCAAAACGGCCCACAACAGTCAAAAACACCCGATATTCTATGCCTCGAACTAGGTAGGATCCGATGACACTAATTTCGTGTCTCTAGAAACTAATCGTCGGGTCAAAATCAAAGGTTCTCCGATCGAGCCAAAATGAAGCTTGTCATCTTTTAAATGAAACGAGGAGTCCGATTTTCTGGTATAAAAAGCTTAAGAGTCCGCTGGTTAGCGCATTCGGTGGACTTTCAAAAAGGCTAAAAAGCCTTGTTTATGACCGTCTCTCGGCTGAGAAAGTTCCGGGAAGCCTTAGGACTATGCGATCGATTCCAGATATCGAACTACGTACACAATAGTCTTGAAGCAAAAACAATGCGACATATAGTCCAAGAGCCCGACGACATTTTGGGACAAACTCGGGACACAAGTCTTGACTACTTGAATCTGAACTGACACGGAAAATGGTTGTCTGCCACGTGTTGGCACACCCCACAACGTGGCCAATGATCATTTTCAGTGTCAATTTGAGTACAGCTTTTGATTTAAGTGGTCAAAACTTGTGTCACGAGTTTGTCGCAAAATGCCATCGGGCTCTCGGACTAATAAATGTACCCAAAAACGGCTTGCAGAGGGTGAGTCTAAAGTGTGTGGACTTAAAATCGCGAAAAGTCGAAATCTTGGCTGAGCCTAATTTCGAGATATCGCATTTTGAAATTTTCACAGTAAATTCTAGTTTTCTACTGATTTTGATTCGCTTTTTTTATTTATTTGACTATTTGTCCATTGAATCGGTGTTGATCGGTTCCCGTTTTTATTTTACGTTCGAATCATGTCGATCGAATACATGCAGACCTCTCGGTACATGCAGACTACCTACCTATCATACACTTTTTTTTAACTGAGCAATTCGCCTTCTGCCGCGTCTGCAGCAATTGTTGTTATGAGTATGTTGTGCGTGCTGAACTCAGCTCATTACATACTCGATTCTGAAGGCGGTTAATGTACGAAAGTAGAGCGCCCTGTTGGAGAACAACAGAAGTGAAATTGGATCAATCGCTCAATTCCTACTTCCTTCGTTCTCCGACAGACTGCGCCACTTGCGCACATAAAACGCCTTCAGAGAGTCGAGTATGTAATGAGTTGAGATCAGCGCGCACAACATACTCGTAACAACAATTGCTGCAGACGCAGTTGAAGGCGACTTGCTTGCGCACATAAGACGCCTTCAGAGAGTCGAGTATGTAATGAGTTGAGATCAGCGCGCACAACATACTCGTAACAACAATTGCTGCAGACGCAGTTGAAGGCGACTTGCTTGCGCACATAAAACGCCTTCAGAGAGTCGAGTATGTAATGAGTTGAGATCAGCGCGCACAACATACTCGTAACAACAATTGCTGCAGACGCAGCTGAAGGCGAATTGTTCAGTTGAAAAAGAGTATGATAGGTAGTCTGCATGTACCGAGAGTGTAAGTATGTATTCGATCGACATGATTCGAACGAAGAGTAAAAACGTGAACCGATCAACACCGATTCAATGGACAAATAAATAAATAAAGAGAATCAAAATTGGTAGAAACTTGCATTTACTTTGAAAATTTTAAAATGCGATCTCTCAAAAGTAGGATCAGCCCAGGGCCGGATTAAGGGGGTAGCCACATGAGCCGCGCCCCATGGTGGCAATTCTATAGGGGGCGGCAAATTTTGCAATTTTTTTAAATGTAGGTATATCAAAAAAATTCGGATTTAGAAAAAAAAATTACAAACGAGAAAAGGCGACAAAATTTCTAATTTTCTGAGAGTATAGTAATTTCTACTTTTGTCATCTTTCAGTGATACAAGAGACAGCACCTTTAATTAGTCGAGTTACGAGAGAAACCAAACACGCAATTTGGTCAGGATCGGCGCGACTTACCTAGAGGGAAATTATGACGAGGACTTGAGATGAAAAGGAGAAGCCCTCGGCGCGGCGCGGCGATCGGCATGTAACACATATTAGCGCCTACAAGACTGCACGAATACTTCACGCATTGCATCAAACACAGTGCGGTCATTGCGGACAGCGTGAAACGGATAGCGCCTACAAGAATGCATGAATACCTCACGCATTGCGGCAAACACATTGCGATCAGCGTGAGACGCATAGCGCCTACAAGACTGCGTGAATACTTCACGCATTGCGTCAATCAGTGCGTGCAGCAGCGGTCGGCGTGAAACGCATAGTGCATAAAAAACTGCATAAATACTTCACGCATTGCGTCAAACACAGTGCGGTCTGCGAGGCGCGGCGGCGGAAGTTAAATTCATTAATCCACATTTATGTTTGTTCTTTCATAATTTTTTTGTTAATTGTTTATGAATAGAAGTCCTTGTCCACACAGAGATAGGTTTACGAAACTTAGCTTTCGCGCAAAGTACCGTGAACTTTTGCTAGTAGTGTTGACAGGGCTTTCCCTAAAAATGTGTTCAACGCGTGTAAACGCGTCTTATGCACCCCTCCCCCGCTGGCACGTTCATTTGATGGTTTTCATTGATGTTTCAAAACGAATGAGAAGGGAGCGGCAAAATACTAGCTGCCCATGGGCGGCAAGTAGGTAAATCCAGCCCTGGACTAGCCAAGATTTTGACTTTTCGCGATTTTAAGTCCACAAGTATAAACTCATCCCCTGTAAATCGTTTTTTGGGTAGGTACACTTTTGTCGCATTTTTTTGCTTCAAGACCCCTGTGCATGAGTTTCGACGATAATCTGAAATTTTCCTTCCCGTCCGAAGTCGAGAAAAATCTTTCATGGACTAGAATTTGGGGGTCGAGATCGGAAGTGCTCCGATCTGGGTGAAACCATAAACTGGTCCTCTGTAATATGACCCAATGAGTCCGATTTTCTGGTCTAAAAAGCTTCACGAGTCCAGATCGAGGAATTACCTAGCAGGTATTTCGACACTACGCCTGCTCTGAAGATTAAAATTTCTCAAGGGACAACGAAAATCACACAGGATCGAGACAGAAAAGTTCATACTATTCATGACCTCAGGACCGATGCACAGCGTTGGGAGTTTGAGTTTTCGCGCCAATATCCAGATCTACCAATCGGACACCTCCGTTTATTAATCAAGCAGGTTCACATCGTCGCGGGCTCGGCGCAAGTCAGCCGCGGCGAAAGGTCACAACAGATTGCACTGCGAGCAAAAGATCCATTGAGCCAATTGAGTTTCAACAGCTGATGCAGTTTGAATCTGTTGGTGCCAGTGCACGATGCTCGGAACTGCTTCATGTCGGCAACGATTTTACACGGTGCCTTTATCAGTGGCAGTAGGTCATATTCAAGTGATCACCCAACTCGCGTTGCGCTCAATTTTGAGACCGTGTTGAACTTCCAGCCTCATGTCATCAAATGCGGAAACCGAAAAGGACTTGTTCAGAGATACCCCGGTTAGATTTCTAGGTGGGTTTATGTTCTACTTACTTAGGTAGTTTTACCCTTAAAAAAATCCCCCTTAAAAATTGTTAAACATTTTCTGCTGCTTTTGGATTATAGCCTTCGAATAGTTTTCGTAATCGTAAGTTAAAAGGTATTCAATTAGGTACGTACAGGTACATACTTATTTATTTCGATTTTAAATACTGACCTTTCAAACACAGCATGACTGGTTGACCTTAATTCTAGGACGAAAGCCGCTGATCCTAATCTGGATCCTATAATCCTGAATCTAATCTGGAATCATTTTTTTAAAGATATTATACTTAGTATATTTTATAACGCATTTTGATGTTTATCGTGCGCATTAGCAGTGTCTCTAAACTTAGGGTCGTTCATCACTATTTCACTAAGGGTGTGCTCAAAAATTAAGTGACGCATTTTTTCGGCATTTTTGACGCCCCCCCTCCCCCCTTTATTGTGACGCCTCTTAACGTAATCCCGAACCCTTCATTAATGAGTACGTGACGCTTGACGCCCAATATTGTGGTTAACTGTTGAGCACAAACCTAAAAGTTGCAGTATTTTTTTATGCGATATTCGTGTGTTTTCTTTAAGAGGGTTATGTAAGACTCCTGCAACACCCCCCCCCCCCCCCCCCCCCCCCNGGTTTGATGTGGCTTGGGAGCGCTCATGAATGTTTATCAGCGATTATGTGCTTTAGAAATTTTACACGTACATTAACGTCAAAAGTAGGTACCTACTGCTGTGCTAAGAAAACATGCCGTATGGTTTGGAGGTTGCCGAAGTTCCTCCGATAAAATGTTTATTTTTGAGAAAATAGTTTCGAATATTATCTCTTGAAACTAGATAACTAGATCTATTTTCAAGTAAAATGTTCTGAAAAATTTGAGGAAAAATACTCATAGCAATCCCCGAAAATTCATATTTTATAAAGAAAATAAGGTAACGCCTAAAGGCTCATAGATACGGCATTCTTCCATTAGCATGGCAGAGTAGTTTCAAAAAGGCGAAAAAAATGAAAAAAAGCTGATTCATCTAAGTATACCCTGGTAAAAATTGGCGATAGGAGCTGCGTATCAAAATACCCTAGGAGTTCTTATAGCCGACTGAAGAAGGCGATAGAAAATCAGATAGCTGGCTGTAGAAAGTGGAAAAAAATCATACGGCTGGGCTACACGAAACGATAAAAAATTATACAGCCGGGCTATACTTTCTATCGCCGGGCTTACACTTTATCGCCTGGCTGTTGCTTTTTCGCCATCGGCTATAAAAGGCTATAAAAAATTGTGTAGAAATTCGTGTGCTTTGTGAATGCTTAAGTTTTTACGGAATCACCTTCATATTTACAAAACGCACATTATATTTTCCTTTACTTTATATTTTTTTTTCATCAATTAAAATGAGAGTAATCCATTAAGAGTGTGCAAACATTTCAAAGTCATGAATTGAAAAACGCTGACTCCACGCACGAGATTAAATATTAAAGCCGAACACAAAGCGGAGCGGCAGCGCACTGACGCCTACAAACCTAACAGGGATACTTCACGCATTGCGTAATGCGTGAAGTATCCCTGTTAGGTTTGTAGGCGCCAATCCTGCCCGCCCGCCGCGCCGCGCCGCAGCATACCACGGCGCTTGAAGCAACTATTTCACACCAGAGGTATTGCACAGTATCATACGGAATTGAAAGCGCTCCAACCTATTGGGAATGGCAGGCATCCTTCAAAAGTACGGAGCTTTCCTTGCAAAATAAATCAAGATACTACGACCCAAAAAGAGAACGGTAGTCCAAAAACTCACTAAGTCCTGGCGTCCGTAATTAGTAAAGTTTAGCATACACTTTATCTCCAGGCTGTTGCTTAATCGCCATCGGCTATAAAAGGCTATAAGAAATTGTGTTACCGGCTATAGAAGCAGCTATTGGAAATCTTACAGCCGGCTGTAGGTCTATGGTATTTTGGAACACAGATTCTACTGCCGATTTTTACCAGGGATAGGTTAAAAGAAACTCTAAAAATTATCCTCAGATCCCTAAATTTTGCGATTTCGAGGACTAGCCATTACTACACTTTTTGGAAAATCGACGATGTCGCGATAAAAATCAGTGAAAGTTTACTTCTACGACGCAAAGCGCAACACTGGAATTAAGTTATGCCTCGGTCAGTATCGCATGCGACGGACACTTAACAAAATTCTTCATAACACCAGGATGCAATTATTCGAGCTCCATGACTGTCCGTGTTGCATATACACTGATATGAAGGCGTTTAGACCTTCCATGCAACCACTGCTATTACCCGCGGCGGGGCGCCGGGCTGCATTGTGAGGATCCGTGACAGAGCGCTGCTTTAGGTAATTCTCCTTTCATACTACTTAAGCACAAATAGTTGATCTATAATTTATTCATGCTCGGTATAGGTATCGTAAATTCCGTGTTATCAAAACAGAGGCACAAAAGATACTCACATCCTATGCCTGAGTGCAACCATTCGTGCCTAAGAGATACCTTTTTAATATAGACGAAGAAAAATAGAATGTAGGGTCAGAAATCAAATTTAGAATGAGAAATAGAATTTAGAATGAGAAATGGAATGCTGTAGTATAAAGCAATCTGTCATTTTTGATCCTCGTAGTTCGCAGTCTACGCCCGCGGGCAAATATGTGAGTGAGCACCTAAAGAGTTAAAACGCCTTCACTGCCGAGCGTAGGCAACACGGACATCCGTAGAGCTTGAATAGTTGCATCCAGGCGTTGTAACTTATGGTGTTCGTCGCATGCGTTATACTGAGGAACTTTTCTTGTTTCTCTAACTTCTTAACTTAATTCCAGCGTTGCGTATTGTATCAATAAATTATAGACTATTACTGAATTTTATCCTGACATCTGTTTTCCGAAAAATGCTCTTCAAGGTTTAAATGTATCACAACGCAGAGCACGAAACATGCTCTAAGTAAAGGTTTAAATGTATCACAATGCACTTTTATGAAAGTGCACCACAGGAAATGACATGAATGCCCAGAGACTGATACCATCATTTAGGTATTTAGCTGAGTAAATGAAAGAGCAAAATTCTTCCTTCACCACTTTCTCACTCACATAAGTATGAGTCTTTGCAGATGGAAACTATTGAACATCTCGTGGAATAATCACTTCTAGATTTGAATTCTAGATTCTTCTAAAAATATTACTCAGTTGTATCAATTACGTTCGGTCCTTCGACTGTTAATTACACACACGGATGCCTTATTTTGACATTTTCAGGCTATGCAAATGAAGTTGGAGAAGCATTCCGAGGTATCATCAGTAATCGAGCGGTCAATTTCACATATGGAATTGCATCAACCTATGTGGCAGCAGATGCTATTCATAAGGCTACCGAGGCTCATTCGGTGGGTAATGAGTTGACTTTTGCAAAAAAAAAAAAAGAAGAAAAAAATTGTTTTTCATTTAAGAATGTAGGCATATTAATCTTGATTTGGTGAACAAGGTTCTCTTTTTATATTCAGTTTAGATGGAGCACTGCCGAAAATTTTCAGGATTTATTACAGACCTATTAGAATTTTTGATGCTCCTTTTTCTAATTATGATAATTTGTTTTAGATCATCTTGTTTCAAACTCATGAGCTTTATTGGATTAAAAAGAGTGCATCAAGTTGGAAAAAAGAGCATGACTGCAAATTGAAGCTCTAAAATAAATACGTTTCACAGTTCCTGACTAACCAAAACATCAATTTTCACAGCGTTAGAATTGTAGAACGATTTTCTGAGGCAATTTCTTTTCATTCACCTAATTTTTTTAAAAATTTTCAGAACTCTACGGAGAATGGACGCATCAAAAAGACCTTCCTAGTATTCTGTGATGTACTACTATGGCAAGCTTTTGCATCTGTGATAATCCCTGGTCTACTCATCAACCGTGTTTGTTATGCAGCACGATACTGCCTGCGTAATGTGCAAACAAAACGGGTCGACAAGCAATATCTTGTTAGTGCAATAGGGTTAGCTACTATTCCGTTCATTGTTCAACCAATTGACAGAACCGTTGATCATGCAATGGACACAGCCGTAAGACCACATTTACAACGTTTTCATTTTGATCCAGAAGATGCACCTGATTAGATGTACAGTGCATCACTTACTTATAATTGTGATACTATCAGCAGCTTTTGCTTTGCTTAGAAAATTGTATTGAAACCTGATTTTTCAACACTGAGCTGTTTTTTGAGCTTTGTAATCTCTAGATGCCATTAGGGCACTGGGCATCATTTCAAAGGCAATGCCTTTGAAAAACATTTTACATTTTAAAAAGACTATTAAATACTCAAAAACTCTTTTTCAGTATACTTGAAGTGGAATTTACAAGAGATAAAATTTAAGGAAAAGCGTTAAAAAACTCTTAAAAAGTATGTGGTAATACCTATTCTGGGGGAGACTTTTACATACAGTTCACAAAGAGTCAACATTTTATTTTGAAAAATAGCCAATAGGGTTTCCTGAAACTGACATTTTAACAATTTTTTTAAGAGTTCTTGAAAATTGCTCATTAAAAGTTACTGCTATAAAGGTGGATTTTCATGAGACTGAAAAAAAGTTTAGGGCATATTCTATTTTTAAAACAAAGGAACGCAAAAGGATATTGAAGGAATTAAATTTAAAACTGATTTAAGTTGTACAAAAACTTTTGATCAAACATCAAAACAACTCGTTTGAAATACACTAAAAGGTATGCCTGGTTGTTCTAAAATGCTTTGGTTGATAATAAAAATCAAGAAACGCCTTACATCTAGGTATTTAATGATCTTGCATAAAGTTCATGACGTTTATAGACTGATTTGATTCTTTGTGATTTACTTAGATAAAAATATATTTTACAAAATTAGGTCTATGCCCATTCAGAGACACAGTTCCTTCATTGTCTACCTTGAAATGTAACCAGAGAACCTTCCAAGATGTATTGAATCGCTCCACACCTGCTGGAAAAAAGTAAAAAAATAAAAATAAAATATATAAATCTTAGATTAGCATTAATGTTTCTGAATTTTTAGAGGCATTGGCATTGAAAAATAAAAGAAAAGTCCAAGAACAACTCACTTGCTAAGAAAACAAGGGAAAAAAATCTGTGAGGACTTATATTTAATGATCAAGTTGGAAATAGTTCTTTGTCTCACAAGCTTCATCATTATGTCTGTGAATGGTGTGCCTTTGATGAAGTAGAAAGTGTTTGGTTGATCCCTGAGAGTCCTAAAAATGATGAGTGCCTAATATAATAAGCTAAAGTTTACAACAAAATTGTGCAAATATTCCTTCAGACCCAAGCACCAGATACCTTCATGCTGAGTTGACCATCGATAATTGCGTTAGTATTTCATTACAATATTACGTTTTGTTTCTCAAAGGAAAAGAAAAAAATACATAGACTTTTTTTTAATCCTGCCACTCATTGATCTTCAGACACTCATGCATTTCATTATGTGATCGTATAATTGAAATATAAAAAAGTTATTATTGTTTAGAGTCATTTTTTCTATCAAAAAACCTTTGGTTTCAGTTGGCCTTAGGCTGATCTACACATATATTCCAAAAACTTGATAGTACTTGTGTCAGGGAACCGGAGAATTGCCTGCCCCAGATGTCTGTGTCTAATTCATTACGTACAAATCTCATCCCATCATCCTAAACCAAATAACAGCACACATTTTTATCTGATGTCTAAATCCATGTACCTATTTACATGGATGTAAAAATAAATAAATTTTATAAATATTTAAAAGCGCATTCTTATGAGATTACTATTTTCACTTCATTTTTTAATGAAGGACCTTGACCAATTTATCTGAACCAAAGTCATCAGAAAGGAAACAAGTTGCATCACAATGAAACTGAGAAAAAGAGATTAAAATTTTATTTTGCGTGAGAAAACAGAAATAAGACTTAATGCTAAATACAAAGATTTAAGGTTACTCCCAAATTCAAAATACAAAAATACAATCAATGGCGCTCTGGCATGCCACAGTGATTTGCAATTTAAGTATTTTTTCTTGAGCTAAATTTCCTCAAGAAACTTCGAAAGCGCCAATGGTTTTATCTAAAGCAAAACCCCAAACTCAAAAAAAGTTCTCAAAGTTGAGGCGGTAAATGAAGGGATCACCTATGTTATGGTGAGAGCTCACATCTGCATCCAGCCAAACTCTCCACAAAAGTACTAAATTGCAAATCTCTGCGGCATACTGGAGTTCACTTAATTGCACTTAAAGCTCCTCCCAACTCATTTTTTTTTCGAATGTGGATTGGTTTTCTTGGTCCAATTTGGTTCAATTCCTACGATTTTCCTTTATTCAATCGTGAGGATGCAAAAATTCATCCGTGATACTCGTTGACTGGGAACACGTGCTTACCAAGTGAAGAGTTGGCAATTCCTTTCCAACAAGGATTCCAGATTCAACCTCTCCATTTATAGAAAAAAATAGTTTAGTTTAGAACACAGTTTTAATTCAATTTTTAGAGCTAAAGCATTTACGAATACTCACTGGATTGATTTGCTTCAAGCCGATTTTTACATACTCAGCAACGGCAGTAAAGAGTTGGTCATTGGCATTGAAATAATGGGAGGAGGCTATAGTCATCTTGGAGCACAAGCATTTCTCCAAACGGTGAACTCCATTTATCCTTGTGCCTGAATAATGACAAAGTAATGGCAATAAATGAAAAAAAGTATGAAGCATAGTAAAAAATAAATTTAAGCTGAAAAAAAATCACCTAAATAAGTGCTATATAGTGAGTTCATTAAATACAGAACATAAAGAAGGAAAAATTTATATAAGAAAAAAGTAAGGCAAAAAGATTGCCTAAACAGTAAGTTTCATTATATTTTATACCTATACGCATGAAGAAATATATAGATTCAGTAAAAAAAGTATGTGCCAGGCATACTCTCAACTTTAGAACAAGTTCATTGCTTTGAAAAACAATTGATTGGTTCACTGAAGAACTCAACGGTATTGAGAACACATTTCCCGTTTCCACATGCTCACCTCCTAGCACAGTGGTGGATGACATAGAAATTTCTGGGTCTCTTCCGTACAGAGTGATAGAAACAAGGATGTTAATGTTATTTTAAACCTCAATTGTTAGCTTCAATTTGGTGTTTCAGTTCTTAATCAACCAGTTTACTGGAAACTCAAATTTGTTATGTGTTATCGCCATCCGCAGTGCATTCTTATCGCTTAGAACTTGACGGACTGATTAGTTCTTCTGTAGTAGCCCACGATAAAACTGACTTGATCCAAACATATTGACAAATTACAAATTAATACGTTGCTTGTAGATTGTCTGAAGACTGTAAGCATAATTACACAAGGTAACAGAGAGGGGAATCAGGGCAGGGTCTGGAATCTGATAACGTGTTTGAAAGTTAACACATGAGGGGCTTGGAGGACAAGGCGCATGAGTGCAATTTTTGCTATTTGGAGCAATACGTGTTTGAAGTTTCGATCCTTATGGCGGAAGGAAAGTTAGAACTGATTTTTTCATGCTTAAAAATTGGAATTTGGGAGCGAATTTTCCACAAAATATGCCTTAAGACTAGTTTTACTTGAAATAATTAATATCTCAATGTTTTAAAAAACTGCACTTTCCTATGCATCTTGTCCTCCAAGCCCCTCCGTTATGAAGATGGAGATTTTCCTAAAAACTTGGATTTGCTGGTTGTTCAAAATTAGAAGGAATTTTGACCAAAAAAAAATACCAAATCAAAACTGAAAAACATGAGGATCAAAATACATTCAGTGTCTTACCTCCCAGCACCTGCCAAAAGTATAATTAGGAAAATTCACTGTGTTTACTATAGCATCTGGACGGGAGGGGGATATACAGGTGGTCTCGGTAAAAAAAAAAATTTTCCTCCAAATCTCACAACCAATTTTCAAAAACTTGAGCTTATTTAGAGTTCAAAGTATGCCAGCCACATAACTATATACCAATTGATTCATTCCTTCTGCTTTGGGAGCTATAAAATTGGAAAACTTGTTTCCTTTTTGGATGACCTTAGACTCTCTTTTCAAAAATCTAACTAAAAATATACTGGTGTCTAAGGAAATGTCCATATACTGTTTTGCAAAAGATTAGCCATGGCTGCGTTGGTCTTTTTTTAGGATTTCAGGGCTGAGGCGAAGTGTTGGATAATCTTTGGCAAAAGAGAAAGAAAGTCAAAATGATTCGTCTATTAACAACTTGGAGCTTGCCGTAAAATTAAGAAATCCTGATTGGACGGTATATTAAACATGAGGGTGGGGTAAATTAAGATCTCATAATTATTATTTATGAAAAACATGATAAGCTGGCATATGGTCAACAAAAGAATAGTAGAATCATTGACTAAATAAATAAGATAGAAAGGTATATACCATTTTACTACATGCAATATATTCTTTGATAAAAATCACTCTTTCTCCAACATCTTCAATTCCATGGCGAGAAATGCCTTCATATTTGGGTCAGAGATTTTAGTCAAGATAATGTCCCTTGCTTTTTCGTTACTTCCATGGAAGACAGTCTGGAGTTCCTTGGCATACTCAATCCAAACGCAGTTGGCACAGCCAGACATGCAGCAATTTGTTGGCTCCTCTGGAAGTTCCAATTGGGAGAACGATTCCATTTTGCGTTTTTCTTCACTGCTCCCTTCTTCCTCATTTTTACAATAATGCCTTATGCTTTGAGGATGTAAGAGCTGCTGAAGTGAGCGAGGAGATGATTTCCTCAGCACAGTGTAAAGTAGCATAACCTGGCAGTGACACATTCCCTCTCATCATTCTGGAAGAAAATATATTTTTCATTCAAATCAAATTGTGACACCAAGATATAATTATTATTGATCGCTAACCTGAGAAGACTTGTAAATCAGTTTGCAAAGTTGCAGGCTTCTCATCATACAAAAATTTTCGATGGCAAATTCATTGATGTGAATTTTTTTAATCTTTCGTGATTTTCATCTTTCATTTAAAGATATTTGGACTGTGTTAAGCAGAAAGGAATCAAGCCACATCAGCTACTGCCAAATTTAACTGGGCAATCTAATTTTTTACATGAAAACAGTTGAGTGAATTTTTGTGCAAAATTCAGTGGATTTTTTGTATACTTAGTTTGAAGCAAATTCCTTAAAATTTTCAAAGGAATTCGCACAGACGTTCTCTTGTAAAAAATAAAATTGCCCAGTTAAATTTGGCGATAGCTTATGTGGCTTGGTTCCTTTCTGCTAAATGCAGTCCATTTTGCTCTATGATTTTCCGTCTTCTTTTAAGGATGTTCTGCACAATGGATAGATAAACAAAAAACTGACCCATTACCTTCTGAAGAAATAAAATAATAGGAGCAGTGATTTTGAAACACTACTGTAGAGATAACATTTTTACCAAGCACACCCAGAAGTAGGTATGTATTATGGCTGGATGATAGAAACCTGCATCACTACTGAACCAAACGATCAACTGTTTGAATTTTGTGACATTGTAAAATCAGCATTAAGGTGATTTGTCAGGCTGAAGCAATACAGTCGAACTGGCATACGATATATGGCATCGGTTCGGTAAAAAATTTCGGCAGATTTTGAATTAGTGGCAAAATAAGGACAATAGCCCCTGCCCACAAGCCTGAAGAATCATTCTAACCCAAAAATTGGCAAAATTCAGGGAAACGAGAGCAGAATAGTGTTAGGAAAAAAATCCGCATTCGATACACCTATCGATTTCTGTCATCAAACAATTACATCAAAATGATAATTTTAAAAGGAATTACATAAGATGGAATGCCTTACCAAAAACTCGCAGGACAGAACGAAACTTTAAATTTGAATGGATAAGTATAAGAAGAAATAATTGATCACGATGGCATTATATCAGGACGTTGATGACACAAGGATTACCTCAGAACAGAATGTGTAATTAGTGCATATAGTGGCACTATAACATAGAGAAGTGCTAAAGGGCTCACGAAAAATCGAGGAAAACAACAGGAAAATTTTCACGAAAATTTTCGATACGAAACTTCATGACATTTGACATTGAATAAGTTCTGCCTCTTTTATGGTTGTGAAACGTAATGTTTTCAAATTGTTACTGTCAGTGATAAGAGATATCACTATTGCATTATGCAGTCGAAGCGGCCTCTGTCGGCAAGGAGCTGAACTAAACTGACTATCAGCTATCAGCTGTTTTTTGTTTGTGTTGACGCAACTCAAGCGTTTTATCATTACAGTGTTTTTCCATGTTGTTAATTTGTGAATATTCATGCAAGTCAAAGAAAACTTTGTTATTTGTGGTTGATGCAACTTCGGCGTGTTTTTTTTTTCTTTAATCGGAGTCATTTGATTCCGAGTGTTTTCTTTCAAATTCATGTTTCTAATCATGCGGGGAAGTCATGTAGAAACGTACCAAGAAAGAAACCCGCTCCCGTTTCAAAATCCCGTGGGTAAAATAACTCTGAATAATAATTTGAAGGTAAGTAAGAGTCCACGGGCTTTCTATTGGTTCATTTAGCCTCTACCAGCTACAACTTATGGGCAGCTTCGATCACCGGGACGAGATCGCTAGAGCGGACGAGACTCAAAGATTGCATACATGTTAAATTGAAGGCGCATCAAACTTCGTTCAACACGAAATCGATGAATTATTATGTTTCACTCGCCGTTTGACCGTAAACATGGTTTGAAATTGGTAAAAAACAGGTTTTAATCGCCGATGCCACTAACACGTATCTCCGTTCCGGGTATACCAGTCCTTAGTTCCAAAAACACGTATCTCCGTATTTCTACCGTATTTCGTAACTGCTAACATTATTTTGCAAAAAAATGTGAAGGAACTCATGAAGCAGCTAACTCTTGATATTTTCACCAAGTTTTACGTTTGTATTGTCGACTGGGGTGGGGGGGGGGGGTNGGGAGTTAGGAAGTTTTTACACTTTCCTGAAAAATTGTATTTCCGGAGTTATTGCCGTGTTATTGTACGCACCTCGCGCCCCAGTCACTTTGCTTACAGAATCAAGCTAAAATTTCCAAAGGGAGTTTGGATACGGTATAGTCATTAAAAACGGTTCGGGGAATTTCCCAAATTTTAAGGGAGGGGTCCGGGAGGCCGTCCCTGGAAAATATTTATAAATTGAGTTGTCCGAGGAGCATTTTGAGCTGCTCTCATTGAAAAATTGTTCCGATGCCAATCTCCAAACTGAATGGTACGTCACGCAATTAGCAAAATCCCTTACATATTTCTTAGGGGGGAAATTTCTGGAGGGAGGCAGTTCCGTCGCTCCCCCCCCCTTCACGTTTTATGTCGGGACCAGAGATATAGTCAGGCAGCACCTCTTCTCTCTGTTAAGAAAATCGTTTTTGACAATAATGAGCAGCACTAGCCCTAAACGGACAGGAATAAGAATCTCGCAATTTTAAGTTGCAGAGCCACAAGGAGTCAAGGTTACGACCTTTGCAGACTTCTCGGGGGCCCCGCTCCCCGCTGCGATGGTGCCTCTCGATTTTGTGGTCACAACGCACTGTGTGTTGGCATTTGTCACATAATAAACATACAATGCACACCCACATTTACATGCAACTGTGTCACGGGGCCAATCGGGTTCATATAACTCAATTCATCGCTCATTCACTCCGATTTCGATTAAGAATTCGTTGCTGTCTAAAGTTCTGAGGAGATTTGGATGACTGATGGAGACAACCCCTTATAACCCGCAGTGAAGGGCTGTCGATTAAGTAGATTCTTACCTTCATTTCTTGTTCGTTCCAATTTACCTACTCTTGTTTATTTTGTTTTTTTTTTGTTTCAATATGAGGTCTTCAATATGAGCCTTCTATATCCTCAATGCAAGAAAGAGGATAAAGTCGTCGACTACTTGCGGGCATGCAGCCACAACTTTAACTTGTGAGGTACCTATATTATTTTCAAAATTGAAACTCGGACAAATACCCTTAGGAAAAAAGCCAGGAGGCAGGACCGGATTTACTTGCTTGCCGCCCATGGGCCGCCCCCTTCTCATACTTTTTGAAACATCAATAAAAACAATCAAGTGAACGTACCGGAGGGGGAGGGGTTCATAAGACGCGTTTACTCGTGTTGGACACATTTTTTGCGAGTGCCCTGTCAACACTATACCAGCAAAAGTTCACGGAACTTGGCGCTAAAGTTAAGTTCCGTAAACCTATCTCTGTGTGGACAAGGCCTTCCATCTATATGAAATGAACGAAAGAATTAATATAAATGTGTAATATGTAAATAAATAATATATATAAATATAAATGTGGTTTAACAATTTTAACTTTCGCCGCCGTGCCGCGCTGACCAGCACTGTGTTAGGCGCAATGCGTGAAGTATTCCTACAATCTTGTATGCGCTATGCGTTTCACGCCGACCACTGCTGCACGCACTGTGTTTGACGCAATGCGTGAAGTGTTCATGCAGTCTTGTAGGCGCTAATATGTGTTACATGCCGACCGCCACACCGAGGGCTACTCCTTTTCATCTAAAGTCCTCTTCATCATTGCTCTCTGCGCCGCGCTGGTCCAGACCAAAGTCCGTGTTCGGGTTTTCTCTTAGTCTTAAATGGACTAATGAAAGGTGCTGTCTACTGTATCACAGAAAGACGACAAAATTAGAAATATACTCTCAGGAAATGAGAGATTTTGTCACCTTTCCTCGTTTGTAATTTTTCTTCTGATTCCGATTTTTCTTTAGGTATATCTACAATTAAAAAAAATTGCAAAATTTGCCGCAATGGGCCGCGGCCCTTGTGGCCACCCCCTAAATCCGGCCCTACCAGGAGGTCATCTCACTAGTAGGACTGACTGTATCGCAAAGTAACCAAACCGGGGACAAAAACCGGGTTGGAAAAAATTATTAGGAAAACTTGCAGTAGGAAACAATGTTTTAAGAAAGATGACTTGCCACCACGAAGCAAAAAAAATGCGACGGAAATACACCCCAAAACGGTTTGCAATGAGAGAGTCTATGCTACGTGTGAACTTAAAAACGCGAAAAATCAACATATTGGCTGATCCTAATTTCGATAGATATCGCAATTTGAAATTCTTACAGTAAATGCAAGTTTTCCATTGGTTTTAATCCCATTTTTTTATTTACTTGTTCACTGCATCGGTGTCAGTCGGTTCACGTTTTTATTTTTCGTTCGATTCGTGTCGATTGAATACATACCCTCGCGTTACATGCATACTTCCTATACTCTTTTTTCTTTTTTTCTTCACAGAGCAAATCGCCCTCTGCTGCTCCAGCAGCAATTGTTGATACAAATGTGTTATGCGTACTGATTTCAGGTCATTACATACTCGACTCTTTGAGGGCGTTTTATGTGCGAAAGCAAGTCGCCTTCAACTACGTCCGCAGCAATTGTTGTTACGAATATGTTGTGCGTGCTGATTTCAGGTCATTACATACTCGACTCTCTGAAGGCGTTTTATGTGCGTAATTAGCGCGACCTGTCGGAGGAAAACAGAAGTGCGAAGTGAGATTTGAATGACTCTCTCAATCCCCACTTCTGTTTTCCTCCGACAGGTCGCGCTAATTACGCACATAAAACGCCTTCAGAGAGTCGAGTATGTAATGACCTGAAATCAGTACGCATAACACATTTGTATCAACAATTGCTGCTGAAGCAGGAGAAGGCGAATTGTTCGGTGAAGAAAAAAAGAAAAAAGAGTATAGGAAGTTTGCATGTAATGTAACGCGAGGGTGTTTATTCAATCGACACGAATCGAACGAAAAATAAAAACGTGAACCGACCAACACCGATTCAATGGACAAAAAAGCTAATCAAAATCAGTAGAAAACTCGCATCTACCGTGAAAATTGAAAACTGCGATATCCGGGATGTTACTTCATCCTATATCGTTTTTAAAAATTGGATGATTTTTGTGGAAATGGAGAGGGGGGAGGGTGCAAAGACTTATTGAACACCCCTCGTATCAACATAAATTCGTTGATTTGCAATTAAAATTGAGAATCTCTTTATCACAAAGAAACAAACAAGAACACGTCAAATTAAGATGAACCATATAATTACCCATGAGCTACTTTTGAAATTGGAATTGCAGAAAAGAGAGAGAAAGAGCTTGACGGGTCGATTCGAGCAGGACGACTTTTATCAATATGTGAAAGGTAGGACTAGCGAATCTAAAAATAACCCCGCAAATACCTGTTTTCCATAATAATCCTTCTTGAAATTGCTAATTCGTACTGTAACTCATCGAAAGACGATGGCTTCGGCTTGGACTCGTGGAGGAGCAGGGATCTACGACTACTTTCAATATTTCCCCCCTTTCTTTTTTAAATACTAAAATGTTATTCCGCTCGAGTATCTAAACAAGCTGTCTGCTGATCTTATTACAAATTGAGCAGCGTTGTACGTGTATTCCGAGGCTCCCTGCTGATGAACCGCAGATTTGCCAGTAATTACAGTAGGCGGAGATACGCAACACGAGGAGGCTTTGGTAAAAATAGCTCAATGACAAAGGTTACCGATCTACATTTTAAATATATTGCATCTAACTCATGTCGGATGACGCCGTGTACCTAGATCACGCGAATGGACCAGGAGAGTTTTCATGAATGCATGTTAGGGAAACTTCTTCCCTCGTTACTCTGAAGTGCTTCGTCTCTGTGCGCGGAAGTATTATAAATCAGATGACAGGCTCATGATTTGATGGGAGCCCTTTCCTACGCTAAACTCAATTCACTTGGAAAATACATTTGACAGTGGCGTGGCGAGATGAAAAATAAAGGGATGCTGTCGTCATGAATCAGGATTTTTTTGGAACTCCCCCTGCCCTCAGCGTTAATTTTATCGTCTCATATTCTTTCCACAAGCCTCTCCTCTTTTACTACTAGCAGCTTATTCAGTCAATTAAGGGTATTAATGACGAAACATTAATGAGATTTTGGAGAAAGAAAAAAAAACACTGCCACAGCTTTGTAACTGAACTTCTTTTTTAATTCTTCCGCAGAAACAATCATGTTACGTGTTACGATGTACGCTCGAAGAACTTCTTTGAGTTCTGTTCTGCTTAAGTTCGTAGGCAAGATAATGCAAATCTGCAGC